ACCAGCATCGGCCAGGCTTATCCATTGCAGCAGCCATCAGTAATCGTCTGAGTTACCTGTTGCCTAGCTCCCTACCTGAAATTGGCACAGGCCCTGTAGAACGGGGACTGATGTATAGTGAAGCAGCTCGTAGGGAGACTTTTGGCAAGTGGCCACACATGAACTACAAGTAAGTTAAATTGAAAAATTGTTTGTTTTATAATACATCTATATCTTACCTAAATTGAAATTTTTATGCATCCAAAATCCTGTATTTTATTAATTTTTGTAAAATTACATTCATAAGTTTTTTGTTTTTTTTCAAATATTCATTAAAACTTATTTTCAAAATTTTTATTTAAAAAAAAAAAAAAAAAAAAAATTGAATAGCATTTTCAAAAGGCTTTTTTTTTTTTTCTTTTTTTTTTTTTTTTTTTTCTTTTTCTTTTTTTTTACTTTTTTTTCTTTTTTTTTTTCTTTTTAATAACCACCAGTCTAGATTGAAAAGTCATACGAAAGAAATATGTCTCCAGGCAGGAATCGAACATGTATTTCCCACCCCCTTCTTTCTTTTAATCAGGGGAAACAGTTTTATCCAAAACATGCTGCTACAAGTTTGGGCAGACATGTGTACCCACTAAAAATAATGATTATATAAGAAAATAAGAGATTTAATTTATTTGCTATATTTATAGAGGAAGATTGCTTAATATTAGGGATAGTATTTATAAATATAGCAAGTGTGAACATAAGAACCAACACTTCATGCCTTGATGCAATTTTCAAACCATGTGCTATTTTTGTATACTTTGTGTGTGTGTGTATATATATATATATATATATATATATATATATATATATATATATATATATATAATGTGGGATTAAGGGAAGTTGAGTAAAGAAACCAGTCCTTCGTAGTTCCATTGTTTAGGGCTAATGCTTTGGATTATTTATGATCATTACCTGTAGATGGCTATTTATATATTGTATTCATTTATATATTTAATTTTATAATCTTTGGCTGAAAGATTGCATTCAGATGTGAAACTGATCTTCCCCATGCAGTGTTAATATATAATTTTCTATGTAATATGACCTGCATCTACCTTTTTTTTATTTTATTTTATTTATTTATTTATTTTTTTTTTTTTAAATGTTTTATTTGTATATTTTAAGCCATTACATAGTTTACTTTCTTCATAAATTGCCTAAAAATGTAATTATTTGCAGGTGAAAATTGTAACTTTATGAAAGCACTTGTGAATTTATTTAACACTAGCAGTAGAGCCCGGCGTTGCCCAGGGATATAACAGTAAGAGATAGATCTAGTATCCACCATCATAAAGACTGAAAAATAAAATTGACAAAGATTATTGTTTAAGCTTGATGGACACGCATGTCTTAATTAGTTTTTTTTTTTTTTTACAAATTGGTCAAACAAAAACATTGTTTTCAATCGTTATGAGTCTCTACTTATTGATAGAATAATTTTATAAACAATTGTCTTGTAAATGGAATTTTTAAAGCATTCTGAATGTAAAAATAAAGAAAAAATCTGTGCAAGACAATAAGAAACACTACATGCCAAAAAAAAAAAGTGAAGTTTGTTGAAATCTGTTGAAAAATGTAGGTAGCCTTTCTGTAATCTTTTTTTTTTTTACAATTTATGATTTTTACTTATTGAATACAGTAAAAAAAAAATTGCATATTTTGCTTGTGGTGATTCATAATTAGAATTCTGATTTGAATATATTTTCCACTCGTTGTTTCTAATACAAAAAATATTAACTTTATTTGGGTTTATTAATTATGATTTAACAAATCTTATTCATTTAGTAGCCTTTCTGTAATAATAATCTTTTACAATTTATGATTTTTACTTATTGAATACAGTAAAAAAAATTGGACACCATGTGTATTTAAAGTAGTTTCCCGTTCCGGTTATTATTTTTAGTTGGGACTTGTGTATGTTTAGATTTCATTATCTTTCCCTAAAGATAAAGAATTTATCCGATGTTTGTATTCGTACAATCAGTATAGATCGTTAGATTATTGTTTAAGGTTGACGGACATGCATGTCTTAATTAGTTTTTTTTATTTTTTTTTACGAATTGGTCAAACCCAAACTCAAACAAAAAAACATTGTTTTCAATCGTTATGAGTCTCCCAATTGAATAGAATTTTATTATAAATAATTGTCTTGTAAATGGAATTTTAAAGCATTCTGAATGTTAAAAATAAAGAAAAAGTGTGTAAGAGAATAAGAAACACTACCTGCCCCCCCGTGAAGTTTTGTTTTATTGGCTGAAAAATATAGGAAATCCGATGTGAGTTGTCCCCCTTCCATTTTCACGATGTCTCTTAATCTTGTTTTCAAATTGATTTTGTGCAAAAACAATTATATTTTTTCCATTTTTAGTGCTGTAACACCACCACAAGGTAATTTTATGTAGTCCTGTGAAGTTTTGTTGAAATCGGTTGAAAAATGTAGGAAATCCGATCCAATATATAAACGTTACAGAGACACACACACACACAATCTGCATTTTATAATAAGTAAGATTAACTGGTAAATCTTATTAAATGTTCAGTTATTGAATACAGAAGTTTACTTTGGCCTGTAAATAGGAATAGTAAAATAGATCTTTTTATCTTACCATCAACTAACTAGTTATATTTTTTAATGTTTGTATTTACACTTATTCATTTACAAGAAACCATTGTAAAAAAGGTTTTAATTTTTTTTTTTTTTTTTTTAAACTATCAAATAACATTTGACTTAATGTTTATTTTTCAGATGGGCTCTGCCTGATCCAATGGCTCAAGCTGGATTTTATCATCAACCAAATGCTGTTGGGGATGACAGAGCAATGTGTTTCACATGCAATGTATGTCTTGTGTGTTGGGAGCCCACAGATGAACCATGGTAAAATTCATCATTTCATTTCTCTATTTTGCTAATTTGCAATCTTAGCTAAAACTTTAAAGGTGATCCTTACAATGGATAAAATTTCCTAAATAGCATAATGTGCAATGATCTATTAAGTAAAAGTTAAACCTAGAATATTTAGGCAACAAGCCTTTGTCCAAAATTTGTTTTATTAACTAGAAAGGACAAGGAATGTCTAATTTTTTGGCATGTTTCTCCTGTTTAATAAGTCATTTTAATGTTAGGTGGAAATTTGTAAAGGTTATAAATCAAATTTTATTCATCAAACTTTAATTACCTATTTTTTATGTAAGGCATTTGTTTTGAATAATCAAAATTCTAATAACTATTGCTTACAAAAATCTAATAGTGTTTTTAAGGGTAATTATTATAAAAAATTCATAACTTATTGCTACACCTCATACAGAGATTATCAAAATATTTCAGTACTAACCGCTCTGTGATTGGTATCGAATTATAGTTAGCAAAATAATATACGAGTTGTAATTTTTCTCCATAAATGTTGTTCTGTTGGATGGAGATTTTTTTTTTCCAAATGTAGTACATATTTTTAAAAAATTTAAAATTTATAAAAATGTTTCAACATCAGTTTAATTTTCTTTTGGCATTTATAATTTTTATAAAATAAAGATGTAATTCCCAATCTATCAAGTATTCTGATTCAATATAAATTCACTTCAAAACCTTTAAAAGTTAACAGCTTATTGTCATTTTTTTATTCATTATTTTTAGGTCTGAACATGAAAGACACTCCACATCTTGTCCTTTTGTGAAAGGAGAATACACACAGAATGTACCATTATTAGGTATGTTTGATTAGGTTTTACTTTTAAAGTTCTGTATGAAAATAATCTTTTTAGAGTTTTTAGTTTTCTACATAGTCAGTTATGTGCTATGCATGATATACACTTAGGCGATCATGTATCTTTTGATACATGACTGATGAGGCAGATTTTTTTTCCCCACAGTAGGTTGCCATTTCTTTCTACAGTAGACTAGTTGCCATCCAAGGCTATAGAACCTAGTCTGTTCTGCTATTTACTCATAGCTGGAGAGAGAAGGGGATTCATACCTTTCCCAAGAGTATTAGCATGTAAGTGAATGTAATGGATACAACTGAAATTCACTCAGCTCTCCGATTCCTCAATCCATTATGAGTATTTTCCCTTTTAATAAAATGATACAATTTCCTATTAGGAGTTGGTTTGAATTTTTTTAGTAGAAATTAATTTATTTAATAATTTTTTTATTTTTATTTTTTTAAGATAGTAAAAAAATTATAACTGAACTACTAAAAATATGCCATGAATATGAAAAGTTACACTATAGTATATGTTTTGATAAAATTGGTATTGTGCTAGTATATATACTATAAGTAAATGATGGGATAATTTATGGATAAACACTTTTCATCTAAGATAAGAGTATCTGTGTTCAAGCAACAGGACCATGGCATAGGGAATTTATCATTTGTTTGATTACATAAAAATCATACTTTTGAATCAGGACAGGATTTATGTTCATTTTGTATTTGCTTTAGTCTGGCAGAAGCTATGACCAGATGAACTTAGTATACAGAAAAAAAAATGACAGTTTATTCTATATATTTATTGCATGGATTTAAAAAAAAAAAAAAAAAAAAGCTGAGGAAAAAATTTATTTTGCTTCAAATTTATCTATGAAAACTTAATTGTTTGGTATGATGCATGTGTAAAAATTGTGTGTAAAAGATAACAATTGGATCCTTGAGTTTTGTTAAATATTACTGTTCTTTTATGTTTTTCTTCAGTAACATATGCCACACAACCAGCATTATTACATGGTGAACCAACAGACAAAGTAAGTTTTTTGTTTTGTTTTTTTAGATATCTTCTCTATATAGCTAAAAAGAATGTTAGAAATTGGAGTTATATAAACCATTATTATTTGATATTTTCTAATTTGTTTGAAAATTTAATTTTCAGTATTTCATAAAGTTTTTTCTTTTTTAAGATATTGGTACTCGGCCAAATAAGTATATGTAGAGAATTATCTCTGTTAAACCATTTTTTTTTTTTTTTTTATATAGATTGAATGCATAAGCACATCCACTAGCAAAAATTTCTTTGCCACATCCACAATTAATGGAAATGTTGTGATATGGAGTATAGCCCGGCTTTTGAAGGTAATAAAATTTTAGTTGAGAAGAATTATTCATATTCCTTTTTCTTTTTTTTTTTTTTTTTTTTTTTTTTATAGTATATGTTCAATTTCATGGCACAGTTTTATATTCTTTGATTAAAATCTTTTAATTTAGTATCATGAATCCTAAATCAAATTTGATATTTTCAGCTTTTTGTCTTGATTTTAAAGTTTAGTAACTTGCTTTTTAAATTCATCAATATCTATTACTTGGTAAGTTAGATTTACCAAATCCAGTTTCTTTTTCATTAAAAACTGAAAAAAACATTGATAGAAGTTTGCTAGTTGTTGCATTCTCTGGTCAAGTTTGCTGTTACTTAGTTGATGCTTTTATTAATATTCTATTGCATTGACAGTGATTCTCCAGTTAATTAGATCTGAGCTATGCAAATATAAATTTCTCTTAAAATGTGTAATTATTTTATTGTCTTGCAATTACACTGAGGTTTTTCTTTTTATTAGAAACACTGCCAGTTTAACCTGGATCCTACTGAAGCTGTGGTGGCATCTAAGACAGGAGTACAGTTTGAGATGGAACATATTTCACTAGACATGGATGACATGGACAGTAGGCCAGAATACAGGTGACTTCTCAACTATACTCTTCATATTTCAAGGCTTCTAGCAAGATCTTGACACTGTATTCCTCATTGAGCAGTATTGAGTGAGCCAGGAAAAGAGATGATACATGTTCCAATTATAACACGGTATGACTTTGAGGCTCCTGGATGAGCTATCATTGAAGAGGTGCCACTCACTGGGGTTATAGGCAATTCCAATTGCCTATAACAGACCAGTCACATTGTGGCAGAAGCAAAGCCCATCTTGACAGAAGAAAAAGCTTGAAAAACACTGGTGATGCTGTCACAACTTGCACACTTTCATCTAATGAATTTCACTGCTTTAGTCTTGGCATCAAAAACTCGGCATTGGATTCTGTCAGGCCACGATCTCTGATCAGATCGTTGAGTTCTTTTTGGTTGGTGTAGCATGGGTTTCTTGCCTTAGCTGTTCCTCTGTAATCTGGATCAATGACTTCATACTTTTTTGAATTGCTGTTCCCTTCTGAAGACAAGTGCTTTCTCTTTGGAGGAGTGTGGCAATGGATGACAGGAGGTCTGGATATATGATAACAGTTGCAGTCTTGCCAGCTTAATGTTTGGAAGAGTCCACCATGCAGAAGAAAGAATTGCCTGAGTGCTCAGTTGGTTCCCTCCAAATTCACGGGATTGTTAATTTTATGGCTCTATGTTCCTTTCTGTACTATCCTGCAAAAGAGCAACATAAAAATGAGTATAAAAATATAAATATATTCCACCCAGTGTTAAATTCTTAAAAAAACTACACTTTTGATTTTTGAAATTTCTAAAACTCATGTACTGGATATATGAAATTCTGACTTTGAACTCTAATTAATGTAGCAAATGCCACAAAAATATGAAATTTTGAATACTGAACAGCCTTAATATTCTGATGTCTCTTGAAGTAAATAACTTATTGACAAAAGTCAAAATTTTGTTACATTGTAATCGATGGTTGCTTAGTTACTCCTTTATCATCTGATTGAATAGTCTGTAAAAAAAAAAAAAATGAAAATAATGTTCCTTTTATTTTGATGATCATAGAAATGAAATTGCTAAATACTATATTATGTGAATGAGTAACAATATGCTTAATTAAATGATTTGTCATTGATAAAATAAAAATCAGAAATTTATAAAGTTTGTAAAAAGTTTTCAAAAATAATTTCTAATTTTTAATTAACAATTCTGAGAGGCAGGTCATTAGTACTCATTATTTGTTATATACCAATCTTTTGTATACCCTGTTTTCTTTTAGATTGGACAAGCAATCAAAGTTAGACCAAGATGTGTCAAAGAATGGAGAAATGGCAGAAGAGAACTACACCTCAGACTGTGTTGCTATCAATGTACCACCAGACATTAGAGAAATTCCTCTGAATGATGAACTTTACTCTGGAGGTTATTATGGATTTTTATATATACAGTTTATACTTTAAAAATTATAATTTTAAGGACATTCATAGTGTGCCACATTCCTGTTGAATATGATTCCTTTGTGGAAGAAAGTAGGAATAAAGCTTGTTTCTACACTTAAAAGCTAAAGAAAAAAATGAAAAAGTCTTTAACCATTGCAGCTGTGGTCTGTTATGTATAACTAAGAGAACAAATGGAGTGCCAAATGAAATGGTATACAATTATAACAAGGATGTAACAGTTATTGAATTTATAACATTAAAACTGATAAATATTTTCAAGCCACATTACAGGCAGACATGATGTGAAGCTAAAGCTTTTATGTTTAAAAATGAATACAACAGATTATGATGCAGATTAAAACGTCCTTTTGGAATAATTACTCTTTAATATTCATTGTGAATTTACTCTTATCAGATTTGATTTTATCCTTATTGATAAAATGGTTTAAAACTCATGTGAAATGTAATGAAAATGTTTGCATTAAAAAAAATTGTATATGCTAACATAAAAGCTGACCCCTAAGGTGTTAATTCAGGTTTATGCCTGTATTAACTCGATAACTTGATACTCCTCTTCTCAATACAAGGCCATTCCATTTCCATCTGACTGGAAAATAATTGTATCTTTTAATTTTTTTGGTTTCTAGTAGTTGAGCAGAAACTGAAAGTTGTATTTCCTTTATTTTTCTAGAGTAGTTTGAAAGAGCATACTCATGATTTCTAGAAATTTGTCTTCATTTCTATATCTTTGTTACCATTAATTTAAAATGACATTGATTAGAATTTTAGTGACTGTAAATCAGACATGTTTTTAACATATCTTCATTTTGGATAGTATTGCCAGTTAGTATTTGCTTGTGGAAGGATAAGCTATATAGGATATATTCACATTTTAATTGTAAATAATTAACCAAGATTTAAATTTTTAATAAAAATATCTCCACACCAAGCATAAAATAAGTCAGAAATAATGTACAAAACTATCATACAACTTATGGTATTTGCCAAGCATAGTAGAATGAATAGACTACTGTAGAGCAGAAGGTCTACTAGTCTTTTGGTATGTACAACAGCTTTTGTTTCATCTCTGTATCAACAATTTTTATAGTTGATATATTAGTTGCTAGTTTTAAGGTCTTATGCTTAAAACATCGAGTTCTACGCTCGACTATGTTACTTTTAGTATTTCATGCACATGAATTTTATAGATTAATGTTCCAACTTTTTTCTTTTTGTCTTTATTTTTTGTAGATCAAAAATGTTGGAAGCAAACCCGACCCTCTCAGGACATCAAAGTTCATTCCTTATGTGTAATGGAAAAACCTGACCATTTGTTGATAGAATCTAAAGGCGGAGGAACAGGAGGAAGTAGTAATGCAATTGGTGGAAGTAGTGCTAATAGCAGTGGTTCAGTTGGTATGAGTGATATTAAAAATGTGGCAAGTTCCAAATATCCACCCCAACCCTCTCTCTTGTGTGGTGTATCACTTCGTAAAACACGCCCATCTTGTAGTGTACTACATCATGATTCAATGAGAACAGCAGATCCAAATGTTAAACCAGATGTTCAATTCATGAACAAGGTTAATGAAGTAGTGAGCAGTGACCCCCTGCCACCTAAAATCATCCCTGATCTTCTGGATGGGAGTGATGATAATATCAGCCTTCTTGATAGAATGGTATTTCTCCCTTTCATTGTTGTTGTTGCTATCCGTCATGAGAAGGTCCCCAACATAAAAAACACAGATGTTAATGCCAAACCCTCTACAAGTGGTGGTAATGAACTCTCTGTGCCTACTTTAGGGTCCATTGCTATGACACAAGACTGGGGGGTACTTGATCCAATGATTGAGAGTATCCCTAATTCAGCCATGCAACTTTTTGAGGGGGGTCCTGGGGCAAAGTCGTCAATGACAACAAACTCAGGATTGCAGAACAACAGCAACATTGGAGAGATGAAAATGTCTGACAGCAGCTCTAGCCTGAGCGAAATCAGTGAGGCGATCAACAAATCACTCAGCATGGATAATTTGGTTAAGCGAACACGCACACTTCCACCAAATGGACACATCTTGCAATGTATCGAATTGCCTCGACACCTCCAATCAGAAAACCTCAAGGTCAGTTCCATCACCCCAACTACAGATGGCGCTTACATTATTGTTGTACTGTCGCCTGTCAATATCTGTGATAGTTTTTCTGTTGTCAAAGATAAGAAGAACTTGTCTTCGTCAACAATCATGCCATCAAATATTGCTAATAACACGAATTTACAGAGCCAATCTGGTGAAGAAAGTCTGCCAACATCAGCTAGCAACAACTCTCCACTATCAAGTGAGGCTCCAATGGGTGGAAGCATTGTTGTATATAGGCTGAATTTTGACAGTGAACATGTACGTGTTGAAGAGACTCCTGTCTCTTCCTGGTCAATGTCTTCAGTCTCTGACTCTATAGTTAACGTAACTGTTATACCAAACGAATTTATGGGTCAGTCAGAAGATGATGACTCTAGTGCTATGGATAATCATCAGTCTCGTTCTACTGAGCCTCATGGACTCTTTGCTACTGTACATTTCAGTGGACATATAAAAATTTGGGACCTTTCTACTTTGACCAACTTGGTTGAAATTGAACCAGATGAAGGTGACAAATTTACTGCTGTCACTTGTTGTACAGGTATGTTTTCTTTTCTGAGTTTGCCTGTCTTTACGTTTAATGATTTACAATTTTTTTCTTAATTTCCAGTTGTAGCTAATTAAAAAAAAAAATTAACTGAAATTGTTTTAGGTTTTTTTTCATCTATTTTGTTTGATTGTTACTTTCTGTCTAATGTAAAAAAAAAAAAAAATGTTGAGCAAAAATGCAATTTACTTGCTGACAGATATTACTCTCTTGGATTTAATAGTTAACATACATTTGAAATTGGAGTAAAATTATGGTTGGACTATGTATTGGTCATTTCTGTTCTGCTGTTTCTCTATTTGGGTAAACTTAATGTCTTTGAATATGTTTAAGTTGCTAAAAAAAATATTTACAAACATGCAGTTGCATTTTAAAGTGAATAATTGTACACGATATAACTTTTGAATTTTTTTTTATTTTTTTTATTTTTTTTTTTTTAAATTTGTAATTCTCTTTTTAGGTCTTGATCGGCTATGTGCCTGCACAATGGGGGGTAAATTACATTTTTATCAGTTGTCTGAACAGAACCCTGCTATTGTAGAATTGTCTACCTGTGGTGCCCCTCTTAGTAACAAAGATGTCTCTAGTGACTTGGAATCAATGGATGTAGGCAATGAAGATGTTGGTGAACACCAAAGGACAAAACATGTCACAAGTATGCATTTTTCCATATAATTTTAATGTAATCTGCTTGATTTTTTTTTTTTTTTTTTTTTTTTTTAAATCAATATTTAAGAAATTTTATGTTAATTTATTAATAAAAACTGGAAATCCTAAGCAGCATATGGCCATGAAATAATCTTTAGTACCTGATTTACATTGTGAATTTTCATGGCTATTTGAACCTTTTTAAAAAGTTAAAAAAAAAAAAAATTGGAACATGGAAAGTGAAATATTGTCAAAAAATTAAGGAACATGTTCTCTACAAATTCCTGGGGTTTGGTTCAGATTCACATCATGTGTTTATATATATTTTTTTTAATTTTTTCTTTGATTTAAATTTGAACAAGGGAATGACTCCTATCCAAAATATAGGAGAAAGCCAGAAGATGGAGGTCACATTGGCAAGATCATTGAGTAATTTTGAAATGCATCATTTTTCTCCACAAATTATGACAATGATTTAAAATCAATCACAAAAATATGTGTGACATGCAGCAAGGTGCAGGTAATTCAGCTAATTACTAATATAAAAGAAATAGGATTTTGCTACCTGATATTTTCTGACTAAATGACTTAAGCTGTTGTGACAAAAGTTATGGGATAGGTATATAGTATTGTGTAGGACTATTCCTCTCCCAGCCCCCAAAGGTAATAGGAGTTGACATGCCGTTAAATACAACATCCAGCCCCCAAAGGGAAGTGAAGCAACTCTATAAGTGGTCAAAAGAACACTGAAGAGATGTTGAACTTTGTCATCTTGATAGCTTTACATAGCTCCCTGGTATCTGTAGATGCAGTATCTTGAATGTGAATAGACCACTCTTTTGGGATACATGGACTCCATGAATGTGTTTAAATGGTTATCAAGTAGTGCAATGTTGCAGTCATATGTCAATGACATGTTTAAGCAGACTTGCAAACCCAACCTATGCCAACTGTCCTGGGTATGATAAACTGCATTCAGCAGCAAGGCCTCTGATCAGAAGGTTTTGAGGAGTGTGAAACCGCCTCTTAGTTGCTCTTGTTCCCGGGTCCACCCTGGCCTGGGGTGGTAGCACCCGTTAGGGTCCCAGCTATGGATAAATAGTTTCCTCACTCCCTTGATCTGGAATCGGAATACTAGGAAAGTGTAAGAATGGGTTTTTTGTAATAATAATACCATCAACACAAATTGCAGTATATAAAGTGCACATTCACAAAACTCAATTTCAAAAGGCTAAAATTCCCCCTAAATAGGGCCACCCGTTTGCCATGGGTGGCAACCCATGATGCCTGGTGACGGAGTCCTGGTGACTGGGTGACTCCTGATCTGGTGTAAAATGACCAGGAGTTTCCACAACATGTCACTTCGGTCCCTACCTGGGATAGACGGGCGGATGGAATAACCCAATCCATTCCAATCGGCTAGTCACATTGTGGCAAGGGCTAGTTGAGATGATAGATAATGGGTCTGACAGAGCCACGAAACCTTGTATCATACTATACTTGGGTAGATATGGCGGGGGAGTGCAGGTGCTTGTATCCACTCTCATCACAACTATGCTGTCTGTGTAGCCCTGGCAGATTAGGGCGAATGGGATTAGTCCCCACTGATAGCATCCCTTAAGAAGGAACTCCGAGGTGGGTGGGAAGCACAGACAACAAATACAAAAATTAAAATTATATGGCTGTCTCTTATAAGCGAACCAAGAGACAATACAAGACTTCTGAAAGCGAAAATGAAATAGAAAAAAATCAATTTCCAACTTTCATTGTTGTAGAATCAGTAGAGGGTGATATATCAAAAGTGTCCCCTTTTGTGTTGCAAAGGGTTATTTCAGACATGATCAAACCACAATCTGTTAAAAAAATAAAGAAAAATAATACTCTATTAATTCAAGTGATATCCAAAAAAGATGCAGAGAAATTGAGAACAATAAAGTTAAGGCCTACCCCCATCAATTTCTTAATTCATCAAAAGAAGTAATAAAATGCCCAGAACTGTCACTTTGTTCATCAGAAGAAATTGAAAATGATGACACCCTAAAAAAGCAAGGAGCAACAGAGGTAAAAAAAGAATGCAAGTAAAAAGAAAATGACAGTAATAAACACCAACACATATATTAGAAATAAAGATAGGTTACACAATAGCCAAGGTAGTGCCATACATTCTTAATCCCCGTAGATGTCATAAATGTGGTCATCTTCAAAATGTTTGTATGAGAATATCTATCTGTTGAAGATGTGGGGAACCGGAAACTGAGGATGATGAATCAGAAGACTGGAGTGTACAACGACTGAAACATAATAAATGTGGCGACAAAGATGAGGACAATAGTCTGAATAATGTACATAATACCTCATCTCAGAAATATAGACAGATAATATTGGGTAGCATTTATTAAACAAATATTTCAAAACTTTTATTCATTCTATCCTTAGACATATTTATGGCACAGATCCAAATTCTGGTAGCAGAGGCAGGAAATAAAACTATAATTGCTATATCTTTTACATCTAATTACTTTTTAACCCTGTGTGTGGTTTCAGTTTTTCCTATTGGCATCCACTTATTGGTACACCCTTGCTTTTTTCACATTAAATATTTTCTTTCAATTGGATGGGTTGGAAGGATTTAATTGAGCACCCAATTTTGCAATTTTTGAGCTTAAATATATTTTTAGCAAATTTTTGCACTTAATCTGTATATTATGCATTGAAAATTGGGAATATGGATTATCAATGGTTAAGAATTGAGACAAGTGTTACTGACAGAACAGAGCTATTATATAATCGTTAAAATTCTTACGGTTAGTTAATATCTCCTGTATATAATCAATTCAAATTTTATTTGGGGGTGAATCAATGACTGCTAGCAACTAGAAAGTCTCTATTTTTTAATTTAATATGCGTAGTTTAAATAAAATATAGATATTGATTTTTTTTTTTTTTTTAATTCACTGAATTGTTTTCTTTCAGATGAAGAGTCTCTGTTTTCTGAACAACTAACAACAGAAAAGTTAGTGTCATTACATTCACTAACTGAATTTGAAAACTTGATGCCAAGATTCACTGCCACAGTATCTCCATGTTGGGCAGAAATACAACAGGAACAGCAACAAAGGCGACATCCTCAACATTTACAGCAACAAGGAGAAGCAACCCAGCATACGCGTACATGGAAGCTGCAGCCAGAAAGGTAACTGAAAAAAAATAGTTAATTTTTGAAAATTTAATAAGTTTTCTGTGATTTTGTAGTGACAAGATATTCCCAAAAATCTATTGTTGCCAAGTTATGTATCAGAATTATGAAGAACATTGACAGAATATTGTATATGAAATTTTAATGTAAAAACTTTTGTGGCATTTTTAAAGTGCTAAAATTATTTGTCAAGTTTATTTTTATTTAATCAATTGATGTAAATTGATTATAAAAATAAAAAAAAAATATTACATGGGACACTATGACAGTAATACTTACTATTTATATCCATAGAAACTACAACAGATATACTGAATACAATAATACAGTTGGATAGAGCAAATTTTCAGCTATAAAAACTGCTTTACCATGTCGGCAATGCATTTTTACCAGCAATGAACAAGAACCTGCAGCAAGTGATTTTTCACATATTACTGTCATCATTTGGGTGCCTCGGTGTGGTGTAATGGTTAGCAAGCTGGTCTTGCTAAAACTGTTACAATTAAATAGCAAGTTCAGTCCTCACTGGGTGCCCCATACTTTCGGCCATGTGCCACATCTAAGCCTCACTTAGAAAATCATTATTACTGTCACCACTACTTAAATGCATAACTGTACCAGCAAGTATTGATGAATATGAATGATCAAAAATTCTTCTACATGAAGGAATTCAAAGTATCACATGATTTGTACACTTTTATCTTGGATGTTATTGTAACAGATAAAAAAAAAAGCACACACACACACAAGGGAACGCTGAAAAATTCTTCATCTGGCCCACTTTCCAAAATTTGAATTTGAGAATCCCTTAGTTGTGTTGAGACGATTTCAGCACCTCTTCCTAATAAAATAGGAGGAATCACTTTCAGAGCAACCCTCATAGAATCTCTTGTCTCAATGTAATATCATCTTTAAAGGCTGAAAAGTAAGTCTCCTGATATCAGTTCAGTTTCAATTCTTGTCACTCTGATCATATTTTTAAATATTTGCAAACTTTTCTATAGTAACCTATAAACACTTTATTTTATTTACTTTTTTTTTTAAATTCAGTGTTGTCACTAGCTTTTAAGAAACAATTAATGCAAACTTAAAATAAATAACATTAAAAGTTGAACTGGAAAGTTGGTAGAAAAAAATATTGGAATATTAAAAAGTTAAATAAAAATGTTTATTGTTGCAAATATGTATTGATTTCTTTTTGTGGAAAGGTATAAATTTATGTATAACGTTTGAATAGCAACATTTTTCTGTTTGAAATGGTGTTATTCTTTGAGTGTGTGTGTGTATATATATATAATTTTTTTAGCTGCAAAATTTTTTTGACTATTTTACATGTTTGGATAAGTGAGACAATATTTGTGTTAGTTTCCTTTTTATAGGTAAAGTGTAGATCAAATGTTTGATTTTAACAAATAGTATCATATCTTTATTTCTCTAAAAACAATTTTGGATACTTGCCACTTTTAATAGATACATGTTAATTTTATTTTTTGTTTTTTCAATTTTTTTTTTTATTTAATATTTTGATTGTTCTTTTAATTTGTTAAAGTGAGCATTTAATCAAATTTAATTTAGACCATTTAAGAAACTAAAAATTTGCAGACTTAAACAAATATTTACCATTTTTCATTTCAGAGATAAAATAAAAATCATAGAATTAAGTTAAATATGTGAGATATATATGTGTATATGTAAATTCTTAATTCTGTATATAAAATTATGGTAAAAGTTTTTCTTTTCTTTTTTTTTCTTGTTAAAGAAAATCTGTTCATTATTTACATTATTCGGACTATTTTTCCTCATCTTTGTTGCCATATTTATTACAATTTTTTTTGAATTTATTGGTTTCCAACAATTCAGGTGGTTGGAATGTCAAAGATTTGTCAGTTTATGGTTAATCTTTGAAAGTGTCTTGTTCTAACTTCCATTAAGTGTTTAATGGTATTAATAAATCTCCCGTTTTGTTTTCCCTGGATTCTCCATCTTTTAATTGGATTGAACTCACACTCTTGAGGACACCTGGCACAGTGGATAAAGACATTGGTTAGATCCAGTGACATGACCCAAAGAGTGTGAGTTCAATACCTGGTTAAGGCAGTGGAGAACTTTCAGAGGGAAAATTAACAGGAGATAACTGACATCCATTAAACATGGCACGTGGAACTAGAACAGTCTACCCCAGTGATTGAAATAAAGGGTTAAGTTTGACATTCCAACCACCTGAAGAAGACCGGAGCCTACAACAGCCGAAATGTTGTAATAAATATGTCAACAAAGATGAGGACAATAGTCCGAATAATGTACATAATACCTCATCTCAGAAATATAGACAGAAAATCTGTTATTTAACTGGAGGTTAATGATAAAATATTTATATTAAGTACTTTGAAATATTTACATATTTAATAATCTACATTAAATTGTATAACCTGTAAATGAATGTAATAATTTGCATTTTTTTTTTTTTTTTTTTTGCCTTGTTTGATCTTTTACAATACAGATTTTGTTGAATGTTGATATTTTTATTTGAATTTTATTTTCCCAGTAACACTTGGGATGAGCATCTATTTGAGTTGGTCCTTCCACGACCATGCACAGTGGGTCATATTGATGTTAAGTTCTCCCTATTGAACATGTGTACTACTCTTCCTAACATCCAAGTGACATTGCTCAAGCAGAACATTAGTAACATTGGCAAACAGCAACAACAGCAACCTCCAGCAGTGTCAACAGATTCTTCCATTCATACTTCTAACAATACAAGCAATACTGGCACATCATTATTGAGCAGTTTTGGTTCCTTACACATTTCGGCCACTGCTAATGCTGAGCCACAACCATCTACTTCAGTTGAAGTTGATCAGAAATTAGATTTTAATCTACATTACAAAAGTGATCTCTTGGATGACTCCTCATCCAGCTTCAACTCTCGGAAACAGCCTGAAGTGAACAATGTTCTTGACCCTCTATTCCTGGAAATGCACAATGCTGAGATTCTATGCGGGCCATTGTCCATCTCCTCATGCCTTGATTTATCTGGTAGCAGTGGACTAGTTTCGCTTACTAGTCCACAGTTATTAAATTCTAAGTCCCGTTCTTTCCTCTTGCACATCAAAGGATTTTCAACTAAGGGAGAAGACTCTATGGAACGACCTCAGGTATTGATACTGTGAACTTTTTTTATCATTGATTTCTGAAAGGTGCCATATCTGGTAAACGGCAAACCTTGTTTGCTATTAGTAGTTTTGCTCAAAATTAAGGGAACTAAATAGTTGAGACTTGGTTACACAAGGGGTTAACTTTTGTTTGGTCTTTTCATTATACAATGATTTAATGCTCATGAAATTTATCAGTTTGATATGTCAGTATTACAAAACATGTTTAAGAAAATTTGTTTTGTAATAATTGTAAAGAAAAAAATGAACCAGTTTTACTTGTTTTTATAAACTCTGTTATGTGGAGCCAGCTGTACGCAAGGGCATTGGGAGTTTCTCCATTGAAAAGATTACTTGATGAGTGATAATATTGGGGGTTTCTGGAAGTTTTTTTTTTTTCCCCCCTTTATGTCCATTGTGGTTTATTCTAATACCCCCATCTGTCCCAACTTTAAACTCAATACTTGAGCATTATCCTCAACTCTCCAGGTCCTTACATGTTGGTACAAACTTTTCCAAATGCACTCTCATTATACTTTCATTAACAAAAATATCATCAATATTGGTTGATATGCATCAGTTTCTTATAAAGGGTGCCACATTAAATACAAACCCCAACACTATTCCTGAAACAACATGGTTTGGAATGCCTATAGGAGTTTGGGCACATGCACTTTAAGTAGGTTCCTCTTGAATCATTTATTGAGACATCAAGATCTTACTGCTGCGACTTCCTCATTTAATTCTCAATAATCCATCACAGGACACACTTTTTGTCTCTCCCAAACCATAGCCATATTTGGCATCAAATTCTTGGGTAGACCAAGCTGCTCTTTGGAGCAGTCAGCTATTGTCCAGTCATATTTGCAGTTAAATTCATTCCTGACATGCTCAGACATAGGATGTTTTGGCACTCTTTCAACCACAGACCACATCTATGATGTAATATAGGTCTTGTTTTGCACTGGAATCTGACTTGGTGATCTTAATGGCCACACATACAGGTTTGTTGTCCTTGTGAGGAAAGTGAGTGTATTACCTGACTCAGTTATTTGAATTTTCCCAACTCTTTAATGACAGTAAGTTCAAACTGGTCAAACCCCAACAACTTTCTACTCATGACTTTATCAATGAAAACAAATTTAGCATGCCTAACTTCTGTTGATCATCAGTACATTCAGCTCCTCTTTTATTTTATAAAAGTGGCAAAGTGATTAAGAACCAAATCTGGGCTCTTGATTCATTGATATGCACCTCACTTATCTTGCTTGGTGGAGAGACTTATCTCTTCTCCTGTTTCATTTCCTAGTCCTAGAAATCTGGTCTGCATTGCTGCATCAGAAGCAACATGCTTGATTACTTTATTTTATTGAAATAACCAACTACTCTAGTTTATTTTACATCAGTTTTTCATTTTTATAAAGTATTTTGAATATGTTTTTTTATAATTTAGGATTTCATACATTATCTGTGATAATTTAAATTTTCCATTTTATGTTATCTCATGGATATATGTTTATTTTCAAGATGCATGTCTATTGTCTGAAATTGAAAAAATGAAATAAGATTAATATAATTTATACAGTGTGTTAGGTATTCAAGAACAAATCTTTGGCAGACTATGTATAGCTGGCCACTTGTATTCGAGGATACCTGTCTACTAGGGTGGTTACCCAATCCCTATTGCAGGCACTTGCTCAGGCGCATTTGTGTTTATTCAATACCCACAGAGCCCACCTGTGGTTTATACTGCAACTATGCTGAGCAGACCTTAGTTACAGTTTCTTAGATAGTGTGTTATCTAACGTGATCAACAATTTGAACAAGGCCAGCATGCTCAAGACCTAGGCCACGATGACTTGTGACTTCGAGCTAGCATAGCTATTGATGGCACTCAAGGGTTCCGTCTACCCAATTTCACTCACAAGGCTCTGGTTAACCTGTGATATTGTTTTGAGGCACTTTTACAAGGGTGCTGCACGCTGGGATTGACCCCTCCAGTCTAATAACATCAGGAAGTCTCCTTCCTGACAAATCGACCATGGTGAGATTCAAACCCCGGTCTTAATTGTCAGAATGTGAACATACTAACCACTCTGACACATGCCCATAGACTATAAATGGGAGATAAATCTCCTGTAATGTTATGCAGCAAGCACCGAATATAAATGTGATTTAGACATATCAAGAGCATTAACTAAGTAGCTTCCATTCTGATACAAAAAAATAAAAAGGCACACTATGCTTGTGGAACTAGCTGCTTAATAACTTTGAGGTAGTGAGCTACTTGAAAGTGGACAGTTAAGAAAATAAGAAAAACAAAAGATGGCTTTGTGCAAATCCCACTGAGTTACCTATAATGATGCACATCAACTTCATATCATCTGTGATGATCCTGGGGGTTATAAGCAATGAAGGACATTATGCTACCTCACTTCTTCCTTACAACCATCAGGGTCAACATAACTCTCTCTCTCTCTACACTATGGTCAAGCTATGAATTAAGTGGGTGGACATACATATTCCAGCAGGATTCTGCTCTCTTCCGCATGACTTTAGTAACTCAAGAGTAGCTGGTAGTTTTCACAATGTCACTTACTTTGGACCTCCTAGCTCTCCTGGATTACTCAATCTAAGGCCATCTTTTTGAGTAGTTTTATTGAATAAACTTTTTCTGTTAGATGAAGAAGGGTATATATTTTTTTTTTTTTACTATAATTTGTTCTCAGTTACCTGGTACCATTTTGTATAATGTAGTTTTTACATTAACAAAATTTACTTAAGATTTTCTTTTTTTTTTTTTGTTTTAGCCTTCAGAAAGCAAGAAAAAATCAACTCCCCTGTCAAACAGCTCTGTATCTGACAAACAAAAAGTGAAGTCCATAAAATCTCTCTTTGATAACATTCCATACCCAGGACTGGGCAGTTCAGAAAGGGTGTCTTCTACGCCCAAGATGAAACTGGAGAACATTCAGGGATGTGACTGGATACAGGAAATATCTATAACTGTCAGGAAAACAAAGAAAACTAATGTGCCAAAAGAAAGGTAAAAAAAAAAAAAAGTCACTTGTTAAGGAATTAATTTTTCATTCTATGTACAGTTAATTTTTTTAATATCTGCAAACTCAATAGCTTTATTTTAACTGTTCAATATGTCTTACAAACTTATAACATTCTTTTCATTGAAGCTTTAAAAGGGCTGTTGCTTTTTAATAATCATAAAAAAAAGAATTAAGGGCATTTTAAAATTTTCATGCTAGTGTGATGCCTGTTCAAGTAGAAATGTTTTTTAACTTGCAACACTAATAATTTGTCTCAGGTTTTCCTATACTCATAAATTTTAAAATTTAACTTGACTGATAATTTTTCTGTTGATCACCAACTTAAGCAAACTAATGTGATATACTTTTATAAGTAAATTCTATGAAAAAATTCTGATGCGCTTATTTTATGAATATTGTTAGTATTGTACTGTATTAAAGTATTACACTTAATTTTAATTCACACTAATTTGTATTTTTTATTGCTTTAGATGGCATAGAAATGTAATGATAGAATCTAGCGAATTCCATGAGAGCCTCCTGACTGCAGTCACTGACCCGGACCAAACTAACATCCGTACCAGTCAGGATCACCATCAGAACCTGGCCCTTGATATTCTTTGTTGGATTGCAGCTGTGCAGATGAATGATCCTTCTCGAAAGTAAGAATGTCAATGCAAAGTGCTTTCTTTGTAATGTTTATAATTCTTATTCGCTACATTGACAGAACATTAAATTAGTTCTATCTTTTTTATTACAACATGTTCACATTTGTTTCATTATTATTTAATCAGTTAATTTAAAACAGAATCACTAAGAATAGAAATTTGTTGACAAATTTTAACTAATGGCAGTAACTTTTGTTTTGATGAGATTTTTGCTTTATAGATATTAACACTATGCTAAGAATTTCAATTACAGCTACTAGTAACAAAACCAATTTTGATATTAGTAGTTTCATTTTTCAAGTATTAGTAGGTACCCCAAACTGCCCTAATTTATAAAATAATGAAATTTCCTTCCATTTCAACTGCTCACCTCTCTTTTATTTGTAATGTTATTTTGATAAAATTAGTATGGGGACAGAATTTAATCTTTTCTCATTTTAAAGATACAATTTTTCGCATTTGTGATGATTAGCTTTTATTCCACATCTCTTTAAATTGTCTCCATTTCAGTGACATTTTTTTTTTTGTCTGTCTTATATATATTTTCAAAGTTGATGATTTCATAGTGGTGTTTTTCAGATTAGTTGCACTCAGTTGTCTGTTTACACATATCAAAATAGTCACATCTCAAAGAAAAAGATGTCTGTCAATTTGGTGGGTGAATCATAAGGTTTAAAGATATTTCACAAAAGTTGGATGACTTTTTACCAGAGAAATTCAACTCTTAAAATAAAATTTACACCTTGTAGAGCAATGTTTCATCTTTAATAATCAGTTGGTTTTATATTTCTGTGCCCATGCAATTTGAGGTGTACATGAATTAAAAAAGAGGGTATACTGTGTTCATTCACAGTTGGAGCCGTTTATATTGAAATTTGTATTGCTGACAGTAGCTGAACATTGCCAGCTGAATTCTATTTTAAGTCTGATTTGTTTCATTGATGAATATTATTTTAAATATTTTTCTTTAATGATGCATTTTAAAACTGTATAAAGTCATTGTTTTAAAAATAAATTTGGGGTGTTAGCTCAAATTGCTGTTACCTTAGCTATTCTTAATTTTTTAAACTAATAACTGGAATAATAAAATAAAAATAGTTTTGGTATATTTTTAGTTCTTTAAATTTTTTTTTTTTTTGTTTTTGTCCATAAAAAATTAAAATAGAACTTTTTTAATGGTCATTTATAAAGTATCACTATGAACTTACTGAAGAAAATCTTTTAAAACTCATTTTGAAAAATTTAAATGTTAAATTTTGTTTGTTTGAAAAATAACAGCCTAAAGCTAATTTGTAATAAAAAAAAAATTTATTTAAATAAGGTTTTAACTTTATAAGACTTTAATACATTGCTACAGTCACTCAGTGAATTTTCATTCTTGATGACAAATAAAAATAATCAAATGTAAAAAATCTCTTAAAACTAGTATTTTTTCTTGCTTTAAAGTAACTTAACAAAATTAAGCAATAACTGATTGGATTTTGTAAAAATAATGCTTATTTTTTGTTTAAAATGTAGTGAAAATAATGTTTGCACACAGTAACCCATGAGTTGTCATCACCACAGTAGCCTTCTAATGTTAAATTTTACATTTTTCAATTTTTAAAACACATTTTCATTTAATAGAAAAATAACTTATTGGGGGAATTTCAGAATTGCAATGAAAAATTACAAGTATATTTAAAAAATATATATATTCAATATATATTTTTTTGCGTCAAATGTGAAAGAAAATTATGCAACTACCAACACTCAATGAAAATGTTTTTGACTTTTATTAAGTTACTTTTTTGGTAAGGTTCATAACAAACTTTCAGTATGTTCAAGGTTGATTTTGAATTTTTTTTTTTTTTACTTAAATAACATTTATGTAAATGTAAAATATTTTCTGAAACACCTTCAAAATTTGAATGTGTTTATATTTGAAAGTTGGAGTGGAACTGAACAAAACAAAAAATAAAGACTGCATGCATTACTTCACCATTGATCAACTTCAAACATGTTCATGTGCAACCAGACTACAGTATCAGCAACTGAGTAGCAATTAGTTTCTGGTATTTCAAGAAAGAATGCAAAACATCTGCGACAGACACAAACAAGAAGTTCTGAAACTTCATGTACAGGAAAGGATTTCTAAAAATGAGAGGTAAAAGGAAAATGAGTGTTTGACAATCATTGACTCTGTCATCAAGCATGGATGTACAACAAGCAGTGGTTTGGAAGCATTGAAAGATCAACTTAGATATGTGATTCTCTTTGGTATCAAGATTAGCACCAGTGGAAGTAAATCTAATTTAAAAATTACTCTTGACAGGAAAATCAGTTGATTCATCTCCACCTCTTAGACAAAAGAAAGAAGAAATGGCACTCTGTGATTCTGACTATTTAAACACATCTAGCAGTGACCTTCAGTTATGAGTTGCAGTATGTTATGAATCCAACTTTTACATTGCCCAAGTCATTGATATTGTGTCTCCATTCAGAACTGTGATAAAGTTTTTAGCTCCAACAAAGAGCGGAAATTATTATTTCTGATGGCCTTTGTTAAATTATATTGCACAAGTGAAATCAGCATTTGTTTTCAAATGAGACTGTGATGTAATGCCAGTTTCAAGTGATGGCTGGATATGGAGTGTTCAGCAATATTAGTCATATCAGAAGCTTATAAGGAAATTCAGTCAGCAAATCACCATTAGGAGAGAAAGTGTAGGAGAACCAGTCACAAGGTCCTGAAAGTCTTTTCTATCAGTTCAAAACAGAGGTTTAAAGCATTCTTATAAATGTTTTCCTTTTGTAAAACCAATTTCTAAGTTTTGTAGTCATTACCATCCTGTTTTTGATGAATTGAAAATTACATAATTTCACAAAATTTTTAAAAATTAAATCTATTTTACAGAAAATATTGATATTACAGTGAAAAGAGCTGTTTTATTGAATACCTCATCCCAAAATTAGTTAAATTTCAAAGTTTCAGTACCTCGCAATGGATTCATTTTTATGGCAAATCATATTTACAGCTGTTTTGATTTTATTTTTTTTATTTTTTTTATGTACTACTGAAAAAAAATTAGCTTCATCACTGTTGTGCTATGAAGTATAGGAACAGTTACAAGGCATTAACTATTGAAATGAAACTTTTATAATCAGTCAAATTTGCCCTTCTCTGTCATATTTTTACTATATTTACTACTTGAAAACTTTTTCCTAAGAATTATTGATACTATTAACATTATCTATCTTTTACTTCCAGACTACATATATGACATTACATTTATAATGATTTTTAACTTGTTTAAGGATGCATCTTCTGTTATACACTGTTAAATTTAGCTTTAAGTCCAGTAGCACATGAGACAAATTTTTCAAAGTATTTATGAACTTTGAATGGTCATCACATTTTTGCTAATTGAGTTAAGATAAATTCTGTACCATTTCTATGCTTTACCAAGATCTCTATACCTGTATTAAAGGTTTATATATATATATATATATATATATATATATATATATTAGTTTGGGATATCTAGTATTACTGTTACTGGGTGCTGGATTTGGGTTATTGACTGTAACCATATTACACACACTTAACAAATGCACCCAGAGGAACTAAAATATTTAATTAGCTCGTCAAATAAAAAAGAATTTGGAATTATGGAAATGAAAAAGAAAATTGTATAAAAACTTAATGATGGTTGCAAAAAAAACAAAATCACTTTTAATTGAAAATTTGAAGGAAAGCTTCAGCTTGAATAATGTTTATTATGTCACTTAATGACTAAACTGAAGAAAGCGCATAGTTTATTATCATTTAGTTTTATAATTTTTCTTTTTAATCTCTGTTTATTCTTTTATGTGATAAATTTGACTCTTTCTCTTTCTCAATTTTGAATTTTTTGTTTGTATGATTTCATATATTTGTAGAACACTCAACAACAGCATTTTAGTATCTGTGAAAAAGGAGCTACTTAGTTTGGTAAAAGCCAGTTTTATAAGAGGAACAAGAACAACAGGGCACAAAGCTTCTCGCTTTTTGGCTCTTTGTATGGAGTAAGTAACATCTGATTTGAAAATATTGCTGTAAACCATCATAAATATTTGTCCCATCCACCCTCCCGGAAACTTAGGAATTAATGTAATGAAGTGTTGCTTCATCTATTAAAACTCAAGATAATTTAACTAAATCTTTAAGCAATATTATCATACCATTCATTAATTAATTTATGCTTTTGCAAATCTTTGAGTGGTTGTTAGGGAAATATTGTGTTGGCAATTGTTTTTCTTGAGAAAAGTCATACTGATATTTTAACATAACTAAGAAAAAAATAAATGCAACCTTAAAAAAAATCATATAAATAGTAATGCTAAATACTATTGTAATGTTTGATAGATTTGATATAATTTACACAAATTTTGATTTCATACTTGGTAAACTATCTAAAAATGAGCTTTCCATGTTACTCATCAATTACAAAAATAATTGTTTTATTGGTTGTTTGTTGTGTAAAGCAATATTGAAGAAAACTTTTTTCTTTTCTTTTTTTTTCTTTTTTTTTTTTTTATAAAACTTGTTTTAAATTTGTTACATATGAATTTTTTTTTTTAGATTCTGCAAAACTTGTTCCGATCCAGATGCTGCTCCATCATTCAGTTTCAGCCTGCTCCAAGCCTTGCTAGAGTGTCTTCCTCTGCTTCCATCTGGCTATTCTGCTGGTGCCCTTCGTTGGTTCTTCACATTACTTAACATTGTCAAATGTATGAATGCTACTTTGGTTGCTGAAAAATGTGTCAACATGTTAACCACTGTAGCTAAACACTATCATGATCGAGATACCCCACTGCACTCCTTACTAAAAGCCAGGTGAAGTATTTAAAACCTATATTTATCCTTTACTAAATCTTCATGATTGCATAACACTTGTTTTAGAATCTGCCTTCTCTTTTATCTCAAATTCTGTTCCAATATATTACTACTCTGATTCTAAGGAGCAAAAATTTGTGTAGCCTCTATTCTATTATAAAATTGTAAACACTATCAAATAATTTCATATTGTTGGACAATGTTTTTTAATTTCTATTGTTTTGAAATGATCAGTCTTATATTTACAATATCATTTAATAAATAAGAGGTAAAATAAATACTTCATTAAAATGTTTTCAAACAGATCAAAAGAACTGAGGAAATTGTTTTTTGTTTTTTTTTTTTGTTTTTTTTGTTACAAAACTTTTTTTATAAGATATATACCTGAAAACTTTCAAAATGATTTATTTTCTGTTTTGACAATTTATTTCAGATATGGGCTACAAGGTCATCCGTTTGATCCTGACCTGTTTGACATTTACCCAGCCAATAGCCTGCGACCATCTAGTACCTCATATACCTATGCAGCTGCTGCAGCTGCAAACACTAATGGGCAGAGTTTCCAACCTCCAAACCAACAAGATGAGATGGATTACTATGATTTGTTCAATCATCTATCAGATAAGCACTGTGACAAATTCCCATCAGAGTACTTAAGGCACAACATCCTTGGCCTTCTTGAGGTGGAACCTCTCCACTTCACATGCCATGCAACCAGTGATGGCACTAAAATGGAACGTCTTGACTCTGGTCCTTCAGGTTCAGGCAACATTCCAATCGTCGGCTCTTCAAGTCTTTCTGGCACAGTCAATTTTGGAGAGAGCCTGTCGAGTGCTGCAACAGGAGCAACAATGGCATCTTTGCCCTCCTCTTTGGCCATGGCAGAACAGCAAGTGCAGCAGCTTGCTACTAAAGTACAACAATCTAAGAAAGATGTTGAATCCATCAAACAGCTGCTCAGCACAGTGCTGAAAACTGTTAAACCTGGCACAAATTCTGAACAAGCCTATAAACAGCAGCCCCCACAAAATCCCAAAACAACACCCTTGTTTATGACACCACCTTTGTCTCCCCCCAATGAAAACTGGTCCACAACAGCTTCACCTTATTTATCTACTGGAGCCCCAAATGACAATGGACCACTTTTTGTTAAAGTACCATCTTTAGTTGGTGATAAAGTGAGTTTCTTTTTTATCATATATATATATATATATATATATATATATATATATATATATATATATATATATAATATTTAATATGTGCTCATTATATATAACACAGAAAATTAGAAATTTGATCTTTCAGAGATATATAAAATTGTATTTATAGATTAGATTAGATACACTGAAGTTTTAAAGTGTTCTGAACAATTAAAAAATATTACAACTTTGCCAATAGAATAATTTTTATTTCATTATTTTTCAGAGCCAAGGAGAGAAATGTGATAATAAACAAAGAGTACAAATGGTGCTTCCCCATCTGTTACAACCGCCTTCACCCCAGGTTCTTGTTGTAGAAAGAATGCATTCAGGTATGATTTAGTGAAAGATTGTTAAAGTTTATCAAAAAATACTGAAATTTACTTGTTTTCTTATTTCTATTTTCAAATTTAATTTGATTTGGTCAGTACAAAGAATCTTTTGCTTTCACAAATTCGTTTTATACAGCATTTTCTATTTAAAACTCTTCTTGTGAATAATTTGAGAATTTGTCTTTTTATTAAAAATGTTTTTACTGACATACAGCAATGACTAATTTCTTTGATCACACTGATTATTCTATTATTGTTGTCCTTTTTTTGTTCATTGATACTCATAAGGATTTAAGTTGTGGATTACTGACGCTGAAATATTGACACTCTTTTTACTTTTTGTGTTTCATTGTTTTCTTTACAGTTATGTAAGAAGTAATAAAACAAATCAACTGTTAGTGTCATGTTAGTTTTCTCATATAAATTTTGTTTATATAGACTGTTTATGCTGATACATAAATAAGTTGATACTCTAATGATTTGGAGGAGGGACATTTTACTTATTTTTCATTATAAGCTTATTAGTGCACTTAATTCAGTAGTGAATATTAATCACCTGGCTCAAATATTATACAGTGACCATTTCAGATTAAAATTTAACTAATAGCTATCAGTTTGTGAACTTCATTGAGCCACTCTTGTATAGACAATATAATGTTTATATAAATGTTGACAGATTTGATTTTTTAGCCAATCAGTTATTTTGGAGGTTCTAGGAGTCCTTCAACTGGTATAAGACAGAATCTCAACCCAAATCACCAGTTTTTTTCTTGCCTTGTTGAATCTATACATTCTTGATTTAACTCATCAAGCCACTCAACAAACTTCAGTAAATTTTCAACTTGTTTACCTTGATAACTTAACCTGGTACCAGTTTCTTATCATAAATACATTTTTTTAAATGTATCTACATTCTTACTGTTGACTTGGGTTCATTTGTTTTTGATATTGTAGCCTTATATATTAAGTGCAATACTTTAGTTATAAAAGGATATTTTGTCATTACTTACATTAACTTGGTTTATATTGTTTGAACTAATCTTGCAAAAAGATTGCATTTTGTGACTGCAGTTAACCATTTTTTCAATATTGTTAGAAAAAATAATTTTAATGTTAATATATCAGTTTCTTAAGGTAGATAAATTCACTTTTGTTACACAGCTACTTTAATGGAGCACTCAAATTTTAACCTTCTATATCAAACATATTTTAATTTTTAAAAATGAATTTTACTTAAGACATATTTAATATTCATAAATAATTTTATTACTGCTGGTTTTCCTTTTACCAGATCTTAAATTTTAACTAGACATTGAATCAAGCACCATTAAAATTACTAATCATGGTAAAGAATATTAATAATAAATGTCTCATTTTTAGTCCTTTTATTCTGCACTAATTTAAGACTGTAAAACTTACTAAATAACTGAATTATCTAATATGATTTATTTTATTTAATTTTGTTTTTAGGTGCACGTCGTTTTGTTATATTGGATCTTGGTAAACCGGTATTACTGACAGATGTGATCATCCCAGCTTGTGCAGATTTGGCTTCATTGTCCATTGATGTGTGGGTGCAGAGTGAAGAGGTTGATGGTCAAAGACTTGTCATTGCTGCAGATATTGGCATCCGTTCTCTTATCATGAACAATATTATGCCACCTCCCATCTGCCGCTACCTAAAGGTTCTATACTTATCTCTAAATTTGTTTGGGGGAAAATTTACTTAATCTATAAATTTGTTTTAAGTATTAGGTTTATACAAAAGTGTCTGGCATTTTTTACAACCTTTTATTTATATAAATTGATAATTTTATCCAGTCATCAATGTATTTGCCTTTAGCTTAGAGTAGCTTCTAAGTAAAATGTATATTGTGTCATAATCATTTCTTTTATTTGAAAAATTCTTAACTTTTTAGAAACACTAGCCAAAATACCTTGCATGGAGCAAAGCAAATGAATCTAAAGGTGCTATGTTTGTAAAATATGTTACCTATGGAAGAACTTTGCATTCAAAACCCATAATTGTTTATTGGATTTATGATATTAGGGAGGATATTGGCATGCAGCCAATTTATTGGATCACCTTTTTTTACTCCGTTGTTTGCGTAGTTTTTCTTTTTTTTTTTTTTTTTTTTTTTAAGTTGTATGTTCAATTCATCAGTATTTAAATACTGAAGTTTTCAAAGGACTATTTGTTCTTGAAATCTCCTTTGCAAACACATACATTGATTGGCTTATATTGCACTATGCCTGCACAAACAGTCGAATAAAGTTTGAGGATACTTATAATATTTCTAAACATTATTCAAAAGATGATTCCGAGAACTTTTGTATACATCTAATGTATCAACCTAATGTACAGCTGGATCATACACTTAATTTTGCCATCAGGTTTAATATTAGTCTGCACAGTTTTGATATGTTTTTATAATGTAGAAAATCCAAATGTATTAAGATATTAAAAGAAAAAATTTATAAAAATATAGCTGACAACTATCTTTTTTTATACACTTATAACATTTTCTATAGAAGCAACAAATTGATAACATTTAAAGGAAAATGACAGGTTTAATTACAGTAAATGTCTAAAGTACAGGGGATCAGTTGGGCACCATCTGTGAGAAAAAGTGCACTATGACACAATTCACTCCACCAGAAATTCTGAAATGGTATGCTTTACTGCTTGGCATTCACACCAGAAGCTCCAATATGAACATTTCAGACCGTTTGGATGTCAAACTGAGATCAGTGCAGAGGATTCAGAAAGAGTTGGACAAGTGTAATGGTGATTACAAAGTTATAGCAGCTCAGCAAACTCACTCTGATCGTTCTGATAAGAAAAGAACTCTTGAATTTGTTAGTGAGGGCCTCAGACTCAACGTGGAGGCTTACATGAAGTGCCTTAAGTGCCCTTCTGGGTCAATAGGGTGGCTGCTGGAAGACCTTATGTCTACTGACAAGACTGCACTATGCCACATAAGCAGGAGAACTCGGTCATGGCTGTTAGACAATTTTTGTGACCACATTACCCCCTTACATCTGGCTGCCTAACCCCCCAGACTGCAACTCCCTTGATTATTATGTGTGGGGCGCAGTTGAGAAAGAGACCAAGAAAAACACTTCCTTGTAACATCAAAGATGAACTAAAGGCAAAGATTATAGTGGCATTAACCAATTTAAACAAGGAGATTGTTCAGAAAAGTTGCAGGAGGCTGTAAATGAATTCAATCGCTTTTTTTTTCTTTTTTCTTTTTTTTTTTTTTGTGTGTGTGTGTTTGTTTGGAATTTTGGTAAATATATCTGTTAAAGAGAGATATCGTGTTATTTTAATTTCTGCATAATGTAGACAATTTATACATCCTACCCTATATTTTGTTTTTTCCTTTTATCCCAGCAGATTTTATTTACATCATTGAAATTCTTCTTGAGCTCAGTAGTTTTACTGTTTCATCTTTGAAAACTTTGTGTCCATTTACATTTGTGTGTATTTGTCACTTTTAAATGAAAATCTCTTTAACATTTTCTTTTGTTTACAGATTACAACTATTGGTAGATATGGAGGTAGTACAACAAGATCAAAAATTCCTGTTGGTTCATTTTATGGACACAGCTTCATTTTCCCCTGGGAATGGAGTAGTTATGTTGAACACTATATCCCCAATGGTCACTCATCTGCAACAGTCGGTACACACAACACTGCTACTACAGCCAGTAACAATGTAACACAAAATGGCCATGAACAGCAGCAGCAGCAACACCACCACCAGGTGATTTTTTCTCAGTTAGGACTGTTCCTCTCTTTGCTTGAAGACATTCAGTGCCGCTACAGTCTGACCAAAACTCAGTTAGACACTTTGCTGACATCCTTATCAGCCTCACAGTCAGCCAGTGATCACACTCAATATTATCTTCAAAAAAACCAAAAGAAATGTGTCGATGACAAAATTATTTGTATTTACAATGACTGCCTTCAGCTTCAGCAGCAGCTTAATCTATGCCAGCGTGCTATCGACAGACTACAGCGAGGTCTTGGACTTGGTCTCCCAAAAAAAGGTATACAATAGCTAATCAACAATATCTTTCCTATTATCACTTTAGTTATTTTCTCTTTCTTTTCCCTCCCAAGGAGTTGTAAATGTTTTCTTTGAAAACATTATTCTGTAGAATATTCTTCGGGTAGTTTCAGATGGTAGTTTAGGTGCAAAACCATAAATACTACTTAAAACCTGGTTTTCTTTTGACTCTTTAATATTTTTTAATCTTTTATTTATATATTTTATCTTTTTATTGATTTATATATTTTATTTTTTATTTATATATTTCTTAATTTATTCATATTTTTCAAATCTTTATTAAATATAATTTCATACTCCTAACAATTTTGCCGTTGAGGATATAAGCAAAATATATATATTTTTTTTTAAATTTTGCTAAGGAAAGCATCACACATCTTTTATGAAGAAAAAATTATAATTTACTTATTTTTCATATTTTAACATAATTGATGAAATATGAAAGTATTCATAAAATTTGATTTTGATGACACATTACATGATTTATAAAGTTGTAAAGGCTATGAACTGAAAGGTTTTAAAGACCAAATAAAATAAATTTTTGTAAAAAAATTTTTATTAAAAAAAAAACTGTTTAAATCACAATTTATGAATTTTGTTACATTTTAGAAAATGTGATATTATTGCTATCTTAATATCAGCCTCTAAACTTGCCTTTTCTCCAATCCTGTTTGATTATGCTTTAGATTTAGTTTTTATTTTGTTTCAATTTCTTTAAACTCTGTTGCTTTCTATTAGAGTTACAAGAGACATAATCTTTGACTGCATATTGATATTAATGGGATAGAAATAATTCACCTTTTTTAAGATGTTTAAATCATTAAAAATTTCAATTTTCAGATTTGGAAACTGTTGATTTGAGCCAACAACTGAAGAAAGCATCAACCGATAAACTACGTTTCCTGTTGGAGTGCCTGCTTGAAACTCTGATTAGCATGACCAATGGATCCCCTTCCATTCCTCAGCTTCCAATTTCTCTGTACACCAGCCTTAGCCCTCAGACTTGTGAGGCTCTCTTCAGACACATGTGTATATCTGGTACTCGACGTATTCAGATTCTCTCAGGCATGTTACTAGTTCGAGTATGTGGCACCCAACCATGGTGGGGAGAATTTCTGGGTAATATTTTGCAGAGATTCTTTCACTCTGAATACAAACAAGTTTTTCCACAAGACAGGTACATAACAAATATTTAAATTTGGGAATTATTTGCACTTTTTTTTTTTTTTTTTTTTATATAAACATGAACATCTTGAGTAATGAGCTAAAATTCATTTGGTGCTAATTTGTGCTTTGTCACTTGAAGTTTATGTATATCAGTTGTGCATTCTTAAGTGTTCTTGTTGAATATATGAACTTGTATGCATTAATAATTTGCTAGTATCCTCACCACTTAATGATCTATGAAATTATCTTGGTAACCCTTACACTACAAGGAAGTATTTATGTTGCAATTTAAATATGGTGGTTATTTTGTTATTAATTCATTGTTTAATTAATCAACACTAGCAAGCACAGAAATAATCTATTATTTTAACTCAATTTCAGTATATATGAGGGTCACTCCAAAAGTAATGATTTCCATTTCATTATATTGATATACAATATCAGAGGTGAATGTCAGTGGTATGGCACCTTTTCACCAATGCCCCCTCCCCTCGTCTTGTTATGGATGGCAGTCTAGCAAAATGGTATCTGACATCAGTGTATATTATTAAGATCCTCTGTATGGATTGCATCTACCAACATTTATCATCGCTTGCTGAATATTTATGGAGATCAAATTGTCAATGTGAGAATTGTTAAAAAGTGGGGTAATGTTTCAGAAGCGGCAATAGCAATGTGTGTTACTAGCCAGTGGTTATGGCTATGTGGTATAATGGTGTTTTCATAGCAATTTTGTTATGTTCTTTGTATCTGTTATAGTTTCTATGAAAATAAATAGAAGGTATTATTTCTGGAACTTCCCGTTTTTTTTGTTTTTGTTTTTTTTTTGTCAAATATTTGAGTTAATTCAAATAGGCATTTTTCTCTTTACTTTCCAGGGTGTTTGTATTATTAACAGCCTTGGGTCAGAAATCCCTAATGGGCCCAACAGCAGTAAACATTTTGGAAAGTCTGTTAGCTATGTTGGTACGAGCAGTAGCACCTTTGATGCCCAGTCCAGCAGGAGTTTCCAGAATGCCCACAGGTCAGTTCAACATATTTCATATTGTCTATTAATTGATTTTATCAGTTATTGTTATTTCATTAATCATTTTAACATGTCAATGGAAGGTGTAAGTATCAAGAACTACTGTATGATCTCTCTCTCCCCCCCCCACCCTCTTCTGTAAAATCTGCAACTACCCAAATAATTGTCCAAACAAAACCATTACACAACATGGAGGGAAAAACAGGCAGTTTGTCAGCTCCTTTTATTGGCAAATGTCAAACCCACCTACAAACAAGGAAGAAACCAGATGGTGGTTGTTGAAAGTCAAGAAAGGGATGTGGAGCAATTACATTACTCACAGACTTTTCATTTATTTCCTAATCTGGTATTTAAGAATTTAATCATAATCTCTGACTCCGTAGTATTTCTCACAAACAATACAAATTTTGTTTTTTAAAATCTGTCATGATAGCCTGAAGAGAAAAATCACCAAAGTTACATTTACAATTATAGAAAACAAAGAAATATATATTTGATTTAAGCAGCACTTTAATGCCACTTCGCAGACTGATTCCTCAATCCTTCTTTTTGTTGTTGTAAGTAATAGTACTGATGCTATCATTTTTTGCTTATAGTTTTTATGGTTATTTTACAGTATTTTGAATATTTCTAAATTAACTAAAATTTCTTATGTGTATATAACTGGTGCTATTAATGAATTTTTATTATTAGGAAATGTTGACTTGACTCTGATTGGTTGGATCCTTCTATTCTTGTGCCGTAACCTTGACAACACAATGCAAAATGGATTCAGTGATGACATAGACAAGGCTGCTCGCAAAGAGAAGGACACAGGTAATTAGTAATAATTTCTTGGATATTGCCTCTTAATATATTTAAGCTCATTCTAACTTTTAAGTTAGAAATACAGGTATTAATTTTCAGGCATTGGCCTTCAGCTTAGTTATTTCAAAAGTTTAAAATGTTGAACACTTTAAATCTGACATATTGTTTACTCTTAATTGTATTTTTCAGCAAGCCTATTCTTGTCCATACATATATGTAAACATTGACATCAAAAGCAAGCTCTGATCCAAAAACTTAATGAGGAAAATGCTATTGAAATGTTGATCTGTTATAGGTGTACAAAATATCATGCAAGGTTTTTTTATTTATTTTTTATTATACTTTAATTTTAAATTTGCTAATAAAAGCTTCAGATGTTGAATTTCACTTGTTTCATACATATTCAAAAAATTTTTTCATTTTTAAAAATAAGCATTTTCTTTGATACTCTTAATATACTTTCCTTGTAAATTGGCTCCAAATTGGGTTTCAATCATTTATGCGACATGTGATGTGATCTTTGTTTTTTCAATACTGGAAAGTTTGCTTTAAAAACATTTTGGTAGATACACAAGAATGCTTACAGCCTTGATAAAACACCAGTTCTCATCCAATCACTAAAGTTAGGTAATGTTGATCTTAGTCAGTACCTAAATGGGTGACCACTTATAGATTCTTCAAATCATGTTCATTACATCCACTTACGCAAATACTATGAGTGTTCATGAATCAAAAAGAGATATGATCACCTAAGCATGCCACATCCACCCTTACCAACACACATTGAGCCGTAGGATAATGGCCCATGAATCTGGGGGAAGCCTAAGCCCAACCAAAGGAACTTCAAAGGTTGAGAGGATACACAAGAAGTAATAAATTTAAAGCTTTCAAAATTGCTTTTTATTAATATGGCAGGGTGTGTTTTGATGCAAATATAATAGATTCTTGTATATTTTCTTACAGGTACTTTCCTACCTAACCGGTGGAGCTTTTTGCAGGGAGATACATGTGGCCAACCAAGTAAGAGTAAAGTGAAACAATCAATGAAATCATATCGTCGTTGTCTGCAAAAAAGAATATTTCACCATAAGCAAAAGCTCCAGGACTTAGAGCAAGCCAAAAAAAAATTCTTTGCTTCTCAAGCTGAAAAATCCTCTCAGGGGTTGGCCACTGAAGCCCATGCTCTTATAAAACAACATGAACAACAGTTCAAGAAAGAGCTTTCCCAGTATGCAAGCAAGGTAAGGATCTCTAAACTGATTACCTAATATGAACAGAATAAGTTTAATACTCATGTAGATTTAAATCCTTTTATTAAATGTTTTACTATGAATTCTTTTAGACTTTCAAAGGCTTGTGTTATATATGGCAAGCTTGAAAATAGGTTATGGTCATAATCAGATATCAGGCTTATAGCCATATGTTGAAACACCAGTTCCCTAAGTTAAGCAACATCAAGCCTGGTTAATACCTAAATGGGTAACCACTTGGGAATACTAGGTGCTGTAAGCTTGGAGGGGCTGGTGGTGTCATGGATAATGTTAATTGGAGAGCAGAGTTCCAATTCCAGTTGGGTTTGTTATATTCACTTATATGCAAATACCCTTAGGAAAGCTATGGGTTAATCAGTAAGACTTGTATCACTAAATCATCAAAAAAAAAATTCTTGGAATCTAAAAATATTTTCTGGCTTTAAATAACAATCAGATATCAATGTAACTAGTAAAGTCAGTGTCTACCAAGCATGTGTTCTGTTATCTCTCTTGTATGATTAGGAGACCTGGACAACCTATAGCAGGCATATACAGCATCTGGAATGCCTCTATCAAAAATACCTAGCAAATACTGCAAATATTGTGGCAATAAAGAATACCTGATACTGTTGTTCCTTGTATTGAGTCCATGATTATGAAGTGGAGACTGATTATAGGTTGGCCATTCAGTATGTTTGGGACATCTGACTTCTAAAACTATATGGTGAACTAGTGCAAAGGATACGTCTACAATGCAAGCCACACTTATGGTCAACATAGACATCAGCCTTTGGGAAAATCTTGCATCTGAAAGTTAACTTGGAATACACTGATAACTGATATTAACAACTTTGAGAAAGGTAGGTTTGAATACATAGTTAAAACAGGCTGCTCACTACATGGAGAACATAAGACCCCCTCTTCCAGGAAAAGGTACTAAATAGTCTCTCATATATACAGAATGTAGGCCTTTGTGCCTTTCAAAAGCTGGCTTAATTAGTCACATGCTACAGCACAATGCATTACTAACAATGTATCACTATGATGTCCAGCTTGATTTTATTTGCAATCTATGCAACAAACTGTGCAGATCAGAAAGTGTACTTACTCATTACAAGTCACAATCCTGATACCAAAGCAGAAAGTCATAAGCTTGCTTGCAAAACCTGTTGCTTAAAGTGTAGGTCACTCACTAGAATCAGTCATTGAGTCACCAGTGACATCATTAGTGGCAAGAATCTATAGTTAAGTCATGGAAGTAATTGTACTCAGACATTAGTTGACTTTCCATCATAGATTTATTTAATTTTCACACCTATCTAGAAAGACAATATCAATAAGACTAGAGGAAATTTTTTGTCTATATTTCTGAGATGAGGTATTATGTACATTATTTACATTATTCGGACTATTGTCCTCATATTTATCACAACATTTCGGCCGTTGTATGCTCCAGCCTTCTTCAGGTGGTTGGAATTTCGAACGGAACCCTTTATTTTGCTCACTAGGATAGACTGTTCTAGTTCCACGTGCCATGTTTGATGGATGTCAGTTATCAGTTATCTCCTGCTAATTTCCCTCTGAAAGCTTTTCACTGCCTTACACTCACACTCTTTGGGTCCTGTCACTGGATCTAACCAACGCCTTTATCCACTGTGCCATGTGTCCTTGAGGACATCTGGGTATGAATTTCTGGGTATTATAAACCTAATGTCTTCAGCAACCATTTTTACCAGTGCTCATATTGCAATTTTGCTGTTATCATACATGTTTTTACCAGAGCTCATATTGCAACTTTGTTGTTATCATTGCTTTTCTCTGGCACTCCTTATTACTGGTTCCCATATTGTATTTATTTCTATGCTTGGTCGGCTCAGGAGATTTTTGTGGCCTAGCATATGTGCTGATTCCTTAAGTTTACAAATTTTTCAATGGTGTTCCTCATCTATGATCTCAACCTGATCCCACAGAGGGTGGTGGTCTCCCTTCTCTCTTCATATGTGGTCAGCCACGCCTGATTTTTCTACTTCGCCTCGTGTTACAGCTTTCCATCAAACATGGCACGTGGAACTAGAACAGTCTACCCCAGTGAGTGAAATAAAGGGTTCAATTCGAAATTCCAACCACCTGAAGAAGGCCGGAGCATACAACGGCCAAAACGTTGTGATAAATATGGCGACAAAGATGAGGACAATAGTCTGAATAATGTAAATAAAGGAAATTTTTTATTAGGTATCCCAGACTGACTTAGTTTACAGTGCAAAAATGTATCAAAGTAGTGAAACTTCCTTCCATTTCAACTGCTGATATCTTGTTTATTTTCAAGGCTACTTTGATAAAATTAGTATATAAACAAAACTTTATCTTTTTCACTTTATAAAGATAAAATTCATTCTCGCGTGATAATTAGCTTTTATTCTTTGTCACTTTAAATTATGTCACTATTTTTACAATGGAAAGTACTTTTTCTGCATTTTCAAAGTTGATAATTTCATAGTGGTGATTTTCAAATTTGTTGTGCTCAAAGTTGTCTCCCTACACATACCAAGGTCGTATCATCTTAAAGAAAAAATAATACTTGTCAATTTATTCGGCTAACTATAAGGTTTGGAGTTCACAAAATATTTCTGAGTTGAAAACTTTAGTGTATGAAATATCAGATAAATTCAACTCTTTGAAAAAAAATGACAATTTCACCTCATTGTAATGTTTCATATCTTTTCACCAATACAACTTGAGGTGTACGTAAATCAAAAAGAGGGTACATTGCATTCATTTTGTGCAAAAGCACTGGATCCGACACATCAAAATTTGGATTGCTACCTGAGTGAATGAACATCACCAGCTGTTTCATTGATGGATATTACACAGCTTAAATCTTTTTCTTATATTTCCTTTAATAATTCATTTTGTCCAAACTGTCATGCTTGAATCACTTTCACCTTAGCTGTTTTTGAATTTTCTTTTCTTTTCTTCTTTTTTTTTTTTTTTTTTTTTATTTCATAAATTCTATAAATAAAATAAAATATATAAACTGGATATATTCTTAGTTCTTTAAGTTTCTTAGTCGTGTTTGTGTGTAAAAAAAAAAAAAAATTTTAACTTTTAAAAAGCATCCAGTTTTCCTTTTAATGGTCATTTATTTCATTTATATTCATGGTTGGCAATATTTTCTAGAATTCTCAGGATTTGGCAATTGAAAATTTATTTTTCAAAAAATGAAACTGAATACACTTTATAAAAGAAAACAGCAAAAAAAAAAATGAACTTCGTAAGCTTAACTTCTATCCATAAAAATTAAAATATAATTAGGTAATTTTCAAAATGTGATCAATTTTTGTTTTTTACTAATTCTCAGAGGTTAAAATGAATTGTTGCATTTTCTTAAAAATAAAATGGGTACATTTTATAGATCAACTTTTACAAACTTTTATATTGTCTTTTCCTAATACATTTTTTTTTTTTTTTTTTTTTTATGAAAGATAATAAGTATAAAAAAAAAATTTTTAAGTGGGTATTTTGTTATTTACATTATTTGGACCGTTATCCTCATCTTTATTGCCATATTAATAACATTTCAGCTGTTGTACACTCCGGTGTTCTTCAGGTGATTGGAATTTCAAACTGAACCCTTTGTTTCATCCATCAGGATAGATTGTTCCACATGCCATGCCTCTTCCACAGTTGAGTTAAAAGGAAATAATTGAGGCATAGCACATGGAACTAGAACAATCTACCCTGGTGGACAAAATAAAGGATTCAGTTCAAAATTCCAATCACCTGAAGAAAGTCAGTGCATACAATGGACAAAATGTTGTGAGTATGGCAATGAAGATGAGAATAACAGTAAGAATAATGTAAATAATCATAATACCTCATCTCAGAGATATAGACGGTATTATTTTTTTTTTTTTTTATTATTATTATTATTAGTGCTTTCCACATCAAAATCACTTAACCAGGTGATTGATGAAATTTACATTTAATGTTCTGTTGAGTGAATGAACTCAATGTCCTGAGTAGTTTTCTTCCAAGTAAAAGCAAGCTGAAGAAGACCCTAAATTCCTTACAATTTTTGCTGACAAAGTTAAAAACTGATGAAGGCAATAGGCATTTCACTGATATAACTTTTAATGGAACTTCATCTCCTCCTTTAAGGGAAGGAAGAATGTAGAACAACTTTAAATGACCTTCAGTTACAAGCACCAAGGCCAATGGGTTAAAGTATACTATTACTCCAACTTTTACATTGATATTACATTCAGTGCTGTAATCAAAATTTTAGTTCCAACCAAAGGCAGAAATTATTTTTTTTATGACCTTTGTTGGATAATATTGCACAAATGGTTTTGATATTTGTCTTTAGATGGGATTTTGATATAATAGTACTTTCATGAGATGATAGGATATAGAGTGCTCCAAGAATATTGGTTATAGCAGAGACTTATAAACAAATTTAGACTGCAAATCAACATTAGAAAAAGAAATGCAGGAGGACTATTCAACTGTCCAGAGTCTTTTTCATCATTTCTAATAAATGTATTTTTATTCATTTCAGTTTGAAGATAAATGAGTTTAAAGCTTTACAATAAGCATTTGAAGGATTCACCAATGATTCATTTCATGAAATAAATTTCTAAGTTTTGTAATCATTACTGTTCTTTTTTGCCAAGTTAAAAATTGCATAATTTCACAAAATTTTTCCTAAATTAGAAACATGTATGAAAAAAGGTTTTCTTATTACAGAGAAAATACTTTATTGAATTCCTCATCCAAAAAGTAAAGTTTCAGGTATGTGTCTCCAATGGATACTTTCTTATGGCAAGTTCATGATGGTATACTTTGACTTGTTTTTGCTTTGTCAAATTGTGCTTCATCTTTGTTTTTTTTTGTTTTTTTACATGGTGTAAATATGAGTTTTTATTGATATTCTACTGAAAAAAATAGCTACAGCTGTTGCACCATGAGCAAGAAGCATTTTACATGAACAATCATATGTGCCCTTTTGTGTCATGTTGAGAAGATAATTTTCCCAATGTTTAGGCTGGTCTGATCTAATTGATTCCATTAATATTATATTTCTTTTACTTAATGACTGTACATGACATTATATTTATGATTTTTAATTTGTCTGAAGCCTGCATTTTCAGTTATACAATAGCACACAAGATGGAAAACTGAAACTTTGAATGGTAAATTTGACAGTTTTTTTTTTTTTTTCAAGTTTTCTATGCCTGTGTTAGAGGTTAATGCTCTTTTGACAATTTTGAAATTTTCATATTTGCTTTATTAGCTTTTACAAAAATATTTCCATCATTTGAAAAATAAAATTTTTTTTTTTTTTTTTTTTTTTTTTTTTAAATTTTGAGAACATCTCAATTTTTTTTTTTTTTTTTTTTTTTTTCACAAAGTTTGTAAAAATAACATTTTGATATTAGTTGGTTACAGGTGTTTATGAAAATATATTTCAACAATCAACCAAAACTAAATTGAGTTTTAGTGGATACTTAATCAAATATTATCACAAAATTGTTTTAAAATATTGAATGTCGAATGCAAATATTTTGCATAAAACAAGAAACAAATTCAAATAATCTTGTGAATAATCAGAAAAATAGCGTACAGATTTGCTCTATGAATGTACATGTTTTGGGCTACTTTTTATGTGTATATGTATACAAAATGACTCTACAAGTTTTTGAATACTTTGTAATTATGTAACATGTGACTTATCAAATATGTTATCTTGAAATTCTTCTCTTGTTTTATTATTAGCATCTGAAAGATATTATGCAAATTCGGAGGACAGATGGAGAATATTTGCGGAAAATGGCCAAGGATGACAGCTACTTGGGTGTTTCAAAGGACTCTGGGGATGTTGATGGGGATAATAGTTTGATATTGCCTCGAGAAAAGTGTCTTCCTGTAGTACGTGGACTCATCACACTCATCTTGAGTATGGATTCAACTTGCAGTGTGGATCTTTTTCTTGTGGCCAGTAAGGTAATCTCTATTCTTATTTAAATAATTCATTCTGAAATCTGGGTAACAGAAAGTTGACTCAGGCCACAGAAATACTTCTCTAACCCTAAAATATATGGGAAGCTAATCGGCACTCTGAAACATTTTTGAATATGAGATTTTTCCATTTTTATTCTCCCTCATCAGTTGATATATTTTGTTCTTTTATTATAGGTTCTTGCCCGTATTTGTTTAGCTACAAGACCAGCTATCTCTTTGTCAGAAGCAATGACTCAGGACCAATTGCAGCAACTCATTTTGCTGGCAGCCAACCAAGACTTTAACCATGGTACTGTTGCCTGGGGAGGTCCTTGGGCAGGCCATGCCATCACTTGTCTTCTGCAAGACATCTTGGATGGTAAGCTTTTGGGAAGTGGATTAGATTGATATCCCTCTGCCATGTTTGCACATTTGTAACATTAAAATGACACTTATTGGTGGGATGAACAAAGCTTATTTACCTTTCTGGACTGATTTGTGTTTGATTATAGAAACTAAATTTACTGTCAAAGGGAATAGACAACTGTAAGGAAATAAGAAATAATTTCATTACAATGCTATCACAAATTTCAAATTTAAAAAATTATTTTTTTGACTATTTTAAACATTTGTATCAACTAAGTTCATTTTGATTATCCATGATGTGCTTTTATGTCTCTTGTGCTGCTTCAACTACCTTATCAACTTATGTTAATGCCTGGTTTTTATTAATACTATTAGTTTTAATAATACCATCTTAACTTTTAATGCTTAGCATCTTTACGTAGTAACTTCTTGCTGCTTAATCTTGTGCATATTACCAATCAATGTATAAACTTATTTCTGTAATAGTTGCATTGGTTGAGGATATTTTTCAACTTGATACTGGAATCATAAAACATACAAACAATCTGCTAGCAACAGAAGTGTAAAGAGTATCGTAGATTTTCTGATATTTTTTTTTAATTGACTTTTACCTTTAAATTTCTAAGCCCATATCAATCAGTAAGTATTTCAATATTATTAACTTTCCAAGTCTAGAAGTTGGAAAGTTAATAATATAGTAAAAAAAAAACCCTCATTAACCTGAAAATTAGGATAGAACTTTTTTAACCCTTAAAGATTTTTCTCCCATCAATCAATTAGGATTTATTGATTTTAATGATTTTTTTTTCTTTACAGGTGAGCGTCTGTATCCTGGCCACAGTCCTTTAGAAAGTGTTACAGTTGATGAGATTAGTGGAACAGTCAGCGACAACATAGATAACCTGTCTGCAACCATGCCAATGGCAGCATTAGATACAATGGCTGCTGAAGCTATTGAAGTAGCAGGTTAGTAACTATTATAATACACACTTTTGTCAGCAGTGAATATCAAAACTTAACAGAATGCACCATTTTTCTAAAGTTATTTGTGTGTTATAAGTAGTTTACACATGGATTTAATTCTTAGATGAGTTTATAAATGATATGCTTTAAATTCTTACAAATCAATACTTTTATCATATTCATCTTTGTTGATTACCTGGTGTTACTAATTGAGCAGATTTAACTCCATTCAGTCATTTCCACATGCAATGAAAATAGTATATTAAAATACCCAATTGGTTTGTCTGTATGTTGGGGGGGAACTCTATTGTATTTGGTTTATTTGGCTAATATAGAAAATACAAATATTGTAGTCTATATGTAATGTTAGAATGCATTATTTGAGAAATTTAAAAGTTAATATCTATTGGACTTAGGCAACATATTTTCATTGAAATGTTATAATCTCATCGAGTGTTTTATTTTCATTGAGAAATTATTCAATTATTGCATGATAATAAAATTTATTTTACATTATTGTTTTATGAGATAGGTTTTCATTCATTCAAAATTTAATGTTTTGTGCAAATGGATGGCAGAATAGGGATTGGGAGCAAATTTACTAAAAGCTACAAAGGATAAGAAGTTGTGGAGAGCAATGGAGTTAATAGTCCAACTTATTTGAGTACAATGCCTAAATTTTTACTAAAGTATACAGTATATAAACAGCTGCAGTGATATTAATTTTAAATTCACTTGGAATTGGACATAAAAGCTTCAGAGTACAAGTCAAGTTGAGTAATCATTATTTTTTTAATGAATATAACCATTGTAGTTAAAAATAACATAATAAAGATTTCACTTACTTCTATTGTATTTATTTTATATTTGAAATCTTTAATCATTTAACAATGCTGTATCTACTGATTTGAATTGTCCAACTTAATTATTGGTTTGACACTCTTAAAAGATTGGCCACAGTGATGGCTAGAGCCTATATATAAAAAATTCCATTTACTGACTTTTCAAAATGACTTGTATGTATATTAGGTACTTCTGCTAAAATTGCAATACTTAAGGTTTAAAATGAATTTTTTAAAAATGAAAAAGCATTCTTGAAGCTTTCTTTTTTGCTTTAATTTAAGCTAAATGATTAAATTTACTATTTCCAGTAAGCAAAATATTCTGATGTATTTCAAATAGAAATTATATTGATTGGTATCCCAACTTTTTGGTTGCTTTCAGTAAAGTCATTAAAATTGATCATTTTTGACACATTTGCAAACAGAAATTCATTCTCAGTTTTAAAAATCTTCCAAAAATAAAATGTACTTTAGCAGATTTAAAAAAAAATCTGTTTTGAAAAAAATTAACTTTAAGTTTAAAATAACAGAAATGGATTTTTAAAACAAGCAGTAGCAGTTATTATGTGCTTGTCACTTGTAGATCACTTAACAAGTGATAAATGTGTCAACAATTTTATTGTTGTTCTATGGACACTTTATCTGTGGAACCGAGGAAAGGTTACTGAATGAGGAATAACCAAAACGGAGGTTGGGAATGAAATGGTAATCTTAATAACATCAGCAAAATACAATACTCACCAGCAGCATAAAATAGGTAAACCACTGCTAATGGTGGACTCCTTAGACAGCATATTAAATAAATATATTTATTGTACAAACATACAATTATGGCCCAAGGCCGAAAAGAGGGAATGGGTTGAGGCTGTTCTTCACTATCTTATACCTACCTAATCTGATTCACGACCCATTCACTCATTACAAGTTGCACATTCACCATAAGAACTCCTCCATCACCAATCAATCCTCTATATACCCTAGTACCAGATCCTCTCAGGGGAACCTACAAAACACACCCTATGACATAAAAATTTGATCATTAAAATTATTATATATAAAAATCTAATGATTGACAATGAGATGGGAGGGAATGAACCAAAAAACAAACTAAATATCAAAACAAAGCAAAATAATCATTAACTGATGTTAGTAGGACCTGTCCAACCCTCAAAAAAGAGAGGCTGATGTATTCTGCCCTATGACAGAATCAAGAGGCTCTCTCACTAAGGGAGAGGGAAAGGCGAAAATGTATACAGGCATGGGAAATAAATAAAGCTGACCCAGTCAAGAGGAAATGGGTGCCAAAAACAAATTGGGGAGGTTGGGAGTCTCAACTTGGATCATAACAAAAGATGTAGAACAACACTTACTCACATTAACTAGATACACAAAGCTTGTCTAGCCTAACCAGGGGAGGGCTCCACAAGAAACCACCCCGATGTGATATAGGTAGACCTAAAAGAGAAAATCAAGGCTAGCTCTGTTCGCACGAACCAAGCAAAAGTCTGTTGAAACCAAGCGTTTTCTATCAGTTCAAATCTTCATATTGAGCTGATGCTCAAAGTGTTGGATCAGATCCTGATGAGAGATGGTTGCCTCGCAAAAATTCCTCCAAATCACCATTCGAGTAGTGGCCAGCTGCATTAGAAACACCATTTGTTTCACCCCAGAATATGGGGGTGACACATTGTCACATGTGTATACGCAATCAATGAGCACAAGCTTTTCAGGAGCAATACAAGCCATCAACTTGCCGACATGGTCCCATAGGTGGTGGACCCAAGGACAATAGTAGAAGGCTTGCAAAGCTATCTCTTCTAGGCTAAGGTCACATTGTTCACAGTCTGGCAAATCTGTCAAGTCTGATGTCAAGGCTTTGTCATTGAAAAATAGCCTGTTCTGAACCAGTCGCCAGGTAAGGGAAAACTCGAGGTTACTGAGGTAATCTGCTGCTGGTGCCCAAGACCAGAAGGAGCAAAACTCCTCCTCCAACAAACCGAGCCACTCATGTAGTGGATCTTTTGCGGCCCCCTCCACTTGTTCCCGATAGAAGAATTTCCTAGGCCAAGAAAGGTCACTGGGCTGAGGAATGATTGTCAAGGCATATTGACACTCGCAAAGGAAATCTGATTGATCCCGGGGTTTACATCAGCGCTCAACCCGCAAGATGGGAGGACTGATAGAAAAGAAAGGGAAGGCATCCCTTATAATCCCTGCCATAAACGAATCCCCTGTCAATGCACAGTGTAGGAAAGGCAAGCTTGTGACTCACCAAGTGCAGCATTCCCAGACTCCCCCCACCACCTCAAATGGCACGGATGTTGTGCACAAACTTCTTTTTTTTTGTGCTTGCGTCTCCTCCATAAAATGGAAGATAGCAAGTACTCGAGTGCCTTCTTATGATCTTTACAGAGAGGAAGTACAGAGGAGTGGTAAAGAACAAGAGGAAAGACGTTAATGGCACACGCCTGCGCCCTGCCCTTCACAGACAACCTCCTTTGGCACTAAGTCTGACTGGCCGCAACAACCTTTGCCTGTACTTCTGACCAATTTTTCTCCAGCTGGAGGTCGGGTCCAAACCACACTCCAAGAATGCGGACAGGACCAGCCGTCCAACCAAAGATTGACCCCATTTCCAGACACCTAACCACAAGCCAGAAGGTTTATCACGGTTAATCTTAGCCCCTGTCACCTTTTCGTACCATTTCAGCGCCTTTAGTACCACCTCAATGTCGCTGTGGGATGACACTAAAGTGGATACATCATTGCCGTACACTGAAATCCTGGCTCAAGCCCCTCCAGGAACAGCAATTCCACGTAAGGTTGAACTGCACACCCTGTCCTTTAGCTGGCAAAGGAAAGTCTCCAATGCTAAAGTGTAAAGTAGGGGAGACAGTGGACAACCCTGATGAACCAACCGAGACCGTGCAAAAGTGCCTGACAGCTTCCTGTTCACCTGTACCACAGCACTGGGGGAGCAATACAGCAGGCTAATCCAGTGGACAGCAGCAAGGTAGTGAATAGAAGTTGCTCTGAATTGTTCAGCCCTTCACAGTGCAAGTCTGCTCAGGACCCAACAGACTCGGCAACTGACTGCAGACCAAAATCTTTAACTCTGTGTTTAGCAGAGTTATGGACCTATAGTTATCTAAATCCTGCCCAACACTCTCGCCTTTTTCAGAAGTGTGATCACACCCCTGGTGAACCAGTTGGGGACGGACCCCTAGCAGAATCAGTTGTTGAACACGACAGTCAAAATCAGGACAAAGATGTGTGACAACCTCAAGTACAATTCAAACCATCCAGACCCGGCAACTTACCTCTGCCAACCTTCTTCAATGCTGCTTGGACTTGGCCCTCCATGATCTCCCTCTTGCAGAAAGCTGAGGAAAGTCAGCCTAATAGCTACAAAACTCCTTGTCACAGAGTCCAGGCTCCTTGGTAAACTGGCTCTCAAAATGCCACCGAAATGCCTCGCACTTGTCGTCAGTGGTTCTGGGGTTTTGACCTCACAAATGTAATGACCAGAACCTCAATGGATCTCTTGTGCAATTTTACACCCATATTCACAGCTTCAGAAGACCTCTTTCTTAATCTATGCCTAATTACCTGGCCCATGTAGTGCTCACTAGTCAAATGCTCCAGGGATAACTGAGAGATAGCCAGTTAAGCCTAACCAGTGGAACATAGGACAATCTAGTAAATCTATATTGGCTCTTCTAACATTCTATCCAGGTAGCTAACCACCTGGGTAGAAGGCCAATTAAGAGCTCATGTCCACATCTAAGGGGGAGGTCATTGATTTGGTATGTATCGATGAGACCGAACTCATCGATCAGATCAACCACACGACAATCACCCGCTCTCCCTCTAGCTACCCGCCCCCTATCTAACTTGGGGTCCAGGATGGCATTCTAGTCCCCCATTAAGATTAGGCGCATTGAATTCACTAGGAACAGCTCCAAATGCTGAAAAAAAACGAGACCTGCTCCTCCTGTAGATTGGGAACATAAGCCACAACGACTCTGAACAAACCACTTTTCACAGCAATATTGGCCACAATCGACCAGCCCTTGCCATCGACATGAACAAGGCGATACCCGCTTTACTTGTAATGGCCATGACTTCCTCTACTTGACTGTATTTGGAGAAGGCCCCCAGAGGGTCTTCACATATATCTACGGGCACCCCATGAACTGTAATTTTAGTCTGCGGGGTGCCCGTGTATTCAGTTTGAAGCTGCACTGCTGCAATAGAAAGAACACTTCCGGCTAAGCGTTTGGTGTCCTCTTCAGTACCTAGCAGTAGGTCCCACATCACATTGGACCGCCTACAAAGAACTTGAGGTGCAATATGGAGACTTTTCAATGTCTCCTCCATGGTATCCCTGCTGACTCTAATTTTTGACTCTTTATATCAGAGGTCAGCAGGGATATAATTCTTGTGTTTACAGCCTCTAGCACCTCCAGGATCGTGAGGAACTCATTTTCTTGCAAATATTTATCATACTTGGTCCTTTTTTCTGCATAATATGTCATTTTCTTTTTGCTTTTGCTTGTTTTCTGACCAGGTCGTTTTTTTTTTTTTTTTTTCAACGGAGGTTTATTTTCAGTTGGTACCATCAGTGTTTATAAATTATTGGCCATGGTGGACCAAAGCCACCAGGCTAAACAAATGTATTTTTGCCTTATATACTCATTTTTTTTCTTTTTTCTTGATCCCCCCCTCCCAAGTATACAAATAAAGACAAGAAAATTGTGGACAAACCAAATAAGACGAAACAAGAACATGGAAAAATAAAGGCAAAAAACATGTAAGAACTAAAAATAAAATATGAAAGTTAATAAAATAAAAATGAAGGGAGGGTAAAATTACAAGAATGAAATAACAAAAAAGAAAAAAAATGTACAAATAAATATGCACAAATAAAAAAAAAAAAAGAAAAAAAACTTAAAAATTCAAAAAGTTTCAGAAAATAGTCAAAAACTTAACAAATGTCTCTTTTCATCTTATTTTATTTCTTTCTAGATGTAGAATTGGGCCAGTCAAAGGATTCACTTACCAAAAATAGTCTGATGGATCTTTTATTTGAAGAAAATGAGTATGATGATTACACAGCTACAAAGTTCCAGGAATTTATGGCAGGTGTCTCCACCAAACCCCCTCCAGGTCTTGATTGTGATGAAGGCTCTATTCAAATGGTGTGTGTACAACCAGCTGAGGGTAGTAATACACCAGACACACTTACATCGTGAGTACTTAAATTTTATTCTGTTTCAGTTAGCATACCTACATTTAAAGCAAAACCTCAGTTTGATATTAGAAGAAAGGATTTTTTTTTTAATTAAAACTGCACCTAATAGCAATAATCTAACTTTCTGAGGATGTCAGCAAAAAATATACTTGCTCATTTGTAACAAAAGCATGTTGTGCTCTATATGGCATGGTCTTCAAAAATAGTCTCATGCCAGAAAATTAACTACCAATGAGAGGAATTATCAATGTGTACTTGTAGAGTTATTATTCTTAAAAACTTTTTCTTTTTATATAGAATGTACTATCCTGATGAAAAGAAACAGAAGATGAAACAATGGAAATCTAAGTTTGATTATGGTAAGACAGTGCTGGGTCCTCAGGGTTTATCAACTGCAGTGGATTTCCGCTTGGAACTTGGATTACAAATGCAAGCAGAACTCAGATTACGTGTAAGCAATTTAACTATTCTGGTTCTCATGTTCTTTTTCTTTCTGTTATTGTATATTTGTAATATTCTTTAAAGATATTAAAGATATTCATAATTCTTTAATACATGTATTACAGAATTATGAATTTGTGTTTTGCCATATAAAGAATGGATTTTATTTTTCTGGTATTTTTTTATAAATTATCTGAATGACTAGATACTGAGATCTAGTCTCTTTGTTAGCAGTCCTCCCTATCTCTTAAACAAAGATAACTAAATCCAATTATATATTATATAGACATCAAATCAATGTTACAGAAAAGTTTACATGCATCTGACAAGGAAACAAAGTTACTTGCTTCTAACATGACATTACAGTTTTAGAAGTTACTTTAAAAAAAAAAAAAACATAGTTCTATTGGAATTATGGTAAATTGCTTAAAAATCATAATTGTTCCTCTAATAGCAATATATTAACTAGGTATACGCACGAGATCGCTAAAAAAAAGCGTATAGTCTGATGAAAAAAGACGTCAAACTTGACGAAAAACAAAATTTTATCGCCAAAATGTCTATGTTACGGTAAGAGTAAAGAACAAAAGTAATTTTTAATTATTTTTTCAAAATTTTCTGTCTTTATTACAACATTCTAACTTTCGATTGAAAAACCTTGTTTCTCGTCATCACCGAACTCTAGTAAATAACATGGCGAATTTTTTTGTGCATTTTTTCTTATGACACACATTAATTTTATAGAAATAATTGTCAGATTTTAATGAAACTTTCAGAAACTATTCAAAAATGATGGAAATTATTATAAATATGTTATTTTTTTTTTAAAGTCATTATAAAAATATATTTTTATACATATATTACCACCCCCATAAATGAATTAAAGAAAACTGTAAAAGTTTATGGACGAAGCAGGGAAGTCATTATATTAATAAAAACACAAGGCTCTGAGGAAAGTAAATCAGGTTTTCTTTTTTAAAAAATCCGAACACGTAAACGCGAAAATCAGCTCTGAATTGTAACATACAAAACCCAATAAAACAAAAATACTATTTAATTTTAAATGCTTTTAGTTGCTTTTATTTGTTTTTATCAATATGCATAATATTGTCTGAAGGCAAAACTTTTTCGATGAAAAATGAATTTTTAAATGAATTAATTGTTATTTAATAAATTATTTTATTATTTTTACATAAAGTTACTAAAAGTTGTTAAATATTCTAAAATTAGCGGTACTGACGAATCCTGTATATAATGCTATTTTTAGGTACCTATATCTGTACAGATTATAAATAGTACAAGGTTTTTACAATCAACGAAAAAGCAATGAGAATAATCTTACTGTCCTTTAACCTATGTGTAGAAAAAAAAAATCTTAAATCAAATGTACGGAGGCCCGGAAGAAACATGATCCAATAAAAACATCACGTGACTTGATTTGTACGGCACTGTTAACGGCCTTTATATTTATATAAAATTACTTTAAAAAATTATAATAATTTCCATCATTCCTGAAAGTTTCTTTAAAATCTGACAATTATTTCTATTTTTGCAAGATTTTCAAAATTAATGTGTCATAAGAAAAAAATGAACAAAAAATTTGCCATGTTATTTACTAAAGTTCCGGTGATGACGAGAAACGAGATTTTTCAATCAAAAGTTAAAACGTTCTAATAAAGACAGAAAATTATTTAAAAATTTCTCTCCCCTTAATAGTAACATAAACATTTTGGTAATAAAATTCTGATTTCGTCAAGTTTAAGGCCGTTTTTTCATGGTATGACCACTTAAAAATAACGAGGTAAATAAGTTGTTAATGTAAAGATAAATTGTCACTTACGACCTTCCGTACTATAAATTTCCAGACGAATATGTCAGTGCGTGATTAAAAACACTCACTTGTCATTTGTCAATCAACACCGCAGTTCAGATCGGCTTTCTCCCATTTGAAAAAAACATGTTTTCATCACAGAAAATAAGCAATCTTTTGTTTCAAAATATACTAAATAAACTTTCTAATTTCTAATTTTTTTAAAAATTAGTTAAAAAAAAAAATCATAATTGATTTTTTAAATAAATTTTAAACGGCAACATTCACTTTTGTAAACAAACATCAAAAACAACGGGAGATTATCGATCGTCTGTCGATTTTTCTGATTCAAAAAAATTGAAGATTTTTAACGAAAATTTTGGACGTGCTAGAAATTATTAAAAAATTTTAAAAAATATTCAAAAAATACTTTGATCATTCCTCTTGATAATAACATTAACATTTATACGATAAAAAATTATTTTAATCAAATTTAAGGCCTTTTTTATTCAAGGTATGCTATTTTTTTATCGATCTCATGCATATACCTAATATTAACAGATAAAATTTAAATTTTTCTTTTACAATTCTGTTATATAATTCACATGTAGCAATATTTAATCAGTTCTTATAAAAGTTTCCCCAGTAATTATTATTCTTTATGATCTCCCATTTGGATTTAGATGTTTTCATTTTTCCACAAAGTTTCACCATGCAAACTTTATTGGTTTGAGAAGTATCTAAGAGTGGAGAGGGTGAAAAGACTTTTTCATTTATTTTAAACAATAGTTATAGTCTTAAAATTCATAATCTCCCTTCAAGCAGTTTATTTACTTAACTATATCTAATTTAGATTAAAAGAACCAGTTACAGCTAAGCCAAATAGTGAATTTTATTCCCTGAGAAAAGAAGGTATTAAATTGTATATCGAGGCACTGATTTCTGTTGTCTCCAGATAATTTTTATTTGGATTGAAGGTGATATCCTTTGTTAATGTGTACCTATATTCAACAATATTTGTTGTAGAAATCACTCTGAGCTAGAATTGTGTGTGTATGTTTTTTGTTGGGGGGGGGATAATCTGAATGGTAATTAGTGTAGCAAATTATTGGGGACTAGTGAAGGATATCATACAATCCAGTTTCACAAATTCATTGAAATTAGTTGTATCCTGTTTTTTTTTCTCTCTCTCTCTTCTTTTTTCTCTTCTCTGCATGCCAAGTATTTCTGCTAGTTGTACAGAATGCATATGCAGAGTTACAAAAGAATTTGTTTGTGAAATCCTTTTATTAAACTGTATCATAAAGAATTCTAGCCATAATTTTGTATTTTCAGTTCTTAACTGTATTTTTGATGGAATTCAATTTTGTTGACACTCTCGCCCTTTAATATTATAAAGAAATTATCGGTTGGATATGATTCACTTTCAAATATTTCAGGTGATGCTCTCCCTCCAAACTGTAACTGTACAGGGAGCGTTCAATGCCCGCCTGCCAGTAGCTCCTTCCATTGGACATAGTTTCCGATCATTTCAGTTCCCCAGCACAGATGATGAATTGAGTGAAGCAAGCCTCCAGGCCAACCAAGCACAGGTAAATTTTTTTTTTTTTTTTTAATTCTTTCTTTTAATTCTTTCTTAAATAGACTTTACTTTTTTGCTAACTTTTCTTAAATGCACACTGCATCTCATATTATAAGCCACTTTATCTTTTATCAATATATAAAATAAATGTGTACTGGAATCTAAATGTTTATTTGCTGAGTGATGGTAGTATCTATCTGCATCATTAGGATGAAAGCCAATTTGTTCTGCAAAAATGTGAACAAATGGCACCCATTTTATATGAAATGTCCTGAATTTCAAAGTTTGAAATTAACAGCTGTGTTGCAAAATTGAAGTTTTAAATGGGTTATAAGGCTATTTAATTGATAAAGAAAAATCTTTAATAACTTTTAGAACTTGCAAAAGGTAAAAACAATGCTGAAAATTGCAAAAATGATTGACAGATATCACCCACCTGTGAAGAAGTGTGTTGAAAATCCTAAATAGTTGTAGATCTGATAAAGGTAAGTTGGTGACTATTTCACCAACCTGTGCTTATGGAGAGAAGTTATTAAAAAAAATTCATCTTTGTAGCTGCAAGAATTTTCTTTTTTCTTTTTTTCTTTTCTTTTTTTTTTTTTTTTTTTCTTTTTTTAAGTGGCACAACATAAAACTGATCACTAGGCATCCTTAAGGAAAATGGGCAACAAAAGCAAAAAAATTTTTTTCTATGAACATTCTTTTTGGCAATCAAAACAAACCAGGATGGAGTATCATGTTAAGATAATATTTATTTGAAAACCATAATTCAAAAAACAAATGCTTTTAGAAAATTTCTTTATACTTGGCAAGTTTCATCACACTCAACAAAAAAAAAAAAAAAAAAACCTTTAAAACTTGGTCACCATAAAATGGCAGTGTTTCAATTGTTTATTCAAAACATTTTTTCTTCTGTGCATGTTCTGTAATTATAATTTTTAATTACACATTTCTTTGAGTTTCATAAACATGATACCTGAAAATTCCAAAAGTGAAGGGTAGTACATTATAATTTCTATGCATATATAAAATATTCTACATTATTAGTATTGTAAATATCTCTGAATCCTTTAGTTTTCTAAAAATTTTAAAAATGTGCATGTAAGACTGTGTATTGTCTATAACTGAGAAGTCATTAGTATTCCATGTTTTTAAGTTTTTTAAATCACTTTACAAATTAAAAAAAAAAAAAAAAGAAACATTAATTAATAGTTTGATTATTAGTGCAGATTTCCTTTCTATGCTGTATGCAGTTTTCTTAAAAGAAATGGTATTTACTTCCAACTCTTTTATATTTGATTAAAATCTTGAATTCAAAATCTCCATCTTTTTGTTGTATTATAATGATATACTTTGATACTTAATACTTTTGCTTTTTGTGATTTCTTTAGTTTCAGACTAGCTCTGCAGAAATGTTGCGCATGTGTTATGATCATATGACCACTCAGCTGATTAGCCAACAAGTGCATCTTGACACTCTCTTGCAACTCTGGTTGACTCTGAATGAAGACAGTAGCCATGAAGACTCTGGAGGAGGAGCTGGCCAACCGGCCATCTTTGACTCTAGTAAAATCCCTCTTATCATGCTTAATCCAGCATTTGTGAACACTCTTCTGGAAGCATTGTCTTACATGCCAAATGTACCTGTGCGTACCTGGGTGCTTGCTTTCCAAACATTGACTCTCTTATGCAACCAATGGGTACCTCATGGCAATCTGACAGTAGGGAAACCTATGGCTACAGTCATTTTGTCCAACCCTAATTTCATGAATGTGCTCATTCGCTTCCTGTCGAGCTCAACAAACACTGGACCTTCAGCACTCACTCTCAGATATCAACAGGTAGTAGTACTACCCATTACTATTTTCTTTATGAATCTCCTCATATAATTATTATCAAATTTGTCATAGTCCCTTTAATTCTATATTTCCTCAAATTTCATAATTCTTGTAGCTTTTAATCTCTAGCAATTTTCTCTTTTCCAATATATTATTGAAATTGTTACCTTAAGGTGTTAAATATGGTTTACTTTCATTTATACATGTTCTTAATACTTGTGGTAATTTTTAATAACCAGAAAGCTGAATTTTAATGTTTACATAGCTAAGAAAAATTTTTGTAACTCGCCTCCATATATAAGAAACATTTAAATTAATATTTGCAATAGAAATTTCCTTAAAATGTACCTCAGAGCAGTTACTAAGAAATTATTACTAAAATCAAAATGTTACAATAGCTAATTTCAAATTTTTAAGTTTGGGAAATCATATTTTCCTTTAGATTAATCCCTTTTCAATGTAAATGTTTATAATTTTGGCAATGTATGCAATTTGCAAGTGTTATATTGCAAGATGCAAGCCTCCACTTTTTTTTTTTTTTTTTTTTTTTTTTTTGAAAACTCATGATCTGTCAAAGTAACATAACTGTCAGCTCTGTGTTTTACATTTCACAACACTTAACATTTATCTGTGTTTTTCTTTTTAGGTTGGTCCATCAGCCACAAAAGCTTTCTTCGAGTTCCTGCAGCGGTTGCAAGTGAAGACACCGGAGCAGATGAACTTGAAGGAATTGATTCTGAAGTTGGTATATGTAATGACAGCTGACAGGTGTGTGTTTGTTTGCTTGTAGTTGTTGTTTCTATTTACTTTAACATTTCAATCTCTTGCTATATGATTTTAAGCACAACAAAAACAGTGCAAAAATAACACAGGAAGGTAACGTTGACCATTCATATAAATTTAAAATCTAGGGTTAAGTCATTGAAACTTAATGTTTCATAGTATGTTAGAGTTTAAGCTAATTTTTTTTCATTTGAGTACATCAGTAAATAAACTCTTATTTCACCATGTAAGTACAGGCAGTAGCAAAATTTGATAGGGCGAAAAAAGGTAAAAAATATAACTTCTTGAACTTGCTGTGTAAAAAAAAAAAAAAAATGTATCTTTATTCATTTTGAAATGAGGAATTCGACAAAAACTTATTTTGTCTATAGTATTAAAACTTTTTCTTATATTTTTCTTTTTTCTTTTTTTTTTTTTCTTTTTTTTTTAATTTTATAAATTTTACAGTTTTTGACTTTGCTAAAAAGGACTGACAACATCAAAACTTTGAAACTTGTTATACAAAAGGAATCCGTGGTCAGTTTTTGAAACAAATGCTTATTATAAAGCTTTAAAACTCAGTTTTTAAATGTAAAAAAAAAAAAAAGTCAACAAAATTGAAAGGAGTAAAACTACATTTATTGTAACTGATGAAAAAGACTTTCTAGGCAGTTTGAACGGCCCTACTGCACTTCATCTCCTAATGGTGATTTGTAGTTTGAATTTCTTTATAGGCTACTATAACTGTATATTTCTGAAACATTACAGATTCTACCATCACTTGAAACTGGTATTACACCTAAGTCCCATCGTAAGACAAAAGTTGAGTCAACCTGTGCAATGTCACCCACCAAAGACCATCAGAAATAATCATTTCTACCCTTAGTTGGAGCTAGAAACTTGATTATTGCAGATTATTGGAGATGTAATGTCAATGACTTGGTCAATGTAGAAACTGGAATCATAGTACATGGCAACCCATTGGCCTTGGGTCTCATATCTGAAGATCACTTGATATGGTTCTTCTTCATCAGAGCTAGCAGAGTTAGTCACTGGGTCTTCAAGTTCCTGTGATGTAATTCCACTGGCAGTATCATGGGAAGAATCTAAAAAGGCTCTTAAGTCATCTTCTCCTTTAGTGGCTAAAATTTTCTTGGCTGTGTTAAATGTTTGTTGAACTTGCTTTGTCAATCTTGACTGTTCTGTCTTTGTATTAGATTAGTTTGTAGAACCATGCAAAAACCTGCAAGTAAAAATGTACAATTCTTGTATCACAAAAGAAATCTGGAAAAAAGAAGAGTGCTCCTTAAAGATTTTTCAAAAATAATTTTTTTTGTTAAACCTGTGAGCTCTTCATCTATTTAAGTGCTTCCCTTGTGTTCTTTGAAAAAGTTACAGAAGTTGGGCTATAAATTAGATGAGACCTCACCAGAACTACACTTAGATTACTGGATGTCACTGCCATACCATTAAGCTATCCTCTCCCCCACCCAACACTGATTTCCATGTTCTTTTCATCTGCATCAGCAACTTTTTTGTACATTGCAAGGACTTTGGGGTCTTCTTTGGCTTGCCTATTTTTTCACTTACAAGGAAACAATCTCTCAGGATGTTTAGTTGACCACCACTGAATAGAATTTTTTTTAAATCCATAAATACATGCAAATTTAAAAACAAAGTAATCTTCAAGCATAGAATAATCCCCACCCCCAATAACTGTCTTAAATTTTATAAGTTTAGGCTTTCACTTTATAAAGAAAAAATACAACAATCAAAAATTTACATGAAAATAAATGAACTAAAAATAAAGTTGTGTTCTTTTTGTAATGTTTGCTCTTGAATTGTTATTGTTCAGTTAGGTGTTAAGATGTACTATTAATTAAAATTTTAAAATATGCTTAAAAGTAAAAAAATTAAAACCTACTTTCAAAGTTAAAAAAAGTAATGTTTGCTAATTATCAAAATGAACTATTTGAAATTGGTAGAAAAGTAAAAAAATATTTTCCAATGCTAAAAGTAAAAAATATCTTCCAAGAAATATTCATTTAAAATGAAAAAAATTTTTAATTTTAGAAATTATCTCTGTAATTTTTGTGGATCCACAATAGTAGTTCAACTGAAAAATATATCCTTTTATTTAATTTTATTTTTTATAAAATGTATCAAGTCTAATTACAAATAACTTAAATATTCAATTTATGCCATGAAATTAGGAGTTAATCCCCAAAATTAGTTAATTAGTAGATATAAAATCTTAATAGGAATTTTAAAAATTACAATATTTTTTTTACTTACACAAATGCAAGATTTATAAAAAAAAAAAAAAAAATATGAATATATACATACACACATTTTAAAATTACAATACTTAATTTTTTTACATACACAAATTTTCTTTAAAAATTTAAACACAGAAACTGAAATGTCCCTTGGTGAAACAAGTTTTTTTTTTTTTTCTCTCTCTTTTTTTCTCTCTCTCTTTTTTTCTCCCTCTGTATCTCTCTCTTTTTTTTAAATCTCTCTGGGTGGCCAGCAAATTCAAATTTCAAAAACACCTTTACTATTTGCTCATGCTTATTTTCTTGGATGTAGTGATATGAAACCAACTGATTATTTAAAAAAAAAAAAAAAATATTACTCTATAAGATCTAAATTTTTTTTTTTAAGTGAATTTCTGTTATTTCATCTACTGAAGTTTTCAACTTGGAAATTTGTGTAAAATAACTTTTTAAGCCCACTAAATTAACATGTGTTCTCTTCTTTAAGATGGGTCTATTTTGATATGCATAGGAACATGCAAATCAACAAATAACAAAACATAAACATAAAATTCTCTGATTTTAAAATGTAGAAAAAGAAGCGCCTGTCACTGAAATGTTACCTCATTTAAAGAGACCTGAAATGAAAACTAATTATCACAACAGAAAGAATTGTATCTTTTATGAAGAGAAAACATTAAATTTTCTTTACATACTAATTTTATCAAAATAACTTTAAAAATATTAGAGCTATTTTAAATTTTTCATTTGATATAAATGAGAACTTTGCTTTAGGCTAATTTTAAGCATTTAAATAAAAAGCAAAAAATAATAGTTCATACCAAATAAGAGTAGTGACAATTTTTTTTAATATTTGATGCACAACTGTTTTTAGAAGCCTTTAATAACTAGTTGCAAAACTTAGATCTTTTAAGATGCAACTTTTCATGGTGGATGAAAAATGTTTAATATTTTCTTTCAAATGTTCCCTGTCATGTAAGAAAATAATTTACATAAACCCAAATTCATTTTTTATAATACATCATTGAACTAATTTTCTCATTTTGTTTCAGGGGTGCTTTTTACAGCAGCTCTGGTCCTCTTGATGCCCAATGTCGTTTCTTGGATTTTGTACTCTGTCTTACCTATGAACATGTAGACATCAGCAATGCTATCAGTGTGGTGGAGTCCATTAGCTCCTTGGTGCACCAGCACATCTTATGTCAAGAGCTTGTTGTGTGCCGCAAGGCTGGAGATGATGGTATCAATGCTCGTTCATGCTTTGGTGGTCTTTTTGCAACATTGCTTCGTGGGGTTGATACAACTTCCAACACAGGTGATGCAAGCCGTGACAATTTCATGTGCAGCTTGATGAAGCTTGTCAATATTCTTGTCCAGATTCCCTTGCCATCTCGATTTGCTCGAAGCTCCCACTTGGCAGATTCACCAGAATCTAGCACTTCATCTTCCACTTCTCATCCTCATCGTGCCCATACTCTCTCCTCATCAATATCTGCCCCTGTGCCAGATTCTGCCAAGCTGAGTCATGTTTTATCTACACCCACACTTCACCACTTGTCTCGGTCAGATGATGAGAAAGAGCAGCAAACAAATGAAGAGAAAACTAGTGCAGCTGCCAGTGGAACAAATAGCAATGCCCCTGGACATCCTGTTGATGATACTACTTACTTAGCAGACATTATTGTTGGCCATCAACAAATTATGTCCAACTTGATCCATACTCTGAGTTACTGTAGCAGCAATCCTATGGCAGCACTTGTTTGCAGTGGAATCGGTGCTACCTCCACTTGCTGGTATGATACTTTTGGTGTTGGAGATCCACTGTCAGTAGGTGATGGTGTTTATCAAATTTTGGTGACTCTAACCAACAAGTGTTCTGATGTAAAACTTGTTTTGGAATCCCTGTTCATGTACCTCTCTAGCAGCAGCCGGCACTACCCCCAGGGTAGAAGCCTTTGCAGGCTCTCAGATCCACTTCTTTGGTTTATACTTAAAGTTCTTAACAACAGTAGTGCTGTCAACATGTTTTTACAGATGGGTAAGTTGCTAACTCTTTTTGTCTTTTTTTTGTTTTATTATAATTAATTTCATATGCAAATAGTTACTAGAGTCGCATTGTTCAAATAGCTTTATTTCATTCTAGTTTTTTGTCATACTTTATCTCTAACATTAGTTTCAACTTGACTATTTGAAACTAATGTTTAAATTGGAACCTTTTGAGGAAGAAATGTTTAAATTAATTCTTTTAACTGGTTAAAACATAGAATAAAGAATAGTTTTATAAAGAAGTTACTCAATTAGAGTAGGCAGGGTGTAGCTTGTTATAGCATTGTTCTACATACTTTTGATTACAGGGATACAAATGACAAAGATTTGCTCAATTATAATTTTACATTAATTTATGAACAATTCATGTAAGCTTAATTACTTGGGTATATTTTTGTTTTGCTGCTTGGGCATTTTATTTTTTACATTTGTTACGAACCTTTACCTAACTTTATTATAGAATTGATGTTAAGGCTTATATTTTAGAAGCATTCTAAATGAAATGCCAGTTCTCTCAGAAAATGTGGAGTTGGAATTGATGGGTAACAGTTCTTGGTCCAACTTGCATGCCACTGAGCAAAGATTGTACAATTTCTCTTTCTTGATTACATGACGAGATGATGTGACCGGATATATTCCAGACAGTGAAACTACCTTGAACTACTGGAAATATGGCAGAAGGTCAATAACCTCTTTTCATCCACACGCATAAATCCATATTTGGAAATCATGGGTCACATGCTGAAATGATGGCGCAAAAAAAAAGGACCATTAAAAAGTTAGCCCCGTTTTAGAATCCAAACTGAACAGATGGTCAGTTATAAATTTGAATGTGAGGAAAACACAGAAATCTAAAAAGATTTCTAGGCTGAAAACAGTCCCTCTTCAGAATACAAGCTGAATGGATGGCTAGCTGTAATTGCTGCAATCTAATAAGTTCGGATTTGCAGAAAACATAGAAATCTATTAAGTTTTCCAAGTCAAAAAAGATTCAGCAAGAATTTAATTGAAGGAAGCAAACTTTGTTGGGCTAGAAAAGAATACATCAAACCAGAAGAAAGGTACATGTTTCGTCACTCAAGACAAGAAGAGAGAGAAAAGAAACCAAAAGAAAATTTCACAAACTAACCTTCTGTCTACAAGGAGAAAAGAACAGATAAGAGAAAAAGAAACAAGAAACACATATAAGAGACACTGAGAAAAAAGAAGATAAAAAGGAAAAATAGATCTTTTATAACTACCAGATAAATCCATTGTTTCTTTTTCATGTTTCCTCTGTTGCTCATTTTATCTTTTCATGTTCTGTGATTACTTGCAGGTTTGGCACAAGATCATTTGTTACTTACTGTTTACCTTTCTGAAAGGATAAGTTCCCCTCACCACTATTCTGTCCCACAACATTTATTTTTGTTTTATTGTTTTTGTTTTACCCTGTCTTTTACTTTCTCCCCGTTTATATATTTTTAATAAATTATTTGCTTGTTATCTCTATATCTTGCCTTTTGTCGTTTGTTGCCCACTGTGGTTGTTCCTCAATTAATTCTTTTCAGCTCAGCTGTGTCGGATCATTTGGGAAAAGAAATTATTTTTATATTTATAAGTTACATTACTTCTCACTGCTACCATAATAGGAGAGGGTGGTATGTAACACATCTTTATTAATAGTTTTATTTCCATTCTTTTTAGGTGCAATTAATGTGATCTGTAACAATTTGGTGAGCTGCAGCCAGAAGATAGTGAACACAAGTCCTGGCCTTATTTCCACTATGATGCAGAACCTTAACAGCAGTAGTAATAGTCGTCTGCCAAATACGTATAAACTAAATACTGGATCATCTAACACTGACTGTAATGATGTTCTTCAGAACTTTGCCCCACTTGGTAAAAGACTTTAGATTTTTTTTTTTTTTTTTTTTTTTTTTTTAATCACTTCAAAATTTGAACTGTTAATCTGTTTCTTCTGAAATAGTTTAAAATTAAATATTTGAAAAATGAATATTTAATAAAAATAATTATCTGCAGATTTTATTTGTGTGGCACTTTTCTCAAAAGAAAGTGATAAGCTTTTTCTAGCTTTTTAGAACTAACTCTAGCAATTTTAGCTTTTTAATAATCCTGTGGCTTGTTGCCATATTAATATTACTAGTGGTAGTTTTATTTTGACATTACCTACTATGAAATTTAACTGCAGTAGTATTCATTTTAGAGTTCTTTTGAGAGCTTATCAATCTTCAACTCTTTATTTCAGTCCTTCTTTATTTTTGTAACTTTTAATTAGTGTTGATCAAATTCATTGAAGATATTTACAAAATTAACCACTTAATTTATTTTTATTTAATTTTTATGCCAATACCAGGCCTAAATGTAAAATTGGCTGTTCTGACCAAATACATATCAAAATGTTTTACTTAAACCTTGAACAACTATCTAAACTTTAGGCAGTTAGATAGACAAACCACACTCATTACAATGTTTGTTTAACTTCACAACTTGTATAATTCATTGTGGTTATATAAATATTTTCCTGAGACTTTTTCTGCTAAAATAGCTTAATTTAACAGTCATTAATGATACCATGTTCATAGTTAATGTATTAGTTAACTAAAAGTAAAGTTGAATGAAATAGATATTATAATTGATAAATTGTGAGTCTAAATATTCAATTTGTAACAAATAACTCAGTTGTTTCAGAACTTCTCAGGTTTTGAGATATAACAGAAAATGATTGTTATTTATAAATTAAAGTACACAAACTATTGAATTTTTTTTAAATTTTTTTTATCTATTAAAGTTATGTGGAATTGTTACTTATCTTTATCAGGTACCATCTCATCAAGTAGTCCAACTGCAACTCCTGCTGAAGTGCTGATTCAGGCTTCCCCACCTCACAGGCGGGCAAGGTCAGCTGCTTGGTCATATCATTTCTATCCAGATGAGACCTGGGTTGACCTTACTATACAACTACCATTTGCCATACTGTTGAAGGAAGTTCAGATATCTCCTCACAGTACCTCCTTGTCAAGTGAGTGGAAAAAAAAAAAAAAAATTACTTGAAAAATTTAAATATTTCCATATCAAATTCTGCTGATTCTACTTTTAAGATATTTTCATGAAGTTTTATCATAGATATATTTCTTCAATACTTGTCTTTTCACTCTTAAAAATTGGCTAGTTTTTCCTCGAGCCAGCTACACAGTGTATGATGGGAAAATGTCATGATACAAAAACTGATGTCCCTCTTCCTGGAAGGTGCTGTAAGTTTAATAAGATTGCAAAGTAAGATTGTCCATGGATGTAGGAAGAACTATAAAGTTGTGCAAAAAAAAAAATTTCTGATTTTTCAATGGAGTAAATGTGTCATAGAGTACAGTAAGCAGGTTGCCCAGTAAATACATTCTCAATTTTTTGTCCAAGAAAAACCCCTTTTCTTAAGTCATCATTGCAAAGCTTGATTAAAATTTATATATACCTATTTAAAAAAAGGCACTGGTTTTTGGAATGATGACTAAAATTGAATTGTTTGGTAAGAATCAGGCACAGCCAGTGTGGAGGAAAAAAAAAAGTCATAATCTCTAGGAATGCTATCTCTACAGGGGGTGTTTTAGTGGAAATGGAACAAGTTGGTTGCTTAAAATCATTGCTACCATGTTTAAAGGAAAATCTGGTAGATTCTGCCAGGTGTCTTTTTTGGAAGATAAAGTTTCACTTTCTAACATGATAATCATCCTAAATACACAAGTACACTGGTGAAAATTGGCTCAGACAAGATTCAATAACTTACCCTGGCCTGCAGTGAATCAGAACCTGAGGCCAACAGAATGTTTCTAGTGAGAACTTAGGAGTAAGTCAAACCCACCTTAAAATTTAGTAGAGGCAGAGCAGTTGTCTTTTGAAGGATAGAATATACTGAAAGAAATTTATCATAGATTAATTGCTAACTATAGAAAATGTTTACTTTGTTATTGACCAGAAAAGCTATATCATTGACTATTAACTGAAGCAAGGATAATTTTGTTTTTTTTGCCTATTTTGTTTGTGTTAAATATAATGTTTCTGAATCAAATAAATTTTCTGAAATGGATTCATTGCCTAAGATCAATATTCTAACTTTTATATATCAAAAATGTTTCAACATTTGAAAAATGGATTCTTTTCTTTCTTTTTTTTTTTTTTTTTTTTCTTTTTTTTTTTTTTTTTATGAATTTCAAAGACTCTATTTAAATATTTATACATAGATTTACTCCACCACATATGCACAGTTTTGTTTTAACTTTCACTATCTTTGAAGTAACTTCATGATTCCATCCTCCCATAACATTTTTCTGGGTGATGGACTTGCCTAAGAGATTTTTAGAGGCTTCCAGAGAATAAGTTCTTCCCATGAAATGAATTTTGTAGGGATTGAAACAAGTGGTAAAGTGAGTATGGTAGGTGTAGCAGGACATCCCAGCAAGAAAGATGTGAGATCTGGCATTGTTCTGACAGAAGACCATACACTTCTGATTGGCCAATAATTTGCCTGAATTCTACATCTGATTTTGAGGAAGGGCCTTGTAATGCACAATGCCTGTCCAATCCCACCAGATATACTGCATCACCTTTAGATGCAAACCAACTTTGTTTTTCCTGGTACCTTTTTTGCTCTACTTTGTTCTAAACAATTTTTTTTTTCTCTCAGTGTTCTTTGAAAAAATGGATTATGAGCAGAGGGTTAGAGATGGAAATGCATTTCAATAAATTCAATAATTTTTTTCTTATTAAATCATAAGGCACTCAAACATCATAGTGATTCACATATCCAAATGATTTCAAATGTCTTACAATGCCTATATAAGATATGTGGAATATCTCTCCCATGTCGTGTGATCTGGATTATTTTCAATCAGCATTTTAGTTTGGTTATCTTCAGCAACTGCAGCCTTATTGGAACATGCTAAGTTTTCCAGATCAAATTTTCACTTCTGAACAGAACTCTCAGCTTTGACACAATCTCTATAAATGGCATATAGCATTTTTGCTCTTTGTACAGCATTTTTTTTTCTGTTTTGCAAAGAGCATCAAATAACAAAAATGCTTCTAATAGTGCGCCTTTTTATGCTTTTAGCATAGAAACATTTAAAATTCACAATCCACATACATTGTATAGAAAACATTGAAATTTCACTTATCAGAATATGTTCATTTAGATTTCAGTTCTATGTTGAAAGAAAATGGGGTTTAAATGCCTTCTATAGAAAAATATTAAAAATTCTTGTTCTAACCCAATACATTCTTGAGTTTTAAAATTCATAACTCTTCCAAGAGCATATATGCAAAATGGTATGAATTTTTTTTAATGAAAACTACACTATGAGTCTGTAAGGCCACCTGCATATTTCTATATCTACTGGAAGTAGAAAAACTGAATTGATTGAAATTTTTTCTCTCTCTCTCACCAGTATTGGTTTTTAAAATACTTTTCAAGAAAATATCTTAAATTTAGAAGTGTAATTAACCATTTATGGGGAAAGACAAGACAGATTCACTTATCTCACCTTTATATCTTAGTGTATATTTCATTATTTTCATGTTTTCAGTTTCTTTTATGTGTTGGTTGTACCTTAAAAAAATTTTAAAAAATGTTTTGTACTTTGGTTTCAGCTTGTCCATCTTATGTTTCCTTGGAGGTAAGTCATGATGGAATTACAGTGACTCCAATGAGTGCTCCTCTTATGACATGTAGTCTTGGTTTCATCCGTCTCCAACTGATTCGACCTGAGGTTGTCACCATGGTTACCATTCGCCTTCACAGGGCCCGGGATTCTATGACCATTGGGCTGTCACAGATCCTGTTGATGGGACACAGTGCATTCAGCGAAACAAACCAGAAAACAACTAGTGTTCTGGCACCATCTGATGACATTGTTTCCAAAACCAGGTAAACACATGCAGACTTGTGAGCTTTAGTGTCCTTGCAGAATTTGATTTTGGAACATTAATGAAATTCTTTCATGCTAAGCCAAAAGTTTAAGAGAAAAGCCGATCTCTTGTCTCCATGAATTTAAATTTATTGCAAAATGATTAATTTAAATGTTAAACTGTCTTAGAAGAGAATGGGGCTCTAAATTAATGAGATATGATCAAATTAATGAATCCTAAACTTAAGGCTTTGCTTATTCACTTACAACCAGGAAACATGCCAAAGTTTCTACATCTAAACTTTCAAAAGTAGCAATATGATGTAAGAGAGTACAATTTGAGAATTACAGTAACATTAAAAAAATTTAGACACTTGGAAGTTACAAGTTATAACAGCAAATTGGCAACAAAAATACTAAGTGAATAATCATAGACACTTTATATCTATTCATATTTATTTCTATTTTTTAATTTCATATACTGTGAATGGTATGGTATGTCTGAATAGGTTTGACTAGTTTCTATTATTTTCTACCTTAAAAGTTTGGTGTACATCTAACTTTTTTTTCTTTTTTTTTTCATAAATTTTAGCCTTGGCTGGGTCCAACTGTTGCAGCACTGTCTGACCATAGAAGAAAGTGTAGCATCTGCAGCAGCAGCCATTCCTCATCTGCTGACCACATGCACTGCCCTCTTGGTGTCGCCTCAGGCTAACACTCATTCTCCACCTTACTTGGAGACGGTTCTCCTCAAACTGGGGCTTCACTCTACAGATATGGGACTCACTCTCATAGACAGTCTGCTGAGAAAGTCATCATTTCTAGGACAGCCTGGTAAGTACATACATGTAATCTAAAAAATAATAAAAATACAGATACAGTTGTCTTTTGCTTTTCAAAAGTTTACTTTGTGTCATTGTGTTTTATGAAAATCTGACATTAGTAGAGACCCCACCCCAACACAGATGCGCACACACACACCTCTCTGAAATCATGTAGTATGATGAAGCAGTTACCATTAATTAATATGGAGAACATTTTTGAGTATTCCTAAAATAATCTGTTTGCTTGCCTCCATTTTGAAAGTTGATGTTTGTTATCTGCTGTGACTGATGCGGAAGGCTTGAAATGTGACTGTTTAGCCCCCATGCATTTTACTATCCTACACCTTTGTATTTTCTGACTGAATTTCTGGGATGAGGAGTTATTATTTACATTCAGATTATTATCCTTGTCTTTGTTGATGTTATCATGTTTTGGCATTGTATTGTGTGTTCAATCCCTGGGTCAGTCACTGTATACCTGCACTCAGTGGAAATAGGCAATCAATAACTGATCAGTACTAAATAAAAAAAAGAAAAAAAAGAAAGCTAAATGAGATATCCCTAGACATGATCAGTGGAACGAGAACAGTCTATTCCTGTGGATTAAATAAAGGGTTCAATTCAGAATTCCCTGTAGGTTACCCAGAACAATATACACTTGAGAAAGGCCAGAGAGCACAATGGTCAAAATGTTGTGATAACAATAAATATGAGATCAATAGTCTGAATATAGTGTAAATAATACACCTTTGTAGATATTCGAAACCTTATTCAAACCTATTTGTATCCTATTTGTACTTCCAAAGTTATTCACACTTGTTTTTTTGTTTTTTTTTCCTCTCCATCATTACTGTATTGTCAATTGTAGCAAAAATCTCACATGGTTATTTTTTTGAAATCTGGGAATATTTTAAAATTTCTGAATTACTTTATTTTGGTTTATTAAAAATTTCATATGAACACTTTTCAGGTAATGGGAGAAACCTGTACTTGAAGAAAAATTCAACTGAATTAGCTGGTGTTTTGAAAGTTCTTATTATTTATGTACAATCTTAAATATATCAAATAAAGCTAATTAACTTTTACATAGATCAAACAAAAGTTGATTATTTTTAAATATGCTCCAGTGATTAATTTCAACTTGTATGACAAACCTTAACATCAGTCTTGGTGGTCATGACATTTTAAGAATTTAAATCTTTTTTACCTCCTTGGTCAGGCTTTGATGTAGCAATTTCTTGGTTTGTAGATACTTGTGTGTCTTACATGGGCAAAGTGTGTGGTGTAGCCAATGACTCCACAATAGAAATCCTCTACCAACTAGGAACTGTCCAGGATTCTGGTACAGCAGCTCGGTAAGTCAACAGTATTACTTTTTTTATATTTTCATATGATTTTTGAGACCTTTAAAAAAAAAAGAATTTGGTTTTTCATGATTTGCTTAGACAATTGTTTTTCTCTTCAGAATTATTAAAAACCCTGTTGCATTTCATTGATTTTTTCAATCTATTTGATTTATTTTAAAAAAAAAAAAAAATTATACTAACCCTTATGATTCAAGTTTAATGATTTTTACTTAAAAAATTCCTGGCCTGACCCATCTCTCTCTTATATATATATATGAGAGGTGGGATTGTATGACATGGTGGAAAAAGTTTACTTGTGACACGTTTCATCCTTCAGGACTTCATTATATTGGTACTACATGTGTACAAAATGTGTGGTGCTTTTTTTTTTTTTTTTTTTTTTGCAATTGCCTGTAATAATTGTCACAAAACATACGTAGGAGATACCTCAAGGGATCTAAGAAGATTGTATGAACACAAAAGGGACATTTTACACAATACCTTAAATGTTGTCTACCATAACAAGACTGACCACAAGTTTGGGAGATATGCTACTCTGATCAAAGGAGAAAGAATTCATTATGACACAAATGTTTAGAGAGTGGCTTGATCACAAGGTCATCCCCAGTAACTTTGTGCCCTGCCTCTTACAACATCTCACCATTCACTGCTGACAAAAGTGATGGAAAGAAAAAGGCTCTAAATGAATTCGGCTAGATATAAAAAAAAAAAATTTTTTAAATTCCTGCATTCCTTGTTCATGCGCATGTGTAGTTGTACCAACATAACAAATTTAGTCTGAAATCCTGAAGGACGAAACGCATCACAAATAAACCTTTTCCACTTTGTCATACAATTTCAACAATACTGTTCTTGATATATAAAAATATATATATTGTTACCTCATACATATATATAGGTTTTAATCCTTTCAAGTCCACTAATTGGTGGGTGGAGAAAATTGATCAAGAAAAATTCCAGAATTTTCTTTCAAATAATTATTTTCCCCAAGTACCTTCAATCTCATCTGAGATCATCTTCAAGGTAACCTAAGTAATTTTTTTAAAGATTCTTTTTTAATTGTATTTTAATTTAGTATTTTTTTTTATATAACACTTTGCTGCTACAAACATTTAAGTACTTTGTTGCTATACTCGTAGTTGACTTTATTTTTAGCCACAATTCTCATATATCAAGAGTTTAAAGTTTTTGCTTATTATCTTGATGAACCACTGATGTATTTTCAACTAATGTCTGTCCAAACTGTGAATGTGGACATGAGTTTTCAATTAAATGTTCTGAGATTTAACTATGATCGTTCAAGTGAAACGTAAGCCTTCTCGTTGTTGTTGTAAAACCAACATATGTATTAACAGTTGATAGAGAAGAGTTATGGATGACTAATTGTATTAAATTTAGTATAATTTTTTTTTTACTTGGGCCAGTGGGGAATACATCAGTGTTTGAGTCTCTTTTTTTTTTTTTTTTTTTTTTTTTTTTTTTTTTTTAGTTTGATATGTTATTTGAGCATATATTGTGTTCATTTTTATTTATGTTAATATTCCCAATAGCTTGTCTAATATGTTCATCAACGATATAATTAGGAATTTCATTATTAATGAGGTTTTGTTTAATATTTTTTAATTCAGTATAGAAAATAATTCTTGTTGAAGAGTTTGCTTTTTGCCTGGTTAACTAAGTTTAGTAGAATAGCTATTTTATAATAGTTATGACATTCACTTTTATGGTTGAGATTGCACGTGTATATGCTAGTTGTTTTTTTTTATATGGGAAGTAGTAAATGTATTATTATTAATGTCTATCAATACATCAAGAAATTGGATTTTTATTGTCATTAAGTTCATATATGAAATTAAGTAGATTTTTTTTTGATTTTTTTTTTTTTTTAGTTTTTTTGTAGTTCACGTATTTCATCTATGTCTTTGACTAAAATGAGAATGTCATCTATATATCTTAGGTAAATGGAGGATGAGATTGAAAGTACTTGGGGAAAATAAAAATTATTTGAAAGAAAATTTTGGAATTTTCATTGATCAATTTTCTACAGCCACCAAGAAATGGATTTGTGGACTTGAAAGGATTGTTATTTCTTGCAATATAGTGTGTGTGTATAAGTACAGGTAATAAATCTGTTGGTATATAATCCAAGTGGATCCTTGTAATGTAAGATATTAAAACTGATCCATAAAAAACTCTATGTATTCAGTGTGTACAAATATTATTGCACAACAAAATCCAAAATTACCTCATATGGGATAGGAGATAGTTTTCATTGGTTGAAATAGATCTATGTCAGTCTTATTTATTCCTGGTGTATAGACAGAGTTCGTGTCAGAATTAGATTTAACTTTGACAGCTGTCAAAAAATTGATACAGAATATATCCATTTCAATGTTTCAGTCAGACAAAATGTCCAAGACAATGGTTAGGGGAGGGTGGAAGGTATTAGCTTTAAGGGAAGAGGTGTTATAAAAACCCAGATATTAACCTTATGATATTAAATTGGAGTTATATGAAGAATGAGGTGTTAATTTGAAACTAAAAGAGTGCTGAAAAGGGAGTTTTACAAAAAAAAAATTATTTTTATATATATATATATATATATATATATATAAAGGTTAGGTCCTAGTTAAAAAATGATAAATTATACTTAAAAATAAGATATATTTAAAAGATTAAAAATAAATCATATTTAGCTAATTTATATTAAATTTAAGTAAATATTTTGTTTAAATTTATATTAAAGAATAAAAATATTTAAAAATATAACAAAATAATTATACATTTTTAACTTTAAAGATAAGTTAAATCAAGTTTATAATAAAAAACATACAAAGTTATATTTTAAAAAATCTTTAAAATATATATAGATAAAGAGGTGTAAGTGAAAAAAGGAAAGAGTTCTTAGAACAGGGGACAATTATAAAATATAATTAATGTGGTGAAAAAATAGAAACAGAAATAGTTATGCATTTGACATTTGAAGAGTTGGAGAATTAAAGTAATAAAGTAAAATATATATTATAGAAGTTTAAATTTGTTTTTATGTCAACATTCTAAAACTAATTCATTCCTTTGATTTCATAATTTGGATGATTGTATTTTATTATTCTAATTTTTTCTTCTAAATACAAGTTACACTTATCTCTAAGACTATTAGACTGAAAAATTATAGTTTTTGTTAATACTCCTATCTGAATTCAGACCTTTCTCCTTCAATTCCCAAAATTTTTTGGAAAGTGCTGTCTGGTGTTTTAATTTAAGGTTGGTAAAAGAGTACCTATGCATATAAAATCTGTTTCCATTCCCCAGTGAAAATTCCATTGTACACATGTTAACATTTTCTTTGGGCGAAATGGTTGGTTGGTATATAACCCTAGTAGATCTGGATTTGTCCTCAACTGGACAATTTTCTTTCTCTACAATTACAGGAGGGTTCCAAATCAGGTTTGTTGTTTATCCTATAGAACTTAAAATATAGTTATTATGATATTGATAATTTTTCACTTGCTATCGGTGCAGGAATAACTAATTTTAATAGTCTTCCTGTTGAAGATCTTACTTAAACATTTTCACAGAAACAACCCTTTATTTTATTAACTTTAGAAAATACTGTCAGATATTAATATTTCACAGTTTGCAGAAGGTGGGAGGCGAACCATAGAATTTTTTTTTTCTATTTCTGTGCCTACATTTCACTTTAGATATTTCACTGTTACTTATGGGGGTTACATAAGATAATTTATTTTTAAAACCAGTTTTTACAGAGATCATTTTCAGACAATTCTTAATTTTTTTTAAAGATGTTTAATCAACTAATTCTAATGCCAGCAGTGGTGGATATCTCTCACAATGGCATTGGGATGGTTAAAATTAACATTAATATAGGTGAGGGTTTCATTCTCTTTATGGTATGGTTTAAGTGTTTTATTATTGAGGTTTGGGGTGATGTCTAGATAATCAACTATTTTAAGGTTAGAAGAAATCTCAATCCTAAACCCTAGTAATTTAAGGGCCCTAATGATTTTCTTTTGTATCTTTGCTGTTAGTGGGCCATTACTATTGAAGATGAAAATGAATGTATCTAAAATATAAGAACATACTAAATCGGCAACCTGGGCTGAATCATATGTTCTCATAGGGACATCAAAAGCGTCATTAGGGCACTTTTTTTTTTTTTTTTTTTTTTTTTTTTGCGTGGGTGGGTGAACTGAGAATTTTTCAACATCTCATGTAAACAGTTATTGTTAAATATGATATTGACTAAATATAGAAAGCTTTTTTAAATCTTATTAACATGTTCTCATGTGTTGACACTTATCAATACCATAAAGTATATAATTATTAATCAAATAAATCTTGTGACGTTTGTTTACAAATTCTTACTCATGCCTAATTTTAGTTGAGGCTCAAATATTGGACTGGCATCTAGTGGCCATTCTATTTTGTACAAACAATTTGCTAGTCATAAAATAAAACAAACTTATTTTTGATTTTTTTTTTTTTTCTTAATGACTTTTTTCTTAATCACTTTTCTTTTTATCTCCTCTCTTTTAGTTTGAAAGCTCTGATATTATGGCTTGGTGACAGTGCCAAAGTAGCAATTGAAAAATCAGAAATGTTGTCTTTAAACAATGGATATGGTCCAGCACCTCATGAGACTACATATTTCACATTACCTCACCCAGCAGCAGCACATGTTCACTGCATTGCTGCAATTCTTTTGGTACAGCAGAAACTTGCCCGTTTGTAGTGAGCTGCGGTCCATCATCACTCCTGAGCTGTTCAGGTCAGCATTCTCCTTCTCGTGTATATATATATATATATATATATATATATATATATATATATATATATATATATATAATTTTTTTTTTTTTTTTTGTTTCTATGAACTGCTAGTATACATTTTATGAAATGGTAAATTTTTAAAGCCTTTACTTAATACTAATAAATCTAATATGTTTAACTAAAAATATAAATACCAATATATTATGTTGTATTGTAGTTAAATTTGTGCATTTGAGTTATTTAGAAAGTTTATAAAATCTATAACTGATGCAATTACTTATTTTTAGTTTATCTGGAAAATTTGAGCATTGAAAATATTACTGAGACATTGTGAAATTTGCAGTTTTGTTAATACCTTTTTATTTACCTTTGTTAATATTAATGCGATATTATATAATAATGTAAAATCACTTGTGAGTTTTCCTCCTTCATGCATAATATAAAGATATTTAGAACATATTTTTCTATAATTTTTATGTTAATTTTAAAGACCAGTGATAAAGATGTTTGTCTACAAATTTTTTAAAACCAAACTTTTGTGGTAACCTATCATAATTAAGCATGTAGCCAAACAAAAGTAATTCTCTCTTCAGTTTGTGAATAGCAAAGCTTATAAGCTATAGCATCAATGGCAATGACTGTTGGTTAAAAATATATATATATGCTTTAATAATCAAAAGCTAACCAGTTTTAAAGAATATCTCCTATTAATGGTTAATGTCGGTTTTTATTTCTTTCTTATTTATTGTAAATTTTGTTCAAATTGTTTTTAATAAATTTGTATATTTCTTTCACTTAACATATTATACATTTTTTTTAATTGCAGTTCTGTGTATGAATGGAGTACAGTACTGTCATTTGACTCTTCCTTGAAACGAGCTGTGGATAATGTTCTCTGTTCAATCTGTTATATTTATCCTGAGTTCTTTACACTAATTCTTGAGTGGATGGGTATCATGTTGAACCCAGATAACAGTATGACTGCTTCTATCAGTGATGACTGTAAAGATAGCTCTCAACAGCACCATAATGCCTCTCTAACTGATGACTCAAAAGAGGCTCAAACCAGCCAACAAGGGGCTGTTGGTAATGGTATTCCAGATTCATTGATTACATTGCATGATTTCAGCCATATGATGCTTGACCGGTCTCATCTATCCACTTTGGCTATCACTTGTCAATCTCCTGGAGCAGTACGTCAACTTCTTGACAGCAATTTCCCTTCAATCCTTGCTCAGGGACTATTTGAGTTCTGTAACCATGAGATTGCTTGCTTTGCTGAGAGCTTGACCAATCCAGAATCTTTAACTGATGCTAACAATAGTATGAATGGGGAAAATGGCTTGTTAGAAAGTCAACAATACCAAACTGGCTGTGATAATTCATGTAAGTAAACTATTAGCTCTCTTTTATTGTGAGTGTTCTTTAAATTTAATTTGTTTTACCATGTCCTAAAAGGTAACAAGACTGAATTTATTTTTAGTTTTGTCTTTGCCATCTGGATAAGTTGATCCTTTTTTAATCATTATTAGTCTTCTTATTAATGCTATAACTTCTGTATTTTCAAAGATTTTTTTTCTCTAGTGTAATATGAAATTAACATTTACATTAATTACATTATTCATTTAATTGTCAAAATAATTTCTACAAACTATTTTTTTTTTTTTTGATAAAACAATTGAAGAGCATGGCTGTTTCTTATGTCTGTTACCTTTTATTGCAACTGTCAAACCATTATTTTATGGTTCTTCCATGCTATAGAACACTATATCCTTAGTGTGTATGGGAAATGAAGAATAATCCTTGAGCAAAATTCAAATTTGCATACTTTATCCTCAAACTTTTCTGATTATGCTACATAGACCAACTTGTTACAGTAATTTAAATCTAAATCCATTTATTTTTCTTGAATGCTGGATTTGCATTCGTCTTTTTTGATTACAGCAAAACATTGACTTATAATATTAACATTTCTGAAATGAAGCATTGTCAAATATCAACACTCGCTATCCCAACTTCTGTTTAAAATTTTTTGTTTCTTTTATATATAGTGAAGAGCTTAGCAGTAACAGCAGATCTGGTAGCTGCCATTCTTGGCTTTTTTGCTGAAATTGCCCGGGAACCTTTGATCAAGGATTGGATGGGTGGCCCTGAGGGCAGCATTTTTTGGCCAGTTCTACTCACGTTGCTCTGTACTATCCCAGTACAAGGGTCCAGTACTGCAGCATCCTCATCTTCCTCAACCACTTATAAATACAAGGTATTTTGTTATAGATTTTAACAGAAATTTTGATGGTCTTTACTTTTTGTTTGACATTCTTAACTATTTCTAAAAAGTGAGTATTAGCTATATTTTAGATTATCACCTGAAGAAAATTAATGGTTTTAATTTTCTATATTTATTGCAATATTTAAATACATTTACCTGTTATATTGAAAGTTTACTGTATTTTTAGTGTAACATATATGTTTTTTATAAAGTGATTTAATTTTTTTACATGTATGTGTATATTGATTTTAAAAATGAGTTTAAAGTTAGAGGGTGGGTTCTGAAACTCAAAGGCACAAAAGGTCCATTACATGCTGACGGAGAGGTGCAGCTGGCCAATAGCAGGCCCATCACTCGGGTATTACTAATGGAGAGGGTATCACCCAGAACTGGTAGAAGTGCATTTTCATGCATTAAAATAAGATTGCATCACTCTCAGATGGTGGGGGGGGGGAATGGGCAGAATTGAGTGAGGGTTGTGAACAACTATAGTGCCAATCTATACAGCAGATTGGCTAGTGCTTATCAAAATGAATACAGATGTGATAGTTGAATATGTGAGTAGAAAATGAGGGCAGTTTTATCTTATTTTTTACTGAATTCAGATTTATAAGTAAATTTAGTTCTAATTATCTCCACTTGACCCCAACCAGGAGAAAATTACCTTCTGTCGTCTTTTACAGCACCAGGGTGTTGTAACAAAATGCAGAAGGTAAATTTTACCCAAAACAGTTCATGTTGAAGATGATTTTTGACACTGTTTTGCAGCAACTTGAGATTCTTAGACTTCTGTGGGGGAAAATTGTGAAAATGGCCTACCTCGGAAATGTCTGCGAATCTGTGCAAACTCCAGTTTGCTAGCAGTAAAAGGAACCAAAATGGCGGCGCCCAGTTTTATGCCAGGCGGTCTCGGTTAGTTAACGCGAAATCTCATTGTCTTGTCATTCGCATGCAAATCGTGGTCGGTCCTCAGCTGTATAAAGCAGGCGCGTTTTTCTGTTTTAGATAAGAGGGCTTTTGGCTTGTGAGAAGGTTGGACGTGTGACACTGGTTTTGTCGGTTACCCTCCTCGCGGTTTTTTGTTCCTACCTGCTATTATAAGTTGTTGTGTTACCCCCACAAGCTATTTCGGCGATGGACAAGTTCGATCAAAAATTGATCCCAGAATTCAAAGGCTCCCCCACGGGCCCGACTGTCGTCGAATGGTTTGAAAAGGCCGAACGTGTTTGCAGGGTGTCCAAAATAAAGGAACCTGCACTGGTCATCCCACCGAGACTCACGGAGAGAGCCTACGCCGTATATCAACAACTCGGGGACGATACTGACCTAGAAGAAATCAAGGGTGTCCTATATACGGTCTTTAAAATAGACACCTTCATCGCTTGGAAACAGTTCGTCAGACGACAGCTCGAGCCGGGTGAGACTGTGGATGTCTACCTGGCTGATTTGCAAAGGCTGGCAGTACTGTTTGGCGGAGCAACGGACCGCATACTGGGATGCGCCTTCCTGGCAGGACTTCCCAACGACACCAGTCAGCTCCTGCGAGCGTCTTCAAGATTGGACACACTGGGAATTGACGAATTGCTAGCCAGGGCCCAAAACATCTTGAAAGACACGGAACGTGTCACGGCAGCCGTGAGAACGCCCGAGACACCGCGGGATGGCCCAAAGTGCTACAAGTGCAGTGGACCCAACCATTTCTCTAGGGACTGCCGAAGTGATGTAGGAGATGGGAGCAGCCGACGGACACGAGCACGACTACGGTGCTATTGCTGCAAAGAGTTAGGCCATGTAGCACAGGATTGCTCGGGAAATGAGTCCGGAGACAAGGTGCTGTCGCAAACCTTGCCCCCTCTCAGTCAGTAAATGCGGCATTGCCTGTTGTCAACATGTGCGTTGAAGGTAAACGATATTCGGCGCTCGTTGACACTGGATGTTCCCGATCGATCGTTGGAGCAGTCAACAAATCGAGATTCGGACGATTGATGGAGTGTCCCGGGCCTGTTGTGGTGTCGGGACTGTATCAATCCTCACAGACGGAGGGAATCATGCCAAGGTCGACGTTTTGGTGGCACGTTAAAGGCCCCTCGGTTACGACCTGCTGCTTGGGATTGATGCAATCCAAGCGTTAGGAGGCATGATAATCACTCCAGCCGGAAATGTGGAACTGGGTAAAGGAAGAAAGGTGTGTGCAGCCCTTTGCATTAGTGAGCCGGATTTCGACGTCTCTTTCAATTCCGACGAGAGGGTGTGGATCACCAGGTGGAAACGGGCCTAAAAAGACCCACCAGTTCAGCTTCACAACAAGGTCGCAGAGTACAAAGTTCCCTACAGCATCGGAGGAAAATACGAGAAAGAGCTTCAACAGTGGATTGTGAATGGCTGGTTGATTCCGTACCCCCAGGTAGACTGGGACCCCCAAAGGATCTGATTCCCTTGATGGCAGTCGTGCAGGAGCAAAAACAGAAGGTGCGTCCGGTACTCGATTACCGCAAATTGAACGACTTTGTGGATGCTTTTACTGCCGATGCAGAAGTGTGCGCACATAAGTTGAGAACGATGGCGGTGGCAGGGGGTCAATGTGTCGCTTCTGGATCTCTTGAACATATCTTCAGATTCACATCGACGAAGCGCTGTGGCCATTTCAAACAGTTATTTTCAAAGGCCAACACTTCTGTCTTACGCAGCTAGGATTTGGGCTAAATGTAGCGCCACTCATTATGAAATCCGTTATAGATGCCATCACATCGCAAGACCAAGACCACACAATTGAAAGTGCCACATCAGCATACGTTGATGATATTTTCATTAATGAAAGTTTAGCCTCTGCATCGCGTGCCCATGTTTTATGCCGGGCAGTCTCGGTTAGTTAACGCGAAATCTCGTCTCGTCATTCGCATGCAAATCGTGGTCGGTCCTTGGCTGTATAAAGCAGGCGCATTTTTCTGTTTCAGATAAGAGGGCTTTTGGCTCGTGAGAAGGTTGGACGTGTGACACCGGTTTTGTCGGTTACCCTCCTCGCAGTTTTTTGTTCCTACCTGCTATTATCAGTTGAGTTGTTGTGTTACCCCCACAACTTCAATTCCTGTAAATTAGCCATCTTCAACATGAAATGTAAATGTTTAGTTAGCCTTGAGCACAATACAGATTTATCTACTCACATTATTGAGAAAAACTTCACAAACATAAGTACTTCCAAACATGGCCATAATGTGCAAAGATGAAAAAAAAACAATTTGGAAGAAACTGGTAAAAATCAGAAACTCTAACTTCTGTATATTTCTGCTTCAGTATGTTATCACAATGACACTCTTCCACCAGTTCTATCAGAAATTCCTCAGAAACAGTATCCATGTTCAATGGATTAGCAAGAAGCATAAATTGCCTTTATAATGCCTGAACATTATGAAAATGTTGCTCAAGCTCTGCATGCAGTTTATGTGCCTGTTTTTAACTTAATTAGCCTGACAATTTCTGATAAGATTTATTGAAGATTTATGTTGTACAAGGTTCTGAAAGGTTTTCTCTCTGCTAAAGAAACTCTTTCCCCAAAAACAAATTTGATGTTTGGTAATTTAGTCTGATTTTGTGAAGTGAGTTGAGCTGAGAACTTTTTTTTTCAGCATAGAAAAACCAGGAGTCTCTTAGAATTGCTGATAGATTGCAATAAAATTTAACTTTTCAAAAGTTTATATAACTAAACTGATGTGTTAAAGAATTAGGCAACAGGTGGTTTTGCCCTCATAGAAATGAAGTAATCTGGATATTAATGTTATAGGTAAAGAGGTAGTGTAGCTTTAGTAGCCATGGCACAGTGACAGGATTTAACACTGTTTAATTGTGAAATGATTTTGGAGCCACTCTCTCTCTCTCAAGTGAAAACCACAGTAACAAGAATATACCAGGAACATGTAGTTTCAAGACACAGCAGCAGCAAGTAAAAGCTGTGGGCATCCATGTCATCTGACAGATAGTAATCACCCAATGAAGAGGGACATTGGATTAAATCATATTCTAAATCAATGCTAGTGCTGTCCAACTCCTTATGGAATACAATGTACATTGTATTTTATGTGGTTTCATAGTTGTTGACCAATAACAATACAATGTTTGACACTTTTCCAGCTCTTTTTAGCAGGCAGTTAACTTTGTGTGTGAAGGAGACTGCATGAGGCTATGAATCCAGCTTGTCAGTAGAATGTTGTGCAAACAGGTGGTAGCTTTGTAATGGTGTACACTCTACTTATTTTTAAGGGTTGATCTTTGAATTTGAAATATTTATATACTTAAATACTATCAGATGTTAAATCTCATTTTTGTATCTTTTTTTGCAGAAAAATCTTAATTACATTTTCTATGGAATATTATGTGAAATATTTAAATTCATCAAATTTTAAAGACTTAAAACAAAAAAGTTTCTTTTTTTCCTCAGAACTTTCATATTCACCGAGATAATCTACTTCACATAAAGAACCAGCTACTCTTTGAACAATGTTCTCTTCTAAAAGGCTTCAAAATTATTTAAACATTTTTTTCGTGTCCATCTTTCTTGTATTAAATATAGATTTTTAAAAATTAGCCAGTGAAGTTTAATGATTATTTGGAAACTGTTTTATTCTGAGAATATATATAAAACTTAATACTCTTTGTAGGTGATGACAGCAGAAGAACGAGCTGCTATAGAAACGGCTGTAATCACATTCTTCAACCAAGTAATCTCCTGCCATTCACTGAACCAACACTTGTTTGCCCGTGTGCTCTGTGAAGTCATTAGAGAGCAGGGTTCTGGTGGGTACTATTTTTACCAGGACTTGTTTTCTATTTAATTAAGAAAAGATGTAATAAAAATTGTCTTTATAATTAAATTACACACCTACGATTTTACATTTCTTGAATACTCAGTGTCTTTGCCCAAATTATGAGGATACAAAGTAACTAGAATAGCTAACTAAAAATGTATTAAAACAAAATTCATGCACTAAGCAATAAATGTTATTAAAGGTATTTTTACTATTGAGTATCCTATTTCTAACTGTTCTGCTTTTATATTATCTGTATTTGTAGAACTTCTGAAAGCAATCAAATTTTAATGCTATTTCAATTTTTACTAGTGAAAAATCCGATTATTAAAAACAGTTAATTTTAGCATTTTACAATGATAAATTATTACCTTTACAGATTTCATGGTATTTGCTGTAAATTACAACTATATTTTATCATTTATTGCTGATTTGATTAATTATGTTGGAATTTCTAGTGCTTTTTACTGACAAAAAAAATTATATTTTCAGAAAAATAATACCTGCAGTTTGTCTTTATATAAACAAAAAGAACTTATTTTTATTTGATTCAGAGTATGTTCTGAAATCGGTTAACTTGAGCCATAAAATTTTTTCATATAACTTTTTTTATTGAATATTATTTTTACAAGTTTATTCTTCCCATTCTAATTTTCATTTTACAATATGAAAACTCTAAAGTCTTTAGCACCCTACAAGTTTAACACTTGTATATGCAAATATTGGAATTATCTTAATTTATTTTTGTTGATAAACATTAGTTTGAATAATACCATGTGGTGTTTATTTTAGGGCCGATATCATCTGGCCCTCTTCTATCAGGATTCACGCGCAGACTATTTCTCCAAGTCCTCTTGGAAGAGCCTAAGATTCTAGTGTCTTTCAAGTCTTCCCCTCACAACAGCCGTCTTCAGGTTCAAGGTTGCTTTAGTCAGCTACAACATCCTTGCTTTGGAGCTGGCCGACATTTTCACACAGTCACTGTTGGTCTCCAGACTACTTGTGAAGAACTTATTAACAAAATATCAGGTAAGAAGGATTAAATATTTCTATATTCTACCTCTAGACAAGTATAATACTTAAATTATGTTAAATAATATGCTTGTAGCTAGATATTAAGGGAAGTCAATTTTTCAAATAACATTTGTTACAACAAATTGCCACTGAGGTATTAAGAATTTTTATATTCTATGACAATAGCGTTTTGTGATGCACAATATACCTGTTTTGTATTAAGTGAGACAAATTTTCTTTTCTCAATGATTAGAATGCCTGTTCTTATTTAAAAATGTAAATTTTCATTTGCTCTTTATGAAAAATATACAAGAGTGCATTGATCAGTTTGCAGCCTGACACTTAACTGAATTTTGATCTGAAATATTCACTGTATAATGTTTAGCCTGTGAATGCACTGACAAGGAATGAAATTGTTAAAAATATTTTTGTATGTTTCTTTGTTTTCTCTCTCTCATTAATCTACAGACTTATTGATGTAACAATGTATTTACTTAGATGTCTGTGCAAACAGATTTTGTTTGAAGCAATGTTTCCTTTTTTTCTTTTATGTGTATAAGAAATCATGGTAACCAAAACTTTATTGCAAGTTAATTAACACAAAGAATATATTTGAGTATTTGTTAAAAATTCTCAGCTTTCCAAAAAGAAAAAAAAATTTGGTTATTTGTTCAGATTTTGGAAAATTGATTGTGCTAAGAACTTTTCAGCCCCTACTCTGTAAGTACATGTGCACATTTTTTGTAGGTATGGACATAGAATTTAACACCTAGAATCCATCCTCTTGTTAGAAAAATTAATAAAAATATAGTTCAGCTAAAGTGTTTAGTTTAATTGAATGACAAAATGGGGGTAGGGATTATGGGTTTGATCCTTCAAAAGAATTTCTTTAGATTAATGTTTTTTATCAAAGAAATCTTCTATGTGGAGAGATAGGAATAAAATACAATGAATGCCAATCAAGACATGCTTAACTTTAAATTTTTAACATTTGATATATATAGCTTTCTACTATTTTTCTAATTCAGCTTTCTACTGCTTTTGTTTTCATTGAGATATATATATATATTATATATATATATATATATATCTTGTAATATCAATAGCTAGGAAAGGAGATATGTTGTATGATATTGAACATAAATTTGTGAATGACCTTTTTTCATTTTGTCACTCAATCATCCTATTGATATAGTTGTATATCCTATTTCCCATATGTGTTTAAAATCTGCTTTATTTCCAGAGAAACAGTATTCAATATTGTTGATAGACCATTCCTAGGTATAGACATGCGTACATAGTCACCATGCCATACTGATTTCTATATATACATACTGTTATATGTCAATAACTGCAGCAATTACTTCACCTCCCCAAACACTCCATTTTTATATGACCACTGTAAGATTAAATTATTCATTCGGCATCTCTCAAAATAAATAGCTACAAGATAATATCACATTGATAGTTGTAAACAATAACAGGTACTCTATAACAATCTATGCAATTTTTTTTATACTATTAATTCAGAGTAGGAGAGATTTAAAGTCGTGAATATTTGAAAACTATACTAAATAAATAAATATATATATATATATATATATATATATATATATATATAAGGATTTGTCACAAATAGAAAAATATTTTCTAAAGTAGTTTCATTGCAGATTACCAATTCTACAAATCCTTCCATTTTATTTCCCTTTATGGCATCTAATATTCACATTGCAACAGTTTGTTAGGTACACAGGCAAAAAGTTAACATTTCATTTGTAAAATGTATCTAAATTTTTTTTTGCAGCATTAATTATTAACTTGTAAGATTGATTTTGATGTTAAAAAAAAAAATACCCATTTTATTTATTTTTTTTATATTTATTGATGGTTTTAAAAACCAGTGGTTAAATATACATTGAATTTTAATAGTTTAAATGTTCAAGCTTTACACTATAATTAACATAATCCCTTGTAAATTTTTTTTTTTTTTTTTTTTTTTCACAAAGTCGAGGTTTTTTTAAAGTCAGTGTGCTGTTTTCTAAAATGTTTAGTGGATGGGTGCTGTTTATTGTCCAGTGCCTATACAAACTTCTTTCTGTACAAGAACTGTTGAATAAAAATGACTTGAAAGTTTTTTTTTTTTTTTCTTCTCCTTAAAGATCACACTGGGCACATGGCCCAATTCTGGGATGGCTCTGGTGAAAAGAAGAAGAAGAATGTTGATGATTCCAAGAAAGATATGACAGAATTGGGAATAGAGGTTGTTGATTTTCTTTCAAATGCTGCTGGTATGTTATTCATTCTTAGAATTTACAAATATTTGCAATTACTTTTGTATACTTCCTATTTTGTGATATTGGGTTTCTTTTAAAATTGTTACTTGCTTTTAAAATGCAGATTCACTATTAGTCCTAATTCATTGCCATCTGATATTCTGAATTTATTAAACAATATTAGGTTAATGAATACAAGAAAATGAGCACATTATTCCACTCTGTAATTCTGTCTACTGATTGAATAGACTCTTATTGTATTTTAATGTTTTTAGTAAATATAAGACAATTTGAAAAACTCTTATATTTAATGTTTTTATAAATGAATACAAGACCTGCTAGTCTTTGATTTCTTAGATTAACTTTCAAAAATTTAGCACCTTTGAGTTGAAATAAACTTCACTATTTAGTTTTAATTCTTGATACTCTTACACAATACTGTTTCAATAATTTCAAAAATCTTTCAGTATAAATTTAATTAATCTGTAAATATTATGCGGTTAGTTTTACAAGCATTTTTATAATACAGTATCTTTTTAGTAAGATAATAACTTCTTTATTTTAAGATGATCACATGTTCTTCTGTAGGTTTACTAGCCAAGGAACGAAGAGAGAAAAATTCCAATCATGGAAAGACTGGTGGACCACCCCGTTTGCCCCCTCGTGTGCGAGGCAACCAGAGTGCAGATATGGTCACTATGAATCTTCAGTTCCCTGTTCTCTCCCTGTACCATTCTCTCTTACCTGGTCAGTAATCGGTTTTGTGCTTTAACTGCTATGAACTTGAATAGGGTTTAATTTTTTAAAAAAGGTAAAATGTAAATTAAATTTGAATTTCGGTTTTATGTTCAATCATTGTTTTAATATTTGAATTGCACTTCAAGCCTTCACATAAAAATAGATATTGATTATGAATTGTGTATTTTGGTTTCACTTTTGGATGATATTATCTAATTATTTATCTTTCATCAATGTCGGCACTCTTAATTTCCTAATTTAAAATGTGACTTGATTCGTTATTTAAATGTAGATCATATATTTGTATGGATCAAGAAGTTCAGACATAGTTATTAACAGTTTTTTTTTTTTTTTTATTTGAAAGTTTCACTGTATAATGTTTGAATCTATGTACTTTGTATTCACTATAAAGTTAAGTACACCAAGGAAGGATATTGTCAAAAATATTTATGTAAAAAGAAAAATAAATAGTACTTATTCCTGTACATATGCACATTAGCATTAAAACCATTATTCATTAAAAATTAAAAATAATTTAGTCAACAGAGAATTTAAAATTTATTGCCTACTTAAGCAATCTGTATTCAAAGTGTCTACAAAAAATGTAGATGTATCAAATGTAAAAAATTTTATTAATTAATAATGAAGTTTATTTAAAACTTCTATCTGCATTCAAGCAAATATGAACTAAATATTTTGGATGTTTTTATATAAGCTTGTAACATGTAATTATCACATTTTTTCTTTGAATGCCTTTCTTTTATTTAATGGTTGCCCATCACAGAAATTAAAATCCCTTACCAGGTTTGTGACCCTCTCTCAATTATTAGTCATCTTGCAAGACAAGGGGTATCTCCAAGGACAAGCTGTTTTTGGAATTCCTGCTCAAATTTCATTCTTCCAAACCTGGTGATGGTAAAAAAGACCATTTGAGGATCATGGTAAGTAAAAAAGCAAATAACCTTCAGTTTTTTGTATTCTTTAAAACAAAAATAATAATAATAATAATAAATTTCTTGTAATAAATAACACAAATCCATCTTGTATTTTCTTGTGGGTTCATAAAATTTAATCTAAACTGGACTAAGTCTTGAATGATTCCTAAAAATTCTCTTCTATTTCAGTAAAGCATTAATTTACAAAGTTATGCATTATGAAAATGCTTTTATTTACTTTTTTTTTGAATATCACAAGAAAAAATATAAATTTGAGATTTACATTGTTACTTTTAAAGTTTTTGAGTTCATTTTATATCAATCTTTTTACTTCACAGATGTGTACTAGATTAACATTTTTTTGTTGAATATAAATATAACAAACTCATTTTCACAATCTGAGAAATAAATTTTATAAATTTGGAGGATAAATTTAATTTACATAATAACAATTCCTCATCTTAATACATTTGTTTATAGTATCAGTTTTCATTAAAGTTTTATTTAACTAGCTTTTGATAATTTTGATAATATTTAAATGCCAAAGATTCAAAGATGTTTAGCCAATGGCTTTTTTTTTTTTCCTTATATTTATTTTCATAAAAAAGAATGTACATAAGGTATACATTTGTTAACTGATATTCCTATTCATTTAAATGATATTATTCAATTAAAACTAGAAACAAATGCTACAATTTTGTTAAACTTTTCATTGTCTAGATAAACCTGTGACTGGCAAACAGAAAGCTCCTATGTGTGATCAAATTCTGCTGAATCTGACAGCTTCCCATCTGCCCTTCAGGTACTTTGCCAGTGTTGGTGGCCTTGCTCTTCTGGCTGAACACCTGCCTGTTCTCCTATTCAGAAGTGTCTCACCAAACCTGTGCTTCCAGAATTATGGACAATACAGCAGTTTCTGAGATTGCCCAGGATCAGTGGGTCTCTGAATACTCTTCAGACTTGAATGAGGTCAGATTTCTTTTAATAACAACATTCCTTTTTAGCATTTCTCTTTTTATTGTCAGCCTCTGTCCTTTTTGCAGTCGTTCTCCAAATATCACTATGAAAATGGAGAAAATGAAATCCAGAAAATTTTTTTTTCTTCCTAAATTAATAAGCTTTTTTGCAATGCAAAACATTTTTTTTAAACTGTAATCTTTTTTCCAAACTTGGAACTCTTTACAACACTGTAGAGGTAAATTATGCATTACTTGATATTCACGGAAAATATTCAATAAAAGCAGTGCTTTTGTATTTGGTTGTCTGAAAAGAACCAGTGTTTCCAAAATTATTTTGCTTAATATAAATGGTTTTTAAGCCTTACTGTTTTAGCTGTTAATTTTTCAGTGGGGAATCTAATTTTCAGTCAAATTGGTGTAAAATTGATATCAGCTTAAAAATTTGATTTTTTTGAGTGATGCTGTTTATTCATATTTCCATATTGGTGTCTTTGAGTAGGGCATTGATTTATCTGTTGTCATCAATGGAAGTAATCCGCTAAGAACAGCAGTGGCTTAAAGCAACCAAACAGTAAGAAAAATCAATTTCCTCAATCCTTTGTTTGAAAATGCTGTAAAAGCAAATTATGGTTATGTTTTCTTGTTTTTCCTCTTTTTTTTTTTTTTTTTTTTTTTTCTTTTTTGTGGATGTGTGTAAGTTTTAATACTCTTATATTGCTTGTTTTTAACACATCTTGACCACATATCTGTTCTGGATTGTCATATTTTAAGTGTTTATCAGTATTCATAGTATCATGAGGATTACAAAACTTCCAAAATTACACTAATAGAATTTATTAAAGCAAAAAAATAGTCATACATTTTCTTTTAAAAGTTTATTTTCCTATGACTAAATATTCACAATAGTCAGTCTTAATGATTGGACTAATTAACAGTATTTGATACCAATCCTTCAGGGATTTAACTTTTAACATATTTAAATCTTGTATATAGCCTGTTGGCTATAATATTTCAATCAGTTATTTTTCACTATTTTTTTTCACTGCTGTATTGTTATAGTATTGTTTGGTTGTGCTATATTGTTTTTGGAAAATATGAAATCAATTGCCATTTACTGAAAATAAATGACTATAAAGATGGCAAGTTCACACATGGAAACTTTGGTTTTAGGTCAGATGCTCTGTAATACAGACTCAGTTAAACTGAACTACACCTCCAAAATAGTAAAAAAAAAAAAATGTCACAAAACAAGTTTCATTGTATGCTACTATGTCAATGCTAGTTTAGAAATAGCACTAAAATATTACTTAGTTTATAGCACAAATGCTAGGAACTGACAGTGTCTTGAAAAAAAAAAAAAAAAAAAAAATGCCCTTTGCATGCAAAATGTAAGTTTTAGTAATACATAAGTACATCCACAGTAGCAGAAAAATTTTAATTTTTTATCTAAGGTTGTGATATAAAAATGACCATTTTCTTTCTCATATTCATCAAACCATTTCTTTGAAATAATTTGAAATGTCTTTTAAGCATTTTTAACTTCAGTTTTAAAACGGTCTCTTCATCTTTTGGATATTTTCATTTTGCATTTTCTTAGTGTTCATCTTTGCTTTTTTTGGCTTTTTGTCTTTGATAAGCAAAGGTGACAACATTTTTTGTAAAAGCTTTTGCAAATTTCATCTCTGTAATTTTTTTTTTTTTTATTCAAATTCTATTCTATTCTTCTATTCTTGACAACTTTTTTGCTACATTTTTTCCAAACATCAATCCATTCTATGTAAGAGATTCAGCTGCTTGTACAAAATGCTTTCTTCCTTTTTTTTGCTTCCTTTTTTTTTTTTTTTTTTTTTAAAAGCATGATGGATTTGGGATGAATTGTTAATGTCTCTCATTGCTAAACACACACACATATATATATATATATATATATATATATATATATATATATAATAAAAAATATATACACTGTCTTTTGTTTTTAATTACTCAGTTTAAACATCAAATTTTTATTGTAAGATTTTGGATGAATAATTTTTATTTTTTTTGCTATATATTATCAAGTTGGGCTCATGACTAATTTGTATATCATTTTTCTTGAGTAAAAAATTTCAGCATAATTTACATAAATTTCCCAATTTTAATTATGGGGATTTCTGACTTGCTAAATCACACAAAATAAAACTTCATGCATCATTGTGTGCCTTGAGAATGTTTCCAACATAATATTAAAATACCAGAAGAGTCTCCATTTATTTTATAAAGTGATATTCCAGTCAGTAAAGGTAATTTGAATCAGGCTGAATTATTACTTAGGTACCTCCATGAAATGGCTAACAAAAGAGCATAGCATGATGAAAAAGATGCCAAACTTGACAAAAACAAAATTTAATCATCTAAATGATTGTTATTATTAAGAGGAAAGATCAAAGTATTTTGGGGGTATTTTTTTTAATCATTCCTAGCACGTTCGAAATTTGTAAAAAATCTTTTTTTTTGAGTCAGCGAAATTGACAGATGGCAACCATTTTTTTCCATTTTGTTAAAAAAAAAGTGAAAATCTCACTTTGAAATTCTTTTAAATATCAATTATCATTTTTTCAAAAGAAAATCAGAAATTATAATGTTTATTTAGAATATTTTGAACCAAGCTTAACTTAGCTTCTGCGTCAAAAAGATGTAATTTGAAAATAAAACAAAGCTGGTCATAAACTTTCACGTCGCTTGACAGGTGATGAATGACATATTGACGGCTTCTGTGAGGATAATTTGTTCTACGTAAGGAGAAAAGTGAAATTATTTATTTTAAGTGAACAAATTATTTACCTCGTTATTTTTAAGGAAAACATTCAGCAATTTTTTTTTTTTTTTTTTTTTTTGTACTTAGCTTTCACCTTTACGTTTATGATGCTTTATGGAAAATATATTATAAAGAAATTAAAATAAGACTGTTAAGAGTGAGATTAAATTTCATATTTCATAAGAAAGGTATCTAATTAATTTATAGGTACCTTTTTTATGAAATTTTATCAGAAGTGTGCATAAAATACTATAATTTTATGTACATTTATTACATTTTACTGTGTTATTTGTATTTCCATTCATTTTATTATTAATTTTGATATTTCATTTATGGAAAAATGTCATAACTGAAATTAATATAAAAATAAGATCATATAAATTTCATAAGATGATACTGATACTTGTAGGTACCCTTCTCAGTTGAAATTGAAAAATCAAATTAACTTCTCCACACGTATGTTTCACAAAAAGTAAAGTCCTTAACAGCAGAGAACAATGCTTGACTCAAATAAAGCAACTTAATTGTATTCTGGTTGGTCTTCCGTACTTTATAATTACAGCCCAATTATAAACACAAAATAACATTTCTTAATTACTGTGGATTTTTTGATTAGTCAAAATGATACAATTTACAACGCGCTAAAAAAAATCTATCTCATAAGGACACTTAGGAAACCCGATGCAGCTTTTAACTAATTTTATAATATTTTAACAACTTAAATGTAAAAATCTATTATAATTAAAGAAATAACAAATAATTGTATTAAAAATTCATTTTTCATCAAAAAATTTTTCTGCTTTCAGAAAATTTTGTCCATATTCATAAAAACAAAAGCAAATAAAAGCATTTGAAATTAAATAATATCTTTGTTTTATTGAGTTTTTTGTATTACAATTCAGAGCTGATTTTCAGGTAGGTGGTGGTCCAATTAAAAACAAAAAAAAACATGATTTGCATTCCTCAAAGACTTGTGCTTTTAACTATTTAATCACTAAACCCGATGCGATCAAATTTCTAGCATTTTCATAATATTAGTTATGGGGTGGTAATAAATATAAAAAAAAATTTTCTGCCATGACTTTAATAAAAAAAACACATTTATAATAATTTCAATCATCTTTGAATAGTTTCTGAAAGTTTCATTAACATCTGACAGTTATTTTTATTTTTGCAAGATTTTCCAAATTAATGTGTGTCATACAAAAAAAAAACGTGCTAAAAATTGTATGTTATTTTACTAGTTCCGGTGATACAAAGAGAAACAAGGTTTTTTTTTTAATCAAAATTTACAATGTTCTAAAAAGAAGGAAAAATTTTAAAAAATAATTAAAATAAACTTTGATCTTTCCTCTTAATAATAAGCATTTAGATGATAAAATTTTGTTTTTGTCAAGTTTGGTGTCTTTTTCATCATGCTATGCTCTTTTTTTTTAGCGATCTCATGGAGGTACCTAATTATTACTTATATGAACCACTATTGAAATCTTTGGTATTGCATTTGTAGATTTTAAAACAACTTTTATTATTTTCATTTGGAGAAAAAAAAAAAAAAAACATTAAGATTCATGGTCTTTTCTCCTTAAACAACAAAGAAAGACTTGGTGTGAAATCTGTTGAAATATTGGTGTTCAACAAAAATTTATTTCTAGAGCTTGTTATTTAAAATATTTAAGGCAAATGACTTTAGCTTGAATGATTCTAGCAAAAATCTCTTTGCTCTCTTGCCTTACTTGATAAATAATTAATGTGATCTACACATTAAACTCTTTAATAATGTAACATAAGTATTTGAAAACAATTTTAAAGTGTTTGTCTGAGCAGTACATTTTATTTATTTATTTTTAATATCTATTACAGACATTCTATGAACCAGTGCCCCCTGCTCCACCATTAACATCTCAATCTGGCAGCACTGTACATTCAGGACTTCCCACAATTCCTCCTCACTCCCTAATAGCATTTGGCTTGTTTCTTCGGCTGCCTGGCTATGCAGATGTTCTGCTCAGGGAACGAAAGAAAGCTCAATGTTTACTACGTCTCGTTCTTGGAGTCACAGATGATGGTGATGGAGGTAAGTATATGCTTCTCAATTGGGGGAAAAAAATTGTTTCAAAATGGAACTCCTTATTTTACATTTGTATTGTGCAGACTATCAGAACAGAGTTGCCTAGATGTCAATAAAAATTGATAGAATCTATTGACTAGGGTTCTAAAAATGATCAGGAACTGGCACATTTTCATTTTTGCAGATAATTTTATTTCCAGTTTGCATTATTTGAATTTTTTTTTCTTTCCATCTTTTTATTTATATATATATATATAATTTTTTTTTTCTTTTCTTTTTTAGGTCACATACTGACATCTCCAATTGCTAATTCCCTACCCACACTGCCTTTCAATGTGATGGAGTCTCTTTTTGATGCTACCCCACTGACAACTGATGATGGTGTGTATCTCCGCAGGATGATGCTTGACATTGGTGCCTTACACTTGATCCTTGCTTGTCTTTCGGTCCTCAGTCACCATGCCCCTCGCCTGAACTCAGCTGCCCTACAACATGAGGTAAGACATGACACAACACAAAAGCAGTCACTATATATGGTTATGAATGAAAAGAGTTATTTAGCACAAGATGATTAATGAAAGTGTTTTCTGCTTATATTTTTGCGTAATTTATTTTGTAATACAGTTAAAAGAAAAATTATTGGATTTTTTTTTTTTTTTTTTTTTTTTATTTACCTCAAGCAAGGAGATAATACCACTAAGATGCAAGTGGCTACTGAAAGTGAAAGACTTTAGGAGCCAGGAACCCAATCCTAAACAGGAAATAATGGATAAAACTTTACTCCTATTCAAAAGAGTAAACCAGACTATAGGTGAAACTATCTACTCCTATTGAGTGGGTGGGAGTAAATAAATAGTAAATAAAATTTCAGTTTAGGTTGAGATGTTAGATGTATAATTGTCAGCTGTTACAAGAGATGATCTTTTACCAGTTACATTATACTGGAAATCTGATACCATTTTTCTGTTGTACAGTAGATTATGATAAAAATACAATACTGATTATGAAGAAAGATTTCATATCTATAAACTGCAAAGGATAACTAGTGGCATTGAATAACTATCACATATACATGCATATAGCAAAATTACTGCTGTGTTTGTTTCAAAGCTGATCTTAACTGAAATCGTAACCATATTACATATTGCTGAAGTTGCTTTCCACTTTTTTTTTTCCAAGCAAAGACAAATTTTCTAATTTTTTTATGTATGAAGTTAGTGAAAAATATAGACATATTCTTAACACAAGTATTGACTCTTTTTTTTTTTTTTTTTTTTTTTTTTAATATTCATATTGATAAGTAAAAATATTTTTATCAGTATTTAATATTTACAAAATGTTTAAAATGTTAAACGAGCTACTTCTAATTCAACTTTTTTTTTTCTTTCACTACCCACCTGTGGAACTTGCTTCCCTGATACCCACATTCTTCAAAAATTTAAATGCAACATTAATCGCCATCTATTTTCTTGAATCCCATTTGTCTTTTATCCTTTCCTCAACCCCTCTTACCCAGTCTTTTATCTTGCTTTCACTTCCTGTAACCCCCTGCATACTAGTGGCATTCCAACCTTGCTTGCAGTGAAATGATTTTTAAAAAAAATAAAAAATAAAAAATTTAGATAGCTTATTAAATTAAGTTTTTTTTTGTTTTTTTTTTATTATTATTATTATTAAAACCTGTATATTAAATTTGCAAGGTTAGATAACAGGCTCATTTATGTCCATGTTTTTTGTGCTGGTGGAAAACATCAGGTGTCTTAGATACAAAGAATTCAATGAGTGAATGCCGCAAATCTGCCTCATTTGCAAAGGGTTTCCCAAAAAGGCGGTTGTCCAGGGAATGGGAGAGGGGGTAATCTGTTGGCACAAGGTCTGGAGAGTAAGGTGGATGGCACACTATCTCCCAGCCAAGTTGCTATATGGTTTCCCTGGCTACTCATGCCACATGAAGCCTGGCATTGTCATGGAGGAACTGTACACCCTTGTGATTAACCAATGCTGGCTCCTTCTGCTTCAGTGTCTGTTGCACACATTCCAACTGCTGTGAAGAGGGTTTGACTCATTATTAGAAGCTCATAGTGCACCACTTGTCGACTAGTCCACTATATACAAAGCATGACCTTGCATGGGTGTAGAAGTGGTCTTGTGGTGTGAGGCACAAGGTTCCGTGGTGATAACTAATGTCTGGTATGCTTGCAAGTGTCATACAGGACCGACTTTTCATCACTGGTGAGCACTCTATCAAATATGGGTATGTTGTGGTGTTGAGAAAGCAACAAGAAACACTGTCACTCATTGTTTGTTGGCTTCTGACAGTTTGGGTGGTACCCACTTGCTTAACTTGTATGTCTTCCCTATGCACTGCAGGTAAAGTCTGGCTGTATCATCAGAAACCTGAAAGTATTCAGCAAGCTCACCACAAGTTTAACTGTTGTCCTCCTTTATGGCCACCTTTAGGGCCTCATCATCAAGGACCTGTGGCTAGCCACTGCAGTGCTCATTACAAAGGGACAGATCTCATGTCCTGAACTTCTGGAACCAATGCTGGGTATTGGCATTCACTGCCTTATCCCCAAAGACTTGATGTATTCAGCAACTTGATGTGGCTTCAGGCAAGCCCATTTTAGTCATAAGCAGACAACTTTGAATGAGTTGTTTTAACACTGTCATGTTTCCTTGCCACTGCTCGACCTATGATTGATAGGTGTGTGTGATGCACCTGCATTGGTCAATGACAATGCCTCCACCTCACCACTTTCCCAACAAATGAAACACTCATTTGCATATCGGTGATCACTACTTCCTCCATGACATTAAAAAAAACAAAAAAAACAACAAGGACTTTTTTTGTTACCTTTGTAGTCTTTTAAACTGTATACATTATCTATAGGTTCATAAAAGTTTGCTAAGGAAATAAGGATTACATAGTTCATCAGGATGAAGGAAAAATCAGAAATGAAAAATATTATTTAAAATTTATTGTTCATAAAAATCACTTTTGATAACAACAAAATGATTGTAATACGCTATTAGATTGTTATCAGCATTTCTCTTTGTTTTGATTGCTTTTTTTATTTTTTATATATTTTTATTGAGTATGCAAACATTGCAGTCACTACTATAGAGCCATTTCTTTTGTTTCCTGACGAGACACAGACTATGCTGGCTGCTATTCAAGTTGCCAACACACAAACTGTATCCTCAACAACAGCAGAAGAAAAGTCCCAACAATACTGGGCCAAAGGAACAGGCTTTGGTACTGGCTCCACTACCTCAAGTTGGGATGCCGAACAGGCTTTACTACGACAGAAGAGTGAAGAGGAACATGTCACATGCTTGCTACAGGTAACAAACATGGATTTATCTGATTTTCATCAAAAGTACTGAGTTTGCAATGAAGTTTCAGTCCCACTACCCAAATAAAGTGAACTTTTTCACTTCCTCATGATGGTTTTTATATTATTTCTTTATTTAGTATAAGGATTTGGTCTTAGCACTTATTTGACAAATTATTCAGTGGAGTTTTACACCGCTATAACACTGATTTCCAGATAAATGAACCATATTGAATAGGAATTTTGATCCCAATAAATAAGATGTGGAGAAAAAAAACTAGAAACTAGAAGCATGAATATTGCCATTAATAATAAGCACAACATAATCATAGCAAATATTCACTGTAGACAAGACCTTCATTTTCTTCTTGGAATTAGATATCATCCAAATATTTTTAAAGTGTTAATTCATGGGTAAAGTATAAAGTCTTTGAAATTTCAAAGCTATACACCTTTTTCCAGTCATCAATGTTTTGACAGTGATAATATCTCTAGTGTTGTGTAACACACTAACCATAAGAATGTTTTCACTTATAGAAGTTAACATAAAATTATTGAAGTAATGCTTACTACTATTCTCCAGATCTTGGAATTTCAGATAAATGCACCAATTATATTAAATACATTGAGACTCACCTACCCCCAGTAAATTCACTATTGAATCACTTGTATTTACACCTCATAATAAAAAAGAACTTTTTTAGAATTTACTAAGCATTGTGACCTTTACTATTTTCTTTGAAGTTACAGCAAGTTTCCTTCTGCGTACAACTTATTTGCCATTTATTTTTAATTTTATCAAATATAAGAATTTTAGTTTTTGGTGGTACAAAATTTAGTTATAACATTAAAAAGCATAGACATGTTGAAAATTACAATCAAAAGAAAAAGGTGGTATAAGCTAAGTTTTGCCATCTTTTCAACTAACCCTTATAAGAGTTGATTCTCGATAACTAGTCTTTTAGTTCCCTCAGAGTTGTAAGGGTTAATACATATAGCAGCAGTGATGTCTTAGTCCAGCTAGCCTGATGAAGCACAAACCTCTCCAGGCTGATTCTTTCTATGCTGGTTACCAACCAAGGTTACAGGGCTCTCAGTCTGTCCTGCTATTTACCCATAGCTGACAAGAGATGGATTCATACATTTTTCAAAGGTAGCTGCATGTAAATGAATGCAACAAATTCTACTGGAATTCAAAGTCTGCTCTTTCATTCTGAGCAGCTACCCATTACACAATATGCCTGCACGATTTCTTCATATGGCATCTTTACTTGTAGCTTGTATAGAGATAAGTGAATAATGTATAAAAGAACTTTTATCAACTTTGTTTGTTCTAAACAATTTTTTTTCTATTTTCCTAGCTGTTTGTAAATTTAGGCTGTTTTCTAGCAAAATGTGGATTGTTTACTTTTCAATTAATATCATACAATAAACCTATTCTTCTGTCCTTGGCACTTCCCCACCCCCTTGAATCTGTGTTTATATCATTTTGAACATTTTGTTCTATAACATGGCTGGTCTAATAACCATTGAGTCTCCATTCTATAAATACTATAGATTGGGAAATAAACTAATTTGAATTTAGGAGTCTAGTGAGTATCTGTAATGAAATAATTCAGATCCGCATACTCAAATGGACATTTCTGCTGTGATAAAAAAAATAATCCTAATTTAATGCTTGACAAGCATCTACTTCTGCATCTCTTGAATAATTATTCTTTTTAATTTTCCAGGTTATTGCTAGTTATATAAATCCCGGTGGTAAGATGCCGAAAGATTTTGATGCTGCATCCTTTGGTTGGCATCGTCACAATTTACTTCCAGATGTGGTTCCTGAACTGCTGAGTCAGTCCTGTCTAGTACCGGCAATTTCATCTTATCTGCGCAATGACTCTGTGCTGGACATGGCCCGGCATGTCCCTCTCTATAAAGCTCTGCTAGAGTTGTTGCGTGGCCTTGCTATTTGCCCTATTCTAGTACCCTTGCTGCTGCCTTTGGACAAGGCTGAAGATGGAGAGTCTACAGTTTCTGTATGCACCCTGCTCGAAAAAATGCGGGGTTGTGTTGATACCTATGCAAATAGACTTAAGTGAGTATTTCTTTCCAAACATTTTGTGTTAACAGGTGAATTTTCTCTTTCCAGCTGTTTGTAAATGTAGGCTGTTTTCTAGCAAATATATATATATTGTTTACCTTTTAATTCAGTATATAACAGCCCTATCCTGTTCTATCCTCTAGAAATCCTTTTCTGATTTTTCAATGCACAATATACAAACTGTTGAAACTTACAAAACTGCAGAATTTGTACTGTTTGTCCTTGCCTCTGGAGTTAATATTTTTCATAAATTTTGTAATATTACTTTGATAAATGATCAACTTTGACAATTTATGTCTATTCATATGCTAAATGGACTATGAACATGTTAGCATTGGCTTGCTTCTTTTATATCCACTTAGTATTTGTCATTTAACTATATAATAGAGTGAATGAAAGTTTTGATGTACTTAAATCCTCTTGTATAACCAACTAGCCTGATATATAAACCTCTTTTCTTTGTTTTTTCTCTCTTACCATCTTGTACCTCTCAATTTCTAAGAATGTAAATATACTGAATTTGATACCTTTATGAAAGACACAATTTCCAGCACCTCAAAATGTTTTATCTTCATTTAATACCAATTCCTTTGGAGGTGCATGGGGGATGAATAGGGTACTATTCCATCATAGATTTTGGCAAGATGTCTTGTCTATGGCATGCTAGGATAGATGACAGAAGAGTGGATGTGGCACATTCCCATAACTATTGCTTAAGCAGTGATAAATATAGTTACTACATCCTTGTCAACTTTGACAGGATCCAATGTAAATGCACATAAAAATATAATAAAAATATGAATACTGTAAGGACAACTATTTTTATATGAAAACAAATATCAATGACAAAATATCAATGACCTGATAAAAAAATGTTATTGAGTTTTGGGTTTTTTTTTTTTTTTTAAGGCTATATTAAATTGATTTAAAGTTTGTGTGTCTGTCTGTTACTATGTAAGATTACAGTGAGCAATTAGCTTATTTGAATGATGCTTTGGAAGAAAGATTATCAAAGAATTTCTCTGGTCATTCTAGCAGGGTGTAGTTTTCTTGATCTGCAAACTCTCAAAAGACAAAGATTTTAGGTGGAATGAAAAAATGTTGATGTAAAAACTGCCAGTAATTTAATATCATAAGCTGATAAAGGTTACAATCACTCTGGTTGATTTCTAATAAGAAATCTTGAGATACTGAGAAAGTTAACAAGTGAGGTTAGACTTTTGTGTCTGTCTCTTGAGATTCTTTCAGTTTGAGTAACTAAGAAACTGTGGACATTTGTCCAAGGGAATGACATTGATGGATGTTATTTTCTCACAAAGATTTTTCTGTTAGGAAACCAAATAGCCTGTCTAAAAGTATCTTCAGCCAGATTCTAGCCCCAGACATTTTGGTAAGAATCAATGTAATTTGAGAGGACAATTAGTTATGTGAATAGTTCCCAGACTCAGCAGAATTTTGGTAAACAAATTAACCTTGTTACCATGATGTCCTTGAGGTTGTGAAGTGGGATAGGGAAAATTCAGTTGTACTGAATTAACTAAGTCTTGCTAAGTTTGTTTTAGACTCAAATCTTACCAATGACATCCTCATAACTATTGGTCAACTAATCTTTGATACATTTTTCCACTTAGTATTTTCACTCCTTCACTTAGAATTTTTAACTCTCTCTCAAGTCACTCGGTGACATTTCATGTATCATTATGACTCCACCAGGGCCACTGCCCTGTTACAGCAGCATAATCAGTCATGGAGCTGGGATGGCGAGTTTTTGCACAGGTGGCATATTCTTTGGGTACTTGCAACAGTCCAGTCTTTCTCTGTTCAGCAATTCTCATTGTAAACGTTTCAAAGTTAAAATTTTTAGGCTATATTTCTATTACTGTGTTAATATAGTCATTGCAATATATCCAAATTTAAAACTCTAAATTCAGTCTAAAAAACATTGTTCTTTTTCTTTAAGGAATTTGTAAAATCTATTATTTATGAAGCATTTCTTAAGCCAATTAAGTTAGCCTGCAAATTAATAGAAGCAATCTGATTAGAGACTTGCAATATTGTGATTGTGTAAAAGTGTCTTTGTATTTTTTTTGTTGATTCTATTTTCTTCATTCACTCATTTGCAGATCCAACAAAAATAAAGGCAACAGTGGTACTACAAATAATGGTACAGCTGCAACCACTGCTGTCCCCACAACTACTACAATTACTAATTCCAATAATGGTGGTACTACAGCAGGCAGTGGCTTGACTACAAGCAAAGAGGAGGAGGAGGAGAATGAAGGGCTAGCCTTATTGATACCAGACATCCAAGAAACTGCTAGAATTGTACAAATGGCTACAGATTGGCTTAAAGGTTCAAAAGGTAAGGTTAAAGTTGTTTTTTTTTTTTTTTTTTTTTTTTTTTTTTTTTTAAACATAATCTACCAATACTTGCTATTATGAACCAATATTTGATTGTAGACTATTTAACCAAGAGGTTTGTGAGAATTGGAGTTATATTTAAAGGTAAAAATAGCACTCTATTTTGGTCGGTTTTATGCAATATTTTTTTTAACTCTCTTTCTTCATCAAAACGAAAAAGTATCACAATATTGGTGAGCTTAAGGCGGTGTTTCTGACTATAAAATTGGCTTCATACTAACTTCTCTAAATTAGAGAAATAAATGCTCAGGTTTTAAGAGAAATTGACTTTTTTTTTTTTTTTTTTTTTTTGAGACATGTAATTAATAATATGGCCTTTAATTTTAGGATTGACTTTATTTCAAAAGCTTGCAAACATCAAAGTGAAATCCATCCATACTTAGCTCAATAATAGAATTGTCCAGAGTCAGTTAAAAACTGTAATCTAATGATTATTTTAAATGATGACATGTCTTTTTAAAATTATTTTATATGCATGCTTGTGAATATTAATCATTTCTTTTCTTTTCTCCCCAATCCCCCACCCAGAAGATTCATCAGCAGACAAGAGCAGTAAGATGGAGATTAGAGATGTGTGCAGCAGTGTGTCTCTGGAAAACCGTTACATAAATGTGATGAAGAACTTCCAGTTTGGTAAGTCACTACTTTTTTTTCCCTTATTTTTGTACTAAATTTGAAATTGATAATCTTTAAATTTTTGTCTCTAAACAAGAATATCCTAGCTGCAGTTTTGTTACAATTCCTTAATCATTTTTGCATCCCTATTAAATATTTTTCTTGTTATCATCAGTTAATAGTTGTACTCAGTCTCCCTAATAGAAATTCACATTTTCTTTCTGGTTATTTAGGTGGTTTCAGGTGTATTTTTATGCCCAATTGCAAAGATATTGAATGAAGTTTTAACTGTAAGCTTTCTGTTTTACAAGTATTACTTACTCTTGACAAAATAGTTTATAAGGGTCTACAATATAGATAATGGGTATTACCACACCTTCTGTAAATGAGATAAAGATATACTAAATAGATGTTGAATGCTGCCAGAATAAAGATATATAGATAGTAAACAAGTGGAACATTGACTTAAAAAGTATTATAAGCACTTTTTAAACTTGGTGCTATTATTATAAAGATTTAATAAAAAGAAAATATAACTGTAAGCAGAGTTCCTTGAAATCTTTACTTTTTGCTTTTATTTTTGTCAAAACCTTTCAGTGCATGTCTTGTGTTAGAGAGGGAAAAAATGGGCCTCCACATACAAAAGAGATTTTGTTTTCTTTTATTGCCAATAATTTCTAATAGATCTAAACAAAAAAAATGTATCTGCCTCCTCTCCAATATCTTGATTTTCAAATCTGAAATCAAAATACCAATGCTCCATAAAATTTGTCACTTTGACTTCTGTGTCAGTAATGGCCATATGTCAACATTTTCTCTACAAAATATGGTTTAAATTTGATAAATTAATAAACAATAACCTGCTTTTATCATTTTCTATTTTGGTTAGTATTTACTTTTTTAGCAAATAATAGTAAAAAATTAATAATGTCTGACAATGCTTCAATATATAAAAATAATATTGCTCCAACATTATTTACCTTTTAGGGAAGATTTTTTTTTTTTTCTTATGTAAAAATATCAGTTTTATCTAAGCATTACTTAACTTTTTTTTCTAATATATAGATACGTACGAGATGGTGACAGAAGTTGATGGCTTCCTTAAGTTCACAACCCCTCACCATTATGAGTCGAATGTTCGGGCATCTGGCTGTATTAAAAATCCATCACGAGCAAGACGCCTAGCACAGGAAGCTGTCACCCTGTCCACTTCACTACCACTCTCGGCCAGCAGCAGTGTATTTGTCAGATGTGACGAAGACCGACTGGATATCATGAAGGTAAGTTTTCTATTTTCTTCATATTTCAAAAGTCTGTCAGTTTCTCCTTTTTGTATGTGATAAACAAGATGTCTGAAAACAATCTTAGGGCAATGGTGCCTTGATCCACTTCAAAGTACTCTCCTTAGGGCTGAAAGGCCTGAGTGGGGTTTGTTTTTTTTTTGTTTTTTTTTTTTCCCCAAAAACCTGCACAAAACATGAATCTATTTGCTTGGTTAGGGTGAATGCAACATTACACAAACTCTGTTTCATCTCACTATTTTTTTTATTAAAATTGGAATCACCCCAAGCAAAGTAGTAATGCCACTTTTAAAACACAAGAGGTTACAGGATGTGGAAGAATTTGGCACAGAAACATTAATGATGAACAGAAAGAGATGATAGTAATCAGGTGGACAGTAGATAGTGATTGACATTGCATTTAAATTTTTGCAGATTAAAGTTGGCTGGAAAATATGGAGCTGGAAGGGAGTTCCTCAAGCAAGAAGTGTGAGAGAAGAAACTGTTAGCATAGAATTTAAGGCTATATCTAGCAAGCTCAACTGTCAATTGATTAGATCTTGATGCCAGTGCTGCACTTAAATTCAAAAACTCTAGGTACCGTAGTGAAGAGCTTGTTCAAATAATTACCATGAAAGTATTTATAGAAAAGACAGAGGCAACTTTAAAGTGATGGGAAAGTGACTGGAGCTGAGCAACCAGATAAAGACCAATAATATTGCAGGTTCTTCTTTGGATCTTATCAAAGAGTATTCTATGCATGGACAAATGGTAGACTTATATCTATGTAATATAGATTTTGGAGAGAAAAATTTACTCGCTCGGCACAGTGAACTGAATTTCTTAGCAGCTGACCTAGCAATAAATTCAACATAGTCTTTGTATTTCATATCAGCAGAGAACATGAGCCTGAGAAGGTGCAACAAGTTAATTTCCTGGCGGATAACATCAGCCATGCTGATGGAAGATAGCAAAGGGTCTCTCAGATGATTAATGGAGAGAAGTTTAGTTTTGGAGGCATTAAAATTAACAAGTCATGTTTTGCCCCAGTTAACTACAGAGGTTGTTTTTGGACATCGGTTGCCATTTTGACCTTGTCAGACTGATAAGTGTTACTATTGAGGCAGGAGTAAATTGTATCATCAGCAGAGATACTAAGTTGAGAGCTGATGTAATCAAGAAAGTCATTAATGAAAATTAAAAATAGTGTAGGACCAAGGATGGAGCCCTGAAGGAACACTTGTGTGATTATGAAAGTATTTAGATGAGTGACCATTCAGAGTAACTCTCATTTCATGATTTGAAAGGAAAGGCTGGATCAGTTCAAAAAAAGTGTCCAGAGATATCACAACTTTTCAACATGTGGAGAAGACTGTCAAAAGGTTTCATGATGTCCAATGAAACTTCAGTAGTTTTTTTTTTTTTTGTTTTGTTTATCTAGAGCATGATGAACTCTTCCCACAAATATCGTCAGTATATCAGCAGTTGACCTGGAGAAACAAAAGCCATATTGCTTGTTTGAAAATGGGAGTTTCCCAAAAAGAGATCAGCTAATAAGCTGATAGTTGGAAAGTTCACATGGCTCACTAGAGCTCCTAAAAATTGGAACAGATGACTCATTAAGCTCAATGGGAGAGTGTGTTCAAAATGCCTGAATTTATACGTTTCACTTTGTGTATATGTCTCTACTGAAAATCTATTATTTCTATTCATTACAACTTTTTTCTCTCTTTGTTTTCTCTCTCTCTTCTCTCCTCTCTCCTCTCTCCTCTCCTCTCTCCTCTCCTCTCCTCTCTCCTCTCTCCCTCCTCTCTTCTCTCCTCTCTTCTCTCCTCTCTTCTCTTTTCTCTTCTCTTCTCTTCTTCCTCTCTCTCTCCCTGGTTCTCTGTCTTTCTCATGTAATGTAGTTGACAACCTGTATTCAACAGTTTGCAAATTCTTTACAACCTGTATTCAACAGTAAGCAAATTCTTTGAGTAGCTTCTGATGAAAGTGAAGGTTTGTAACCCTATTTTGAATAGAATTGGGAAATTTATATGAAACTGACATGTGATTTTTTTATTTATTTTTTATTTTTTTATTTTTTTGCTGCTTTGTTTTTTGTGTGAATTAAGATATAAACAACATTATTCTCAATTTATTTTTGAGTAAGCTGAATAACAGGCCATCTACAGCTTTGAGAATTTGGAATGTAAGTTTTTATCAGAGAAACTTACATTACTAAAGTGAAGTTAATATCTGCAATATTTTGTCACACCTCCTGTCACCCTTTTGTCTATTGCGCACACACACACATATATATATATATATATATATATATATATATATGGTATTTTTTTCACTTTAAGATCATAGAATGCTTGTGGAATTTAGAGTAAAAATACTGAATATGTAACTTTCTGATATATTTTTCTTTTCAAAAGTGGAATGAATGAAAAAAATTATTGCCAATGAAATTCACAAGAAATTGTTATTTTTATAAAAGCTATTTTATTGTTCTTATTATTGTAGGTGCTGATCACTGGTCCAGCTGATACTCCATATGCAAATGGCTGCTTTGAGTTTGATGTCTACTTTCCTCAGGATTATCCAAATTCCCCTCCCTTCATCAACCTGGAAACAACAGGAAACCACAGTGTTAGGTTCAATCCAAATCTTTACAATGATGGCAAAGTTTGTTTAAGTGTGCTCAATACATGGCATGGGCGACCTGAAGAAAAATGGAATCCTCAAACCTCAAGTTTTTTACAGGTAACTATTTTTTTAATTGAATTCTAAACCCTTATATTTACTGATGAGCTGAAATATTATGACCAGTTACTTGAATGAATTAGTCTTGTAAGAACATTACACATTGCTAGACTTGAGTATTTCATTTTGATGTGTTAACTGCTACAGTTATAGGCAACAAGAAAGATTTGAGTGATTTTGATAAAGGCCAGAAGACTAAATAATAGCATTTCTGAAATAGAACAGCATTCGGTCGTGGTGCATACTTTTTAGCAGTGGTTCAAAAAGCTTTACTAATGTAAGAAGTGAATGGAAACTTTTCTTTTACACTCCACCTCTCTTGAAACATTCCCACAATCTTGAAATCACTTAGTAAATAAAGAAAATCAATGCTTATGTTGTTTGAAATAAAAACATGATTTGTAAAATGATCTAGTATTAGTAATGTAATGGATGTGCCATGTAGTATAATGGTTATCAGCATAGAAAGTGGGATAAGACGAGCAGGATTCAAGTTTTAGCCTAGTCTGTTGTTTACTTTGTACTTCTTTGGGAAAGCACCAATATGTGTACCCTGTCAGGCACATACTGTTGGAATGTTGCAGCTTCTGGGAAATATGAAACGAGTATTATAGAATGAACAATCTTAGAACTTTTTGAAAACATTAAACCAGATAACATACTGTAATTTGTCAAAAAGATTGGACTTTACAATAAAATATTAAAAAAAAAAAAAAAAAAATAATAATAAAAAAAAATGTTTATAAATTGTTTACAAAAATAAAAAACTTACCTTCAATCATTCTTGACAAACAATAAAACTTGTTTTCAACCATATCTGACAAACAAAACTTCTCTACCATCCTTGGGAAAAATTTTCCTTCAACCATATCTGAAGAACTATAAAACTTACTCTCATTCATACTTGACCAACTATAAAATAAATTTACAACACAATCAATTTGGCTCTAAATGACCCACAAGAGGTTAAGGGACTGTTAAACACAATTTCCTTGAATGTCATGAATCTGTTTCTTCTAGTCCAAGTTAAGGGGCAAGGTTGACTAAGCTTTCTATCCTTGTGAGGCAATCAATCAAAAGTACAGCTCTGAATTCAAAACCAGGGAGAAGACCGCGAGAAATCCCTCTCCAAAAACCAAGAACGATTATGACAATGCACAGATGATACAGAAAATGTAAGCTAATATACATTGTCATCATTTGAAATAAATCTTAGCAATCAGCTTTCATGTATATTTACTTGGGGGAAAATTTGAACAATACTTTGTTTCCAATAGGTTCTGCTTGTAATATTATTTGCCTTAGGGTTTAAATAGGAAACCTTTGTAGCTCATCATCAATAGGATTTACTAAAAACATGTTGCTTTTTATATGATCTTATTAAAGCAGTTGCTTTTTCAGAAATATGTATATACTTTAAACAATTGTTTTTCAATTAGAATAGAAATATAATTTTTATTTTTTCTATTATAGGTTCTGGTATCTATACAGTCATTGATCTTAGTATCTGAGCCTTATTTCAATGAACCCGGTTATGAGCGGTCCCGTGGTACTCCTTCGGGGACAGCCAGCTCACGTGAATATGATGCCAATATTCGACAAGCAACAGTCAAGTGGGCAATGTTGGAACAAATAAGAGACCCATCTCCCTGCTTTAAAGAGGTGTGTTAACTATCACTTTCTTTAATGTTTTCCCCAGTCATAAGTAATTGAAAAGAACAAGGAAACATACTCTTTATACTTGCATATATGATTTTTTTTCTCTTTACTGATGTTTCATAAAAGATGTATCCATTCAAAGCTTTGTCATCATTTATCATCAGTCTCATAACAGAGTGGATGTGGGACCAATGTCCGAGTCTCTGTAAATGATCTTCCAGCCTGCTAAATGACAAAATCACTTTCTTTTTTTCTTTTTTTCTTTTTTTTTTTTCCTCTGTTTGCCTTCATTTCTTTTTTTTTCTTCTTCTCTTCTCTTCTTTTCTTCTCTTCTCTTCTTTTTTTTTTTTTTCTTTTTCTTTTTTTCTTTTCTTTTTTCTTTTTGTGTTTTTTTTTCTCTTTTTTTTTTCTTTTTTTTTCTTTTTTCTTCTTTTTTTTTCTTCTCTTTTTTTTTTCTTTTTTTCTTCTTTTTTTTTTCTTCTTTTTTTTTTCTTTTTTTTCTTCTTTTTTTCTTCTCTTTTTTTTTCTTTTTTTTTTCTTTTTTCTTTTTTTTTTTCTCTTTTTTTTTCTTTTTTTTCTTTTTTTTTTTCTTCTTTTTTTTTCTTTTTTTTCTCTCTTCTTTTTCTCTCTTTCTTTTTCTTTTTCTCTTTTTTTCTTCTTTTTTTCTTCTTTTTCTCTTCTCTTTTTCTCTTCTTTTTTCTCTTCCCTTTTTCTTTTTTTCTTCTCTTTTTTCTTCCCTTTTTTCTTCCTTTTTTTCCCTTTTTTCTTCTTTTCTCTTTTTTTTCTTTTTCTTCTTTTTTCTTCTTTTTCTTTTTTTTCTTCTTTTTTTCTTTCTTTTTTTTTTTTTTTTTTTTTTTTTTTTCTTTTTCTTTTTTTTTTCTTCTTTTTTCTTTTTTTCTTTTTTTTTCTTTTTTTCTTTTTTTTTTTTTTTCTTTTTTTTTTTTTTTTTTTCTTTTTTTTTTTCTTTTTTTTTTCTTTTTTCTTTTTTTTTTTTTTTTTTTCTTTTTTTTTTTTTTTTTTTCTCTTTTTTTTTTCTTCTTTTTTTTTTTTTTTTTCTTTTTTTTATTTTTCTTTTCTTTCTTTTTCTTTTCTTTCTTTTTCTTTTCTTTCTTTTTTTCTTTTCTTTCTTTTTCTTTTCTTTCTTTTTTTTTCTTTTCTTTCTTTTTTTCTTTTCTTTCTTTTTCTTTTCTTTCTTTTTTCTTTTCTTTCTCTTTTTCTTTTCTTTCTTTTCTTTTCTTTCTCTTTTCTTTTCTTTTTCTCTTTTCTTTTCTTTTTCTCTTTTCTTTTCTTTTTCTCTTTTCTTTTTTTTCTTTTCTTTTTTTTTTCTCTTTTTTATTTTCTTCTCTTTTTTATTTTCTTTTCTTTTTTATTTTCTTCTCTTTTCTTTTTTATTTTCTTCTCTTTTCTTTTTTATTTTCTTCTCTTTTCTTTTTTTTGTGGGGTGGGGGGATATGTTGAACCCAGGCAGCTGATATACAGACTGTTATGAAAGTGTATATACCTGGGTGACCAATATACTAGCCAGTTATATGTATTTTGTACAATGTTACTGTATCAGGCTAGGGCCTTGGAAGTAAGACTATGTATACACCTGATACCTCTTTTCCAGGGTAGATCAGAAGCCACACAGGTTTACTGAATGGTGTTTAATCCCAAATGAAAATTCTGGATAATAAAACATAATCTAATTCAATAATTGTAGAATCAAACCCACTGAAGTATTTTATCTTATGTGATGATGTTTGTCATTTATTAACCATTTGCTTACTACAAAACTAAATAACTGATGGAGAAAATAAAGTCTTACTTTGAAAAAAAAAAAAGAATTTGTGTTCTCTCTGTGCTGTCAAAAGAAAATTTGAATCTAGATTTGGTTGACATTAGTAGACCTTGAAATATGGTGCTTTCTTACCAACCTTGACTAATCACAACCTTTTTCTTTTCTTTTCTTCCCTTTTCTTTTCTTTTCTTTTTTTCTTTTTCTTTTTCTTTCTTTTTCTTTTTCTTTCTTTCTTTTTCTTTTTCTTTCTTTTTCTTTTTCTTTCTTTTTCTTTCTTTTTCTTTTCTTTCTTTTTCTTTTCTTTCTTTTTTTTTTCTTTCTTTTTCTTTTCTTTCTTTTTCTTTTTCTTTTTTTTTTTTCTTTTTTCTCTTCTTTCTTTTTTCTCTTCTTTCTTTTTTCTCTTCTTTCTTTTTTCTCTTCTTTCTTTTTTCTCTTTTTTTCTTTTTCTTTTCTTTAGTTACATCCTTGGTATTTTTTTGACATCGGACTTGTAAGATTGATTTTTGATCCTTAGAATTATGACCTCGGACTTTTTTTTGATCTGAACTTTCCTGTTGCTATTTACAAATGTAGTTCAGAAGGAATGCATGATAATTGAGGAAATGAAGGCTACCTTTGATTTACAAGGTACAATTAAAATGTTGAAGACCTGAGCAAAAATGCGGAGTGTACATAGTAATGGATTTCATCAAGCTTCAATGCTGAAAGAAGACATACATCCTTCATGTATTTTTGAAAGATTTGTTAAAGACATAAGAAATATGACTCAACTGGAGGTCTCAAAAGTTCCTTGATACCCATTGTTTGAAAGTGGTGTTTCACCATGATAATGTAAGATCTGCTGATGGAAGCCTTAAATAATAGATTTGCAGAAAGAAATACTTGGCAGCCAGTAATGCCAACTTTGACGAATGTTTCTGCTTTGGAAATGGTAACAATAAAGCAAGTATGACTGACTTCACAAAATATAATATTGACATTAAAAACTTAGATTTATAGATTTATGTGCTGCTTGTGTATTGCATTATGATAGCAGTGTAGGATGGCTGTATTTATGAAGATGCCACTTCAAAGGGTTTACAACAAAAAAATGTAAAAAGTGAGAACATTTAAATTTTACAAAAATTGTATCTCTTATTTTCAGGTTATCCAGAACCATTTCTGGTTGAAACGCCATGAAATCTTATCCCAGTGTGAGCAGTGGATCTGTGAAATGGAGTCTTACAGCCACGACAAAAGAACAGGCAGGCATATAGCCCACAGCACTTTAGCATTAAAAGTATGTATCAACAAGTTAGAAAATAAATATTTCTGTCACTGTTACTCTAATACCCTTAATTTCAGCATTTAAACTCAACCTAATGATAAATTGTATATGACAAGCAGTTTTATTGAAGCAAATAAAATTTCAGATCTATTAATGTTTTTATATTGTAAAATATGTATGTCAAAATTTCACATAAGAAATTTTGTTTCCTCTCATATATATGAAAGTTGTAATCATTTTAAATGACTTTAAAGCTACTGCTTTCTATTATCAATTTTGAAAAGTTTCTTATCCACATTTGGAGGGAAGATTTTGTTTTTGATTTCATTATAGCATGTCTCCAAGAAAACTGTCAAACCTTAAAAGTGCTGATATATAAAGTTTAGATACTTGGTAAAATCTTATTTAAACATACTTGATTTCTACTTCTCTGTGACATTGATATTTATTTTTTAGAATTAAAACATTGAATATTCAGTCCTGTCATTTTTCTTGCACTGCCACACAACAAATGGACCAACAAGAAATCCTTTACTAAACAATATTTTACTTAAAGTAAAGCAAAGGATTGAAAAAAAAAAAAAAAACATTGAATCTTAAATTTTATTAAACACATTAATACATTGCAATAGAGCTAATGTGTTTAATAAATTATCATAGTGTTAATGTGCTATCATAATTTAATATAAATCTGAAGTTCTAGTCATTATTAATATTTCCAGTATTTAGTAGATTGTACCTTTTTCAGTAGGAAGTTAATTTCAGTGTATGATTATTTAAACTAAGACAGCATACCTCTCTTTCTATGATTATTTGGTCTTTTTAGTTTCATGGAAAAATGGATACCTTTTAAAATATTTTAGCCTTTTTTATTTTCTTACTAGAGATTATTAACATATAGATTTGAGACACTGCTCTCCCTCTCCCCACATGTATGCATGTTTCTTTTTGAGAATCTGTTTTTACTCTAGATAAAAATATACCTACTCAGAAATGTTTTCAAGAGAATGAATTTAAAACATAAACTAGTAATGCAATCCAACAATGTTTTGAAATGACTTATAAAAGGAGTAAAATACATAATTCAATAATTATAAGTAATTTTGTGTTATTTGTTGCAGAGGCATTACAACCAACTGCGAGAAGAATTTTCCAAAATGAAGCCTCCATCTGGCATGGAAGGTGAAGTGGTTGACATCCCTGAGGAGAGTAAAGCTGAATTTACCAACAGCAAGAACTACCCTGAACTGGAGGTGGATGACAGTTCACCCCAGGTAGAACCCATCAACCTGGACATCACTGATCCCATCTCAGTGCTAGAGTCCCTGCCGTTTGGACCCAACAGCATTGACTGCTGACAATGACAGTGGCTACCTCTTCTCATGGATTCTTCAGTCTCTCTACCCTACTATAATGTAGGAACCTGGAGGAAGAAGGTTTCAATAAATCCCACTTCGCTATGGCTTTGTTCCACCAAACTGCTGAAGGCTGAAGCTACAATCTGCAAAGAAACCAAATAAAATTACCATGATAATGATAAATGAAATTATGATAATGATAAAATGTGGCTTTCAGTTGGTCAGCAATGATTGGTCAGCTTGTCACATGGTCAACTGGCCAGTTGGTCAATAATATCAACCTGGAACCAAGCAGATGAAGAGGCAGCCATCTTCTGGATTTGTTGCTGTTGCCACAGTTACACCAGCTGACTGGTCCTATTGCCAAAAGCATAAAATAAAATACAAAGATCAGGGCTTCTCAGTGGCCACACAATGGTGCTGCCACCATTTCCAAACTCCTTTCCCCTTACCTGACATCATCCTTTTGTCATGTGTCATCTGTGCTACAAGCAACAGCAGCAACTGTTGCCAGCCTCGTTGGTTTTTGGAGTTGGGTGTCAGCTTCTATTACTCTAGCTCCCAGGTTCTAATAATCTCTCCTCTTCCTCCACCTCCTCCTCCTCATCATCATCATTCATCTCTTCCTTCTTAATACTATTGCTATTATTATAATTATTATTACTACTACTACTTTTTAACTATTGTTAATCCCATTTTCCGTCATGCCAAAGGGAGCTCTATCCCCCCCCATCCCCTTCTCTAAGAAATAAAATAATCTTAACTGATGTTTGTGTGAAAGAAACAGATGTGTAAAGAAAAAGAAATAAAGCTGGCCACCACTTAACCAGAATGAAGGGTTATTTCTGTCTACTCTATTCAGAGTAGGAATTGAACATAGATGTTGTTATAATTATTATTATTATTATTATTGATCTGTTTTGTAAAATCTGGCTTAAAAAGGAGAGGCAATCTAGGGCTATAAAAGTATTGACATTGAGGTATGATTAACCTGCAAAAAAGTCTTAATTTTTTAACCTCCTTTCTTTCTCAGATCTTCAGGCAGTGTTGTGCTAATTTATTGATGCACAAGATGAATGAAAATATGCCATGATTCCATCCCCCACCTTTGGTTTTCTTTCCTTCGAGCAAATGTTCCTTCTAAATTCAATGGGGTCCAAAATAATCATGGCTATATTAGTAAAATATAGGAAAGGTTTTATGAAACATTGCTAAGAGATTGAAAATTGTTATTTAAAATGTCACTTAAGGAAAATGACAGGCAAATAAATTGACCCCCAAACTTCTTGATCCTGTTGGTCTCTACTTTGGCAATTGTATAATTGGTCTTGGGTGACATACATACAGCTTCATTATTATGAATAGTTATGAAGGTTACCTTATTAAAATGTTAGAATTCATTTTTCATTCTTAGCTTAATTTTTTTTCATTCTTAGCTGAATTTTCTTTGTATTTCATTTCTTTTCAGTTAATCTGTATAAAACTGAACTTTTGTAAACTGGCTTTTTGAATAGATTTCTTTCTGTAAGCCCACAAGTTTTCTGCATCTGTCAGATATTTCATAAAAATCAGTTTCTCATCAGTTGGGCAATGTAATGAAAACTCATTAAGTTGCTGTTTTGTACAAAAAAAATATAAATCTACTTATTACTGTGTTAGCTATTAAGTATTTTAAGGGTATTAAATTTTGGGGATGGTTCCAATTTCACAAAATGCTTAACATTACATTTGGCATAAGCAAAAAAAAAATGTTGGCAAAATGTTAACAAAAACATACTCCTCACTCTCTTTTTTTTTCTTTCTCTATTGTAACATTATGCCAATTTATATAAGAAATTTTAAACACATTTCAATACATGTGACCTTTAAGCATATTGGCACATATGAGAACCAGTGTTTCTACTTTCCTCTTCACTACACCTTTTTTTTTTCTTTCTTTCTTTTCTAAGGTAAACTTACTTTTCTGCACCCAAATTTTTCTTTGAAAGAATTTCCAAAGGCAAAGAGGGAGATTATTTTTCTTTATCTTATTTCTTACAGAAAAGGCTTGTGC